TCTGTCTGTCTCTGTCTGTCTCTGTCTGTCTCTGTCTGTCTCTGTCTGTCTGTCTGTCTGTCTGTCTGTCTGTCTGTCTGTCTGTCTGTCTGTCTCTGTCTGTCTGTCTGTCTCTGTCTGTCTGTCTCTGTCTGTCTGTCTTTGTCTGTCTGTCTCTGTCTGTCTGTCTCTGTCTGTCTGTCTCTGTCTGTCTGTCTGTCTCTGTCTGTCTGTCTGTCTCTGTCTGTCTGTCTGTCTGTCTCTGTCTGTCTGTCTGTCTGTCTGTCTGTCTGTCTGTCTGTCTGTCTGTCTGTCTGTCTGTCTGTCTGTCTGTCTGTCTGTCTGTCTGTCTGTGTGTGTGTGTGTGTGTGTGTGTGTGTGTGTGTGTGTGTGTGTTTGTTTGTGTGTGTGTGTGTTTGTTTGTGTGTGTGTGTGTGTCTGTGTGTGTGTCTGTGTGTGTGTGCGTTTGTGCGTGTGTGCGTGTGGGCGTGTGGGCGCGGGGGCGTGTGGGCGTGTCCAGCCCATGCGTGGCAATGCCGAAGCGGAAGAGGCTGAAGTCGGACGAGTTCGAAGACTCCAGCCCATGCGTGGCAAAGACGGAGCGGAAGCAGCGGAAGAAGAGGAAGAAAGCTTTTGAAAAGGTAGCGAGACAGTTGCATTTGGTCAACAAGTCCGGAGTCAGGGTATGTTGCACGCAGGGCAGGCAACAGTGCCAAAATGTTGACACTGACAATGACGGGCACCCTGCTGGCAGCCGAAAGCACAAGCCAATATGCAGCTTTATTTGGGGCCTCATCAGGGCTCATGTGGAATTAGGTGAAGATTGCGTTGGCTTGGATGACGTCTCAGATGTGGCTGGCGACGCAGGCCAGAAGTATGCGCAGGGCATCACATTTTCGGGGCACAAGTACTCATCGCATCACGCCAAATTTGATGACATTGCGGCGGCAAGGCTGAGTGAAATCGAAAAGAAGTACGGCGTCAGCAACAGTAAACTCTTCCGAAGCTGGGTTTACTTCCATTGGCACTGGCTGGCTAAGCAGCCTAAGTCCAGCATGCCGCACGAGTTCAAGAAATGGGTTGCCGAGCACCTTACACCCCTCACAGCTGTGCAGCACACAGGCGTAGGTGTTGCTGACAATATGCTCGCTGCTTTGTCGAACTGGGTGTCGGTCTCGGTGGACGTTGCAGCCGCATTGGATAAACTCATCGCGGCCGTGTCGCGGAGCTTTGAAGCAGCCTTCACTGCAGCACTTACTGTAATGCAAGGTAGTCTTGAAATATATAATGCTACGCGGCAAAGTTTGTTCTGACTGACATCTTCAAGCGGGTGAGAAGGCGTTGCTGTAATCAGCAGAATGAGGCAATATGCGAGTGCGCAGGGTGCAAAACTGTTACCAGGCTAGAAGAGCTGAGTTTCTTTGGGCCTTCCCCTCGCGTGCTACACGAGGAACTCGGAGTCAAATGCGAGTGGAGCCAAGGGTACCGAGCCTTAATCAGAGAGCCAGAATTCAGTCACAGCCTCGAACTTTGCAGATGTCTCCCTGCGAGTGGCGCAAGTGGGTGGGTCTCTGTAGCAAATTTTCAAAAGGGCCCTTGAGAGAGATCGGGACCGCACAGTCAAGATGGAGCTGTACCGCTTGGAGAGCGAACGCGTCTCTGCATTCAAGCTCCTGTTGGGCGATATGCAACTGACCCCGGCCCAACAGGAGGAGTTGTACACATCGTTTGATCTGCTCAAGCTTCTCCAGGGGAAGGCAGTGGGGCGGGGCGGGGCGGGGCGGGGTGGGGTGGGGTGGGGTGGGGTGGGGCGGGGTGGGGTGGGGCGGGGCGGGGCGGGGCGGGGTGGCGGTGTGGGTGGTGGTGGGTGCTTCTCGTTCTTAAAGTGTTTTTGCGTGACCTATTGAGTTGTCATCTTGCTCGAATCATGCACGTTCCAGACTGAGCAGTTCACAGTCTTAGGGGGGGCATGACCGTTAGCCGCAAATCATTCGCCATAAAAGTGGATCGGACTAGACTTCTTGCCGAATCACACCCAAATGGATCTTGTCAGGGAGTTTGTCCCCAGATAGGCACCCTACTTTCGGCCCCCTAAAATGGGCTCCTGGGTCTCATACAAGGCTTACAAAATGAAACGGGGTACCTGGTGGAGGGGGCCGTTTCCCTGACATGTCTGGAGAACGTTACATGGGCCATTGGTGTGGGGAGGTTTTTTTCTCATTTTTGTTCTTTGTTCCGGCTTGCAAAGGGACAACACCATCAAACAACGAGGGGTGAACGGTATATGGACATGGGTATGGGTTAGAAATAAAGCCACCAGGGAGTTGCAGGTTTTAGGTTCTTGTCATGTACCATGGCAAGCCATTTTGGGGTTAGCTTATTCGTGACCCACAACCACATGTAGATTAGGGGCGACCAGTGGCCCCAGACTGCGGTTTCGGGCTTCGGCTCAGATGCCAGCGCTGGAGACAGATGGGATGGGAGTGAAGAGGCCGGAAAACCGCGGCAAAAGCGGCCCATTTCGGGTGAGTTTCCCTTTGGGGGGCTGTTTTAAGGTGGATATTCAAGGAAAGCTGGTTCATGGTTGTGGAAAAGCTTGGTTTTACGAGTTCTTTCTATGATGCCAAGGGTTTTTCCTTCTCAGAACGATCACAGAAAAGGTGTTTTTTCTGTTGACTTCCAGGGCTCGTGGCCTTTCTTTTTCCAAGCTCACTTTGCGGAGACAGCCGCCTCCGAACATCGGCAGTGGTTAGTCCAAAAAAGGCTTCCTGACTGGAAAAGACATGTATGGATTCCCCCCCAACAACAACTGTTTTCTTACATGAAATCTCGAGAGGGCGTGTTTGTCAGCCATAGTAAAGATTGGTTATCATTCACTGTTGCTTTTTGGGATGACCAAAAGGCACAGTCACCAACACATTGTTAGGAAACAGGGTTACAGGTACCAATCCCAATTTGTGCACATAGATATTGCCCACAGCTTCTATCTTAATGGAGGAGCCTGTTGTGGGGTGAAGTGGGAGACAGGGTGTTAGGATGAGGAAATCCTTCCATGGGGACAACCTACGTGAGTATCACAGCAAGGCCTATTTTCCATTCATTGAGCAGAAATGTGTTGCAAATCCATCATGATCAGCAGGCTGGCAGAAGTGACCTCTTGGTCATTTGGATCCTTTTTTCTTTTTTTTTCGTGAAGATCTCAGGCTCATTCTCCCCTCACTTTCAGGTGGCTCCACTTCACCCCACAACAGGCTCCTATCATGATGGATTTGCAGCACATTTCTACTCAATGCATGGAAATAGGCCTTGCTGTGATACTGACGTAGGTGGTCCCCACGGAAGCCTATTTCCTGTTTTGGGCAAGATAAAGGACCACCGGGCTGCTGTGCAACCGGGCTGCACCCAAAAGTCCGCGGAGGCGCCTGAGCTGGGCGGCGAAGGCGGGGGCATGGAGCCCTGAGCAGCTGGCGCTGAAAGGCAAGCTGCGGCGGTCCCAGCAGCGGGGCGCCCGGGCGCCCGGTTCGAGGCGGGCCCATGTGGCGCGAATGCGGAGCTATATCCGTTCGCACCACGAAATGAAACCATTGTTGCAACCATTGTTTGTTGGTATTTACGGGGGAATCGAATCATTCCAGCGTCTCTTAGGTGGCGTCTCTTCTGGGTTTCGTCCCCCGTATGGCGAGTGCGGCGAGGATTGCGGCGTTTGGTTTCGGGCCTTTGGCACCACGTTTTGTGCCGCTTTGGAGCGGGGCTTGGAGAGTTTGGGAAATGAGCCAGCAGGACATTTGATCGGAGCCCAGATGGCCATGAACTTCGGAAGTCTAGTCTTTCTGAGGACCAAACCTTGAACCCGTTCTTTCGGAGGAGATTGACGGGCTAAGGATAAGCACAAGGAGGAGATGTTACTTCATCAAACATCAACGAGCAATTGACCAATCAAGGTCTCTGTTGATTATTTCTTCAATGACAAGGGTTTGTTTGGCGTGGTCTTTGATTATCTTCTCACCCTTTGTAAGTAACCAGCACATCATGCTTTTCCAGTGGGTACTTGGGTGTGTCTTTTTGTGGAGGTTGTGGTGCTTTTAAAGTAAAACCAACTGGAAAGCCCACGCCATTTTGGGCGGGCCCCCTAACACAACAACTGCCTGCACCCATTTGACGGTGGCTCAAAAACTGGTACCCAAAAAAGGTGCCTTGGTAAAGGACAACAAAGACCACCTGCGCAACCCTGACTCTTGAGCCACATTTGGGTCCATAGAACTTCCCCTGGCTCTTTACTTTTGAGCCGCATCCATAGAACTTCCTGCTACTTTCTGGTTTGACGTTGCTCTAGGGGTACCTTCCCCATTCTTTCCAGGGATCCTTCTTTAGAAAACCTCCGGAGACCCAGGGAAAACGGATCCGGTTTTTGGAAGGAACGATGGTTGAAATCAACCCCTAGAGTCATAGAACTTCCTCCTGCTACTTTCTGGTTTGGCCTTGCTGGTTGCAGGCGCCTTTGCCTTTTTCTCCCACGCCTTTAGGCGTCGGATTCTGTTGCTCCGAGGCCTTTCACGGCTTTGGCCCGGTGGTTCAGGCGCATTCGGGATTCGGACGGGAGAGGAGCAAGGAGCGGGGTCAATTTTTTGGCTTGGACCATTGGTCATCAAAGTCAGCTTCAACCAAGAAAGGTGACGTTCGAATGAGCTGTCTGGGGGGGTAAAACGGAACGGCAAAAACCGGCTAAAAAGGCGTTTTTCAAAGCCACGATTCCCAAAGTACCCAGCAACTCGGGCTTCGGACCGGTCCCCCATTTTGCCAACCGTGTTGCTGTTGGGTTGTGAACTCACGTGTGATTTCGTCCGTGGCAGCCAGTGGGGGTTGTGGGGCCCAAGGAATGGCGATCAATGATCCTTCAGAAGTGTCTCAATTTGCTGGTTTGCATATCCCTGTTCATGCGGGTGGTTCCATTTTTGAGTTGGTACCCCTTTTTGGGTTAACCAACAGGAAGTCTCAGAAAAGGCACGCCCATGCTGATGTGATTCTTGGAGGCGGAGTCAGAGTCAGACAGTCTCACAAATCAGGAGGCTCAGGAATCTACTTTTTTTTGCCGCAGCGAATAGGACCCGGGAGTACATGCCCCTGGGATTAGTTCCATGGAGCAACCAAACCATATATAAACTGGCCAATTCGACGTTTGGTGTCCCAATGTGGGATGAGCATGTCGGTTGCATTAAGGTTCCGTTCTTTCATATGTCTTGTTTGAGGGTTACCATTTTGGAGCTGGGTCTAAAGCGAAACCCACGGGGAAAACAACCATTTTGGGGTTCCCATTCCTATCTTGAGACAAACCAATAGCTTGTCAGGCGATGTTCGATCGCAGTCCAGAAGTCCGGCTGATCAAAGCTTGATCCATGCACAGAAGGGAAGTTTGATTGTGAAGTTCATGCGGAGGTGGGGATGTGTTTTCTTTCTGTGAGGTCATGCGATGGCAAACTGGGCTTCTGTGACACGGAATCTCCTTTGTGATAAACTAGCCAGGGGAATCCCACTAAGACATTTTCTCAGAAAGGGTTGTTGCTGTTACTCCCCCTTAGCGATTCCAGAAAGCATGGCCCCCCCAAAGGAGATTCTGCTCAAATCTGATGCTGTGTTTCGGTTCCACGTGAATCGCCGCGAGTAATTGAGGGGTTGCGCTGTCCGTGTGAGGCGAACGGCTTCCTGACGCAGTTCTTCAAAAAGGCCAGGGGAAGTGACTGGAGGTGAGGGGAGCTCCAGTGATCCTCTCTCCATGGACTATTGTCTGATTGGCCTTCAAGCCCTAGCCTAAGTCAGCAAAATGATTGGTGAACGCCTTCAGTATTTCGGGTTTTTTAGGATTTAGGGCTAGTTTCGACCCCACCAATCCGTTTTTGACGTTTCACAAACTCGAAGGGGAAAGAGCGGTTAGCTTGCGAGGCCTCGGAGCCGCCGGAGCCCCGACCGGGCGGGGGCGGATGGCGGATGTCTTCTGCCGCGAGGTGGCACCCACTTGTCGTTCCTTTGAGTCGGTGCCCACGTTTTGGCTGGTGTTTTAACAGGGCTCCTTAAAAGATACATTTTGACCATTTGAAACATGGCTTTTTCCACCAAAATCAAGGGAAACCACCTGTGGGTCAAAATTAAAGCACCAGGATCTGGACCGCAGGTTTCTTCGTCCATGTTTCCATTTGCCAGGGTTCGTTCCATTTTGAGTACTTTTTTTGACCCACTCCCATATGGAACACCGATTGTTTGACGAGGCACCCATTTGGAAAGGACACGGGGGACTCATGCCATTTCCCCTGAAAGACATACACGCGAATTTCCAATGTCTTCGGGAAACAAGTAGTTTTGACCGTGGCATCACTTTGGGGTGGACCCACCCTCCTTCTAATGCGCTGGGGTCTTGAACCTAAAAATCGCCTAGGAAACGATACGGGGTGGTCAATTATCGAACCCGCAAGAGTGAGCTAGACCACAGCTCTTGATTGGCCGATGTTTTTTGTTTTGTTTCTATTTTTCTTCTAGACCCTGGCAATTTACCCTCCCACCCTTTTTTCACCTGACAGGGACATGGTGCCTTTAAAAAGGGGAAACGATCTTCCAGGACCCCCGAAACCTCAGGTTCCATGGGCACCCGTCAAGCCATGCCGAGGCCCTGGTCCCACGCGCTGCGGAACTCCGCCTCGGCACCCTCGCCGGGGCCTCCGGGGCTGGTGGAGACGGAGCCAGGCGGTGATCCTGCGGCAAAGCCAAGGTGTTCCCTTTCGGCTTTTGGTGGGATCCAACCCCCTGCCCGGACGACCTTTTTGCTAGTTTCCACCAAAAAGCCCCCTGCCAAAAAAGACGCCCAGGATCCCCTAGTTTGCACCGAAAAGGGCCTTACACAACTTGCTGGTGCGGATAGGTGGGGAATGTGGGAATGAAGCCACGGGTGCCCTGAAAAGAAACCACAAGCGATGGTTTAGAAGGGTTGTTCCCTCATTCACTACTGGGCACCAGCAAGTTAGGGAGTAACCCCTCTACAAAAACAGACGACGCAAGAAAAGGGACCAGCGCAACTTGCTGAGATACTACTTCTAGTGTGCGATCTAGACCAGATTTGAACAATGCGTGGGGCATGGGTCGATGCATTCTATCTGCTGTCAAAGAACATTCAATCAATGTTTCAGTTTGGTGAAGTGGCAATTGTTTTTCCTTATGCCGGTTTTGTCATCCCCTTTCCTCCGTAAGGAATTGTTGGCCTTTTCCGTCCTCTCACATCATACTGCGGATGGTTGCGAAATCCGCTTATGACTGATTCGATTTGGAAATACCAACAACAGTTATAGTTTCAACCGTGGTTTCTTAGGTGGTGCGAAATGGATTTCGCAACCATCCACATATGTGAGGTTCAATACTGCACTTTTCGGGTTGAACGGTTTAGTCGTTTCGCTCCCAGATTTTGAGGCAACCAAGTGAGTATCGCGACAGGAAGTCATTTGCACTGAGCGTGTTACGCCTTCTCATGTTTAATTGTACATGCAACCAATTAGGTTCAGAATTGACTTCACTTAGGATACACCACTGGAGAAATAGTTGACAGGATACACCCCCCTTAGAATGGGGTGATTTTTTCCAATCCCTTTGGACAATCGGAGCCAAAGATTGCCTTACCAGGGTGAATCAGCTGTTTTGGAGGTCCACTGGAGATTTCCAAATATTTTGAGGGGGGCATGTGCTAATGGTCTATGAAGCATGGCAAACGTGTTCTCTGTCTATTTTCAGTTTCGGGTTGTGGACATGGGGGCCTTACACGATTATACAACCAAAAGCGGGTCATTCTTATGCATTCATGTCAAAGTAAATGGTATCCTTCAACATGGAATCCGAAAAGAGCGCCCCTGAAGGAAACTCGTCTTCCAGAACCCCGAAACGATAGGTTCCATTGGTCGATCGCCGGGTCTTTAAAAGAAGTGGTGCTGAAAGAAAGCTTGCGCCTAGACCTCCAGTTGTACCCTTTGGTCCTTGTGTTTCTTTCTTTTCTTTTTTGTTTGGGGGGGAGACATCTGCAAAGCGCTGAACCTGTCAGACGGCAACCAATGGAGTCTCCAGAGGGCTTTCCTTTGCTAAACCTGAAAATGAGCCAGCGGGGCTCGCCTCTGTTGAGCGAGGCTCAGATTGGCAGGCGCGCGCAAGAGAGAGAGAGAGAGAGAGAGAGATAGAGAGAGTCAGAGGGGGTGGGAGAGAGTTTTGCTTGGCTTGGTCTGTGGGTAGGTCTCGGAAGCTTGATCGATTGGTCGTTTGAGTGGTGTTTCGTTTTCACGATTGCCTCCGCGGGGTCTGTGGGTTGGTTTTCCTGCCACTTTGGCGCAGAATCCAGACATCCCAGGTTGACTATTGACCAAGTCGTTAGAAGTGGCCGTTTCTTCGAGGTGCCTTTGTTTTTTTGGCCAGGGGTCAACCCCCTTCAGCTTGTTCCCCTTTTTTCCTCGGCAGATGGCTTGGTCCTTTGAATTGGTTACATGAGGTATGTGTCAAAGGGGGCTACGTTTGCCTTTCCCCTTAAGCCAAAACGGGTACCGAGCCTCAAAGAAACACCCACCCATTTGAGGGGTTCAATTCTTATTTTCGGCTGGCAAATGATTGGACTTAGTTTGCTTTTTCTTATTTTTGCCAGGCGCTTTTCCAGCGACATATGGGTGTGTCTTGTTTTGAGGGTGCCATTTTTGAGGTTGTTTTCAAGAGAAATGAATTGGACACCAGCCATTTGTTTGGGGGTTCTCTTTTCTCAGAGGCCCCGATTGTTGATGACTTGGGGGCAGTTGGCGTTCTTCCGCCGAGATGGACTCTCGTCATTCTTCAGCTTTGCACTGCACGTCTGCTTTGTGCACGGTAGGCGCCGAGATTGACGTCGAGGCACCGGGCCGGGAATCTCTCAGAATCAGACCCGAGACTTCAAGTACGCTAGGCCTAAGAGGGAGGATCATTGGGAGGTATTGGACGTCAAGAAAAGGGGGAGCATTTTCGAGGTCCCTTGATTTTTGCCGCAGCCTCTAAGCTCGTTTTCGTCTGACTGCTCCACTCAAAACGGAGTGGCAAGCTTGTTTTGATCCCTGAACAATTGGGGTTGAGAAATGGGCAATACTACTGTGGCTTAGTTCCCAGACATTTCTGAGAGCGGACCATCATACCCCTTCATAGCCCTTGGCTTCTGGGGTGAGGGGTATGGGGCAGCATGGCTTTTGGCATGTCATCAAGGGGCCTGGTTGAAGAGACATGTACGAAAAGCCCTGGTTGAATGAGTCAGAGCACTTGGACAAGTTGTCAACGGCTCCCCTGTCGGTCTTGCTCGGGAACCGGTTTTGAATGGCTTCTTCGGTCTTCGGAACTGGGAGCTAAGGGACAGTTTTTCAGACGCCAAAAGTTGATACCAATGGAATATGGGAGGAACCCGTTCCAACCAGTGGAGATTCTAACCATGTTCAGACCTCCAGGACTCCAGCCGCCTTTCATTCCCTGGACTCGGAGGCCGGTCCAGTAGGCGACCCGAGACGTGCCACCTGTGTACACCCAGCATGGTCTTGATGCGGCATGCTGAGCTTGTGGAGATCGTGGCGAGTCACAAAGCTCGGCCAGAGCATGGTGCTACTGGGCAAGAAGCAGCGCTAGAAGGATCTGACGGTCTACTTTGGGAGCCTGCAAAAGGCTGCGCTCATGGCCGAGTTCGAGATCTCCGGTCAGCTCACGCTTCCCTGGTGTCTGAGGCGAAATACATGAGAACGACCAGCAAATGGACACACCCTTGTTGTAGAGTTGATTTTTTCGTACGGGTGGCCCCTTCCCTAGTTCTTGTTGGCCCCTGTTGTCCTAGCACTGTCCTTCCGAGGGTTGCCCTTTTGGAGGTTTTCCTCTGCCCGCTTTTTTGGAAAACTAGAGCCTCTTGAACATATGCTGCATTTTCAGGTTCGCTGCATATGGACCAAACTTTAGAGCCTCCGGGCTCACTCCGCCGACATTGTCCTCTCCCTTTTCTCCTTCTTCATCTCTCCCTTGTCTCCCTTGTGTGTTCTCTCTCTGTCTCTCTCTATCTGTCTCTCTCTCTCTCTCTCCTTCTCTCTGTTTCTCTGTCTCTTTCTGTCTCCCTGTGTCCTCCCTGTCCACACCCCTCTACAGAAAAAGGGTACCCTCGTTCTAACCTCTCTACTGGAGGACCTAGTCTCTATCTCTCTCTCTCTCTCTCTCTCTTTCTCGCTCTTTCCCTCTGTCTCTCTCTCTCTCTGTCTTTCTGTGTCTCTCTTTCTCTGTCTCTCTCTTTCTCTCTCTCTCTCTCTCTACCTCTCTCTTTCTCTGTCTCTTTCTCTGGCTCTGTCTCTGTCTCTCTCTCTCTCTCTCTCTCTGTCTCTTGCTCGCTCTCTCCCTCTCTCTCTCTCTGCATTGCAGCGTCACGCCCCCCCTGAGTTGCCTCGATGTCCGGGCACTGCCCCTTCATGACCCTGAACTGTCATCTCACAACTGGCTTTCCCCTTGATTTCCTCTTCATGTCCTTTTCACGTTTCTCATGATGTCCCGGTCATGTCCCTTCCATTCCTTTCAACTCCCCCTTCATGTCCCTGACATTTTCTCGGTCTGTCCGCTTCATTTTCCATGTATGTCCCGTTCTTGCGTTGCGAGTCATTTCCCTACATCTCCCGTCGTGCCGATTGGTTTCCTTGTGCTTTGTTTCCCTTTCATTCCCCCTGCACTCCCCTTGTTTTCATTTCTGTCCCTTTCATGTCCCTTTCAGTTCCCCTTTGTTTCCCTTTCATTTCCCGTTGCTTTCCTGTCATGTCGACTTCCTATTTCCGGAAAAAGGAGGCAGGAAGCCAAGCCAGCAAAAGAGCCGGCAGGGGGAATCGAGCCTGGGACCCCTTTTGCGACACCGGCTCCCCGAAGACTACCTTTAGTGGAACTTCATCAAATTGCCGCACGGTACGTGGGCCCCCCTAAAACCTACGTATCAGACGTCGGGTGGGGGGGAGGGGTAAGGGGGGGGGGTTATCCTCTATCCTCTAGTAAGTATCCGACGCGCAAAACAATGTCGGCGGATATCCAACATCACTTTCGGTTGATGACAGCAACAGCTGCTGGTTTTATAGAGAAGAGGTCTGATTCGGAAACATCACCCAATCAACGGAGGCCGCGCTTCCCCGCTCAAGACTGTGCCTTCTGATTCTTTGGTGGGGATGGTACGGGGTGGGAGCCCTTGGTATGACCATCTATTGGTTTGTAGGACATCTTGGGTCTCAGAAATTAACATATGGTTTGATGGTTGACATGTGAAACAGACTCAAAACCCGGGTAGATGAAGGTTAATAAGAGACAATCCCAACCATCAACAGCTGCCGCCGCCTTCCTAATATTCCTGGTGTTGCTACCGGAAACTATGACTCAGGACCCAGTTGAGTTGGTCGCCAGGCTGAGACGGAGAGACGCTTCGAGCCTCTCCTGGCGGCTCGGATCGGTTGAAACCGAACCAACCGGTGCCCCATGTGGTTCATGCTGATGGTTGCGACATCCGCTTTGGCAGCGTTCAGAATCCCTGGAAGGCAGAGGTTTCGGTGGTGCGAAAGGGATTTCGCAACCACCCACAGTATGTCTCTTCTTTCAAATTTCATCCCAAACGGCAAATCGCTTGAAATTGGCAACCAAAGGATTTCACTTGGGGTTGGTAGGGGCGGTCATGGACCGCTTGAGAATAAGTTAGATAGCCAATGCAGCCCATTTCGCGGCTGGGAGCGCCGTCATTGATCTGGCTTGCAGGGCCCCTGCGGTAGATTTTTTGAAGAACCGCGCATTGCAGGTCCAAAGGGTTTTGTCTCTGAGTGCAACGTCTTGGGGAAATGCAACCACTGAATTCCAGAACACGAGGCGTCCAGCGCGTATTGCCTAAACTAGGTCCCCCCAGTAGTGCCCTTTCTCTCCCCTTTTTTGGTTGGGAGGGTTCCCCTACTCAAATAGACAAAGCAGAAAAACGTTGGTACCCTTCTTCTAACCTCTCTACTGGAGGACCTTGTTCAAGTCCAACACAAGAGTGGAGATCTGTTTGGGGCCCTTGGGCTTTGGGGTCCGGGATCCTAAAACTCACATATGGGGCCGGGCATGTGGGATGAGTCTAAGAATACTTCCCCAGAACTGGCTGCCCTTTTTTGCTCTTTTGCTTTTTTGGGGGGTCCCTTTTGTTTTCCACTAGCCAGGCAAACAAGATATATTTTTTGCTGGGGTCCTAATTCCAGCCAAGAATAGAGATCCCCCCCCAAAAAAAAACTTCCCCGAAAACCACAGCAAGGGTACATCCATATGCAGGAGTTGAAAACCTCCTCGCGTGAAGGTTCTCATGTAGACCGGCTTTCATGGCGAGCATAAGATGTTAGCTCAGCCCTGGTTTTAAACACAGCACGATGGCACCAATTCGTGAAGCCCCTTTTGTTTTTGTTTGGGTTCCATGTTCATTTGCAGGGGACCGCCGTGCATGTTGGCATCTGAGGATGAGCAGATTGAGGAAGCTGAGGACCTCTCGCGGGAGTTCGCGAAGCAGCGCAGAGAACTGTTTTTGGACACCGGTTGCGGACAACGGCGTTGCTGGGTCTATGTTTGGGAACATCTGACATCGGTGCCTGTACATACACACATCCTGGGTTTAGGGTCGAACGTTTACCTAGATTAGGACGATGTTTTTCGTGCCAAGTGCCTTGAAAGTGACGAAGTAGCATGGGCATGCTTTGGTATCATAAACCTGGTGTCATTCCCTTTTTTCCATCCGGATTGCTTAACTTGCCACACATGACACAATTGGGGGGGGTGCTTCCCCGAAATGCAGGTTCCTCGAAACATGTGTCGTTGGGGCTGACTTTGTATGGGAGGACTGGGCACTGTTTCTTTGGGAGCAAAGCTTGGCGCGCTTGTAGACAGCCTTGACTCAGGTCTTTCTTCCTGGAGCAAGGAGCTCACGATGAGGATCCCTTATTTGGGGATCCCTTACTTCAGCCTTGGAAATTCATTCATTCGAAAGATTTGAGTTTAGCTGTCGTTTTTTGTTGTTTTTCATCCAACGCTGCAAGTTTTCGTGGTCTTCGGATCTGGTCCGAACGCGCGGCCGCGCTCGACTGAGCCACGTTTGCACGGCGCATGCGGCGTAGGAGGAGCAGTTCCACAAGGAGCCGGGGGAAGGCTGTAAATGGGATCTCTGCTTAGGTTTCCCAGTAGCAGGGTTCTACTTTTTGACTACCCCAAGGTAGACTTAAACCCAGGGGTTTTGCTTTCTCTCCCCTTTTCTGGTTGGGAGGGTTCCCCTACTCAAATAGACAAAGCAGAAAAACGTTGGTACCCTTCTTCTAACCTCTCTACTGGAGGACCTTGTTCAAGTCCAACACAAGAGTGGAGATCTGTTTGGGGCCCTTGGGCTTTGGGGTCCGGGATCCTAAAACTCACATATGGGGCCGGGCATGTGGGATGAGTCTAAGAATACTTCCCCAGAACTGGCTGCCCTTTTTTGCTCTTTCGCTTTTTTGGGGGTCCCTTTTGTTTTCCACTAGCCAGGCAAACATGATATATTTTTTGCTGGGGTCCTAATTCCAGCCAAGAATAGAGATCCCCCCCCAAAAAACAACTTCCCCGAAAAACCACAGCAACCTCTCTACTGGAGGACCTAGTTGCTTTCTGACCCCCGTTTCGTGTCGCGGGCCGTGGGTCCAAAAGCCGAAAGGGGGGTACCCTTGTGCTAGCAGTGACAGCTGTGGGGTCGTTGAGCTGTGGGATCCTCGGAGTCCGGAAGGGCTCTTTTGCCCAGCAAGTCTACACTCCCCATTTCACCACCGAAGGCTTTGTCGCCAACAACTCGGCTTCAGCCGGTTTGGGAAAGGACAAAGATAATTTGTTGACTGCACTCAATGCGACAGCATTGCTTCTTTGGAAGTTTGAGTTTGAAAAGAAAGGGAGCAACCCAACTTGGTGGTTCGCAGCCATTCGGTTCCTTAGCTTTTTAGCCTTTGAGTGTTTAGTGGGAATTTCCATTTGACCCACGAAAAGTTAGTCACTTTTCGCGGGGGATCGGAAAACGGGCAGCCCAGAAAATGTTGGTTTCGGCCATTGCTGCTTGGCCAAAGGGCATCATCCAGTTGCCCCGTGGCACCCTAACCGCTCCTTTGCCTTGAGCGGTTCGCTTGCAAGTTGGTCAGGTCTCCTTAAAAGATCTCCATTTTGCAACCATTTGAAACATGTTGCTTTTTCAACACCAAAACAAAGGGAAACCACCATTTACAAGGCAATGTTCAGGTGTATAATGTAAGGATCCCTGTTGGTTCATCACCCACACCCCGCGCCTCGCCTCGGGCATCTAGGACCGGGCTGCGTCCAAGATCCAAGCCTCCGCCAAGCGCTTCCTCTCGAGGCCGGACAGGGGCGAAGCAGCAGGTTGTGGCCGTACAATGACCGCTTAGGTTCTGGCTTTCTCCGCCTAGCAAAAAATAACAGGTATTAATCAGGTCTTGGTTGTGCAGTTTTCGGTTTCGAATTCAGTTTTTCTCCCTGAGGGGAAATAGTAGGACAGGTTGTGGCCATACAGTTTTTGGTATCGTGTGTATTTGCTGGATCGCTAAGGGGAAGTGAAAGGAATTGGCCATACCACAACCTGTTCAAAACCTGCTGCTTGGCCAGTTCCTGTTATTTCCCCTTAGCGATCCAACAAAAACACACCAAACCAAAAACTGTATGGCCACAACCTGTTCAAAATTTGTTGTTTCCCCTCAAGGAGGAAAAACTATAACGAAACCGAAAACTCAGTTTTTGGTTTGGTGTGTTTTGTTGGATCCCTAACAAAAAAAAACAGGTTTTGAACAGGTTGTGGCCATGCAGTTTTTGGTTTGGTGTGTTTTTGTTGGATCGCAAAGGGGAAGGAACAGGAACTGGCCATAGAGGTTTCGGTTTCGTTGTAGTTTTTCTCTCTGAGGGGAAGCAGCAGGTTTTGAACAGGTTGTGGCCATACAGTTTTTTGGTTTATTGTGGTAAGGGGAAGTAAAAGGAATTGCCATACATTTTTCGGGCTCGTTGTAGTTTTTTCTCCCTGAGAGGAATCAGCAGGTTTTTCTCCCTGAGAGGAAACAGCAGGTTTTGAACATGTTTTGGCCATGCAGTGCAGCTTTTGGTTGCGTGTTTTGTTTGGATCGCTAAGGGGAAGTTAAAGGAATTGGTTTTTTCCCTGCCATGAAACGCCCGGATTGAACAGGTTTTGCCATTCAGTTTCTGGTTTCTATTTTTGTTTGTTCTTCTTGAGGGGACACAGCAGGTTTTGAAGAGGTTTTGGTTTTTGGTTTCGTTTCTTCTTTGGATTGCTGAGGGGAAACAACAGGTTTTGGCCATACAGTTTTGGGTTTTGCTTTTGCTTTTTTCCTCTCAGGGGAAACAACAGTTTTGGAACACTGTGTGGCCAAAACCTGTCGCTTCCCCTTAGGGCTCATTGTGTGGCCTCCCTTTGGTGTCCCGGCGCCTGAACCGCCCCCTGTGTGTTTACAGTTTTTTCTGGTCACCAGCTTTCTGGTGTCTTTTTGTTCTCAGGTTTCAGGCCGTGGTCAGGCGCCGGCCCCTCGCAGCGCCGCACGCTTCTCGCCGATGCTGGCAAGCACATCCGCTCGACGACATGCGCGGAACAATGCTTATTGTCACGCACATGATAAGCACACTCGACGGCATACGCACAGCAATGCTTTTCGTCACGGTCATGGTAAGTCTATCTCCTGCGCATACGAGTGGCGGCGCACCAATCAGAAGCGCCCCGTGTTCTATCGCCTTGGCGACTTGTTCAGAAAGACATGGCCAGTTTTGATATCTGCGCGACGTCCGAAACTTTACCTGCCGGGAAGGAGTTTGACTATGGTGATTTCGCCTCAACGAAACGCCAAAAAGCCAGAAAAGAGAACACAGTCGTGAGGGTTTGAGAGCGCTCATGTTGACGAAAGCGACGGTTCAGACATGACTGCAAAAAAGCAGGGGGCGGTCTGGGCGCCGACACCTTGTTTTTGTTTTTCCCACCAGGTTTTCGCTGTTGTGGTTTTGTTGGTATCGCTAAGGGAAAATAAAAGGGAGGCCATGAAATGAGCTGTTTTCTTTTCTTGCTTTTTTGTTTCAACCAAAAGGTCTGTGCCATTAACGACCGGTTCCGTGTTTTGCTTTTGGATCGCTAGGGGGAAACAAGAGTAATTGGCCACAAACATGCTTTAGGTGTTTTCGACAGCCATGGAGTATGGGTGTTGTTGGATGAGTGTTGACCTCAGATTGGTGATAAACCTGGCGGATTCATACAACAATTCCAAAGGAAATCCAAAAAAGCCGACTCCCAAATGTCCAGTAACAACATTCTTCTGTGTTTTGTTTGAACGGATCCCACTAGAATGTCGCTTCCGCAACCGAGCAAACTTATAGCGACCTTGAGGGGATTTGCAATTTGCGTCCCATCCCTCACTGGTTGGTGAAATACACATCATCCCAGACTCCTGGTTGTCCTGGTGCGCGTAGAGGCTTGCGAAAGCGCCGGTACCAGTTTGGAGCACCCAAACATCACGCAGAACGCCTGCAAAATCCCTGGACGGAGAAACATGCGCAAGAAAACACACATATTTGTCTAGAGTCAAATGGAGATACCCCCGGCCAGAACTAAGCTTTGAGACTGAGCAAGGCTACTCTCTAGCCAACAGCATCCAGAAGAAAGTGCCCAGTTTTCCCCCGACCCCCGCGGATATGTTTGCCGAACTCAGGTGCGTTCTTTTTTGGCCCGTGCACTTCCAATGCTCAGGTACTTAGTTGGTGGTTTGGATTGGCTTGGATTTGGAGTGGCTCTTGCAGGTCAACGGAAGGCCACCCAATCTTTGCACCTAACCCCAAACCACCCACAGAAAAAAAAAGGAGCTGGTAGGTTGAGCGCAGCGTATCAAAGGAGCTTCTCAGCTTGTCGGGTTGCTCAGGCGTTCGGAACGGCCGTGGCCTGAGAACCGGGCAGGTAGGTATTTTGCTGAAGCTTGGGGCTGGGCTGTATATAAACCAAATGACGAGCCAAAAGTCGGGGCTGTATATAAACCAAATGAAGTAGAACCCAACGTTGGTAGAACCAAAAGTCAACGGGCTTTGGGCACGTCTCAGGCTGTTCTGAGTTGCGGGAGTCCCTTTGGGGTGCACAAAGTCAAGTTTCGAGGGTTGTGGCGACAGACTGGGTGGTTCTACCCGACTTCATTGGGGGGGGTTGCTAGTGAGGCTCATGTGAACAAATAGAAACATGTTGGTAGAAACAAAACTCTGGTTTCTTGTTTCTTGATACATATGTATAATATATATATATATATATCACAACAAGTCTCCAACTTTTTGCAGACGGGTCGTTTCAGCAACCAAGAGACCCTCGCCATCCGGCAATCATTGCCTCAGAGCTATTCTTTCAGCGTCTGGCGTGTCCGCCTTTGGCGGGCCCGACTGTAGCGAAAGTCGCAATCGACCCAGGGTCAGGCAAGACGTCCGAGGTTTGTTTTGCTTGAAAGCTGGGGCCTCCGATCCCAGCACAATTTGTTGATTGTTCTAGGGGTTGTTTCCTTTTTCCATTCTTTTCAACCATTGTTATTTTCGAAAACCAGCGGTTTCCGGAGGTTTTCCAGACAGAAGGATCCTGGCAAGAATGGGGGAGGTACCCCTGGAATTGTTTAAGGCTAAATGGGGGTTGATCAGAAGGTCCTTGACCATTGGAGGACATATTATTTTGGAGTGCCCCCATGTGGGGGCCAATAAACCGCGCGAAAATGGGAACACTAGGCAGCCGAAGTCTCCGAAGTCTCCGAAGACTCCGAAGGAGCAGGCTGGGAGAGAGCACGAAAAAGTCGACCTGACATCGGATTTTTGCGTGGCGAATCCTCTTTGACCAAAGGTCAACAGCGCTATGCCTAAAAGCCCCGAGCCCCGTACCACAAGGTTCGGAGACCTTGGAGTTGCAGGTGCGGAGTCTAACGATCTGTGGGCGTCAATTCAAAGAGGGGTATTTTTTTCAGTTTCTTTTCCCCTGTGTTTTCTTTCTTCGCTTTTGGCTTCTTGGCTTTTCGGCTTCTTGGCTTCTTGGCTTTTCGGCTTCTTGGCTTCTGGGCTTTTCCGCTTTTTGTTGGTTTATGCAGCTTTTGGTGGCTTGTTTTTGGCTTTTGGCTTTTCGCATCCTCTGCATTCCCAATTCCTCTTCGGCAGGTGGCGTTTTGGCTTTGGCTTTTCGCATCCTCTGCTTTCACAGTTCCTCTCTGGGCTTTTTGGCTGTTGCACCCTTTCATTGGTTTTTGGACTTGGCTTCCCGCATCATCAGCATCACCAGTTCCTCCCTATTTGAATCATCACTTCTTCGAACATCATTGGGGGGGAAGCCCCCCCCCAACCCACCCGCTACTGTTTAGATTGTTTGCAGAGTAATTGCACACCTATTTGAATCAACACTTCTTCAAACATCATGGGGGGGGGCTCCCCCCCCGTTACTTTTTGGATTTCTTGCAGAGATTGAATTGCACCCTTAATTGAATCATCACTGTTTCGAGCGTCCAATTTCGCGAGACAATGCTACAAAATACGACATTTTAGGTAATCTGTGCAATCCATGTATGTGTGTATGTATGCACTTCTTCGAACATCATAGGGGAAGCCAACCCCGCCAACCCTCCCGCAGCCTTTTAAATTCTATCGCACCCTTTCTTGAATCATTGCGCCCCTGCTTGAATCATCACTTCTTCTCACATCATGGGGGGGGCTGCCGCCCCCCTCCCAACCCCCCGCTACGTTTTGGATTTTCTACAGAGATTTAATTGCACCCCTAGTTGAATCATCAATTCTTCGAACATCATGGGGGGTCTGCCGCCCCCCCCCCCCCAACCCCCCCGCTACTTTTTAGACTGCTTGCAGAGATTGAATTGCACCCTTAGTTGAACCATCACTTTTTTGAGCGTCCACTTTCGCGAGAAAATGCTGCAAAATACGACATTTTAGGTAATCTGTGCAATCCATGTATGTGTGTATGTATGCACTTCTTCGAACATCATAGGGGAAGCCAACCCCGCCAACCCTCCCGCTGCCTTTTAAATTCTATCGCACCCTTTCTTGAATCATTGCACCCCTACTTGAATCATCACTTCTTCCGACATCATGGGGGGGGGCACGTTTTAGATTTTCTACAGAGATTTAATTGCACCCCTAGTTGAATCATCAATTCTTCAAACATCATGGAGGGGGCTGCCGCCCCCCCCCCAACCCCCCCGAACCCCCCCGCGACTTTTTAGACTTTTTGCAGAGATTGAATTGCACCCCTATTCGAATCATCACTTCTGCGAACATCATGCGGGGGCTGCCCCCCCGCCAACCCCCCCGCTACTTTTCTTTTTTTACAAGGACTGAAATGCCCTCCTATTTGGATCATCATTTGTTTGACCCCGTCAACCCGCCCGCTACTTTTTAGATGTTTTTACTCAATATTTGTTGGTGATGCTAGGGATGTTGTTCGGACATGCGGGGGATGTTGAAAGCGACACTGGTGAATGTTGACGGGCTAGTGTAAAATGCGTCAATTTCGCGAAACACATGCTGCATTTTACTGGCCCGCACGAAGAGCAGGGGGGGGGGGAACAAAAAGCATCCCAAAAAATCCGGAAAACAACTCCCAAAATAACTCCACACCCATTCAATCATGCCGCTTTCTTGAAGGTGAGAAGGTGATGGCTTGTTCGAGGCTGGACCTGCCTCGAGCCCCAACAAAAACAATGACTAAACCGCAGTAGACAATTCGGCGGGGCTTTCCTTTAGTTTGCTCCAGATAAGGACTGGGAACTCAGAGACTGGCTGCGCATCGGGAGAATGGATGAACCGATGTGCAGAAGATGGATGCAGCTCACATGAGCAACAGACAAGCAGGTCTCGGTTTTGCGTCAACGTCGGCTTTTGGTGGTCCCCCGGTCGATGTTTTGCGATATTGCGAGCCGTTGGCATCAACACGTGTGTTGCTTCGCTAGGCTGATGCAAGGTTGACTCGAAACACCCCGTAATGATTGCTAGTGGAAACATGTGCGTATCGGAGATGTCCTGAGCCGGCAATGAAGCACAAAGGCCTGGTCGCAGTGGACATATCACAGGCCTGGTGAATCCCTTTCCATGTAGAGCAAGGGCGTTTCCCACCCGAAAAACAACCAACAATTGACAGTGGATATGATTTAATTCTGATATGGTTATTGTAGCTTGCCACCATCGCCCTGTTCGCCCCTGTGAGCGCCGAAACTGCCTGGGAGTGAGGGTGCTGCTTGACCAACCCCTTTCAAGGAAACCTCAAGCTCGAAAAACTGTCAACAAAAATATCCTGTTTCCTCGACCCCTTTTTCTTTCCAACACGTTCAACGAAACCTCCCCACTGGACTGAAAGAGGAGCAGCTGCTGTTTCTTTGGATTGTTTTGTGGAATTTGACAGGTGGGTTTTGGAAGACTACTTCCATGATAGGAAAGAGGGCAGGATGGGATCCGATTGTTTGTGAGCAAACAAATTATCCCCCCCCCCCCCCACCGGGAGCAGAGATTTCTGTGGATGTTGGCAACCAGAGGATTCCCGTGCCGATTGCTCCCTTCGGCTTTCGCTTGGGGTGAAGCCGATGCAAGCAATAAACTGCGATTCACTCCCCTTAACTGCAGCCACAAGGAGGTAACATCCTTAGGTGTACGTAAATCGGAGTAGGGTTGAAGGATGACCAGGCGAGGAATTACACTCAATTCAAAACAAATTGTCACAAGTTCGCACGGACACTGAGAGACTCTTGAGGTAGGAGGGTACCACTTGGCCATCCCAAAATGGAGTTGGTGCTTCAAGCAAGGGCTGCCATGGAATCGCCTGAGGACAATGTCAGCGAAGCAGGCAGAGGGCTATAAAGGGGCGTGTGGGGTTTGTTCACGACTCTAAATGATTTTGGTTGGAAGGGAGATCCAACAGCAAAACCATTGTCTTGGCTCGAGTGAGAGCTTGGTTGAAGCGTGACAATATGCGTCTTTTAAAATCAGAATCCCCTCAAATGGTGGGTTTTCCTTTTTCATTGCCTGTAAACCCGCGACAAAACTGTGCTCCCCTCAAAAAAGACATACACATATGTGCAGAACTCAGTTTGAAAGGTTCTGGGGCCAAATAGGAGGGACACAATTGAAAGGTCGGCCCAATTTCTGGGCAAACTGATAGGTGGCAAGTTCAACCTCTAGGACGCCGACCCGTCGGTGTCCGGAAAGGTTTGGGTTGGGAGCTTCTCACAAGGGTTGTGGTTGGTGGCCCCAAACAAAGGGCACCACACCCTTTTTACTATTTTTTTTTCAGGCGCTTGTTGATGGTGGCCTTGGACTTTTTTGAGGGCAAGACATCCCAAAGAAATCCCAATACTAACTTCCCTGTTCCTGGACTACTGGTCCCGCTTTCCAAGGGTCCCTGTTGGGGCTGGACCATTGTGGCAACCAAAGGGTCTGGACTGGACGGCGCTTGCGGCCAGCTCCAGCTTGGCAGGGCCATTTTCTGTGGGCATCGCGGATGTCGATTGGGTTGCATTTGTGTTTTTTTTTTGCTCCCGGGGGTAAGGGCCAAGGGCGGATGTTTTTTTTCAGGAGCCACGGTTCCAGCAAGCTCTCAAAGCAAAACTCGCTGTGCCTTGCGCTGGTGGTGGATTGAATTGGCGGGACAGACTTGTTTTTTTTCGGGGGGGCTCCTAAAAGCGCAGACAACAAAAGGACTGCAGTTTTACGGTGTCTCGCCCCTTCATCTGAAGCGGCCATGTTTGGCCGCCTTTTGACGCTTTTTTGGGCTCGACGTGGCTCGATCGGCCATATTTTGGCTGTTTGGGCCGCTGCTCGCTTGGCATTTTCGCGCATGGCAGGCTTGTGACCTGCGGACGCGCAGAGAATCCCATTTCTGGTATGCTCTCCTTTGGGGGGTTCTCGGCAGAGGGAAGTGGCGAGTTTTTCGGGAGCGACGGTCCCTTTACTCTTTAAACCAGAAGGGATTATCCTCTTTATGTGGCAGTTTGTCTTTGAGAGGCCCTTTTTGCTGTATCACAGTGGTCGTTTCCCACAGCCCTGCAATGCTCGAAGGCTGCAATTCCAAACCCAATAACTCTGAGCACGGCGCAAGGCCGGGATGCAGGCGCGGAGCGGAGCGCGCCGGTGTGGAGAAATGAAGGGCCCGGTTGGCGTCCAGCTCGGCGCAAGCTGCGCAGACATTTGGGGGTCATGTTTTTTGAGGGTACCACTTTTTTTTTTGCTGGTTGGTTCAAAAAGGGAAACCACAGGGAAGCATCGGCATTTTTGGGGGTGCCCTGAAAAAGACGCACCCATTTGTTAGACCGTACAGTTGGCTTGTGAATGTAGCTTCTCTTGGACCAACCAACGGGTTTCCCACACAGAGACACGTACTGATGGACAAAGATGTCGACAGTACCACAGTGGTTGGCCTTTGGTCTCTGAAGGTCAGACTAGGGTAGATGAAGGTTCGGGCGCCGCCTTTTCAGTTCTTCACGAGGTTTTTGCTTGATCCCTTTACCAGATTTCGTTTTTGACTCAATTTATGGAGCTTGTTGGGCAGTGACATCTAGGGGCTAGAAACCAGACTGCGCTTGACCTCCTGTAGCTTTCCTTCTTTCTTTCTTTTTGGGTGTGGAAAAACCGCTTCAAACTGGAGCCACCGTTTCCTTGGACAGGGGTGAGTCCGGTGAGTGAAGGACACACAACTTGTGTCGTGTTTTGCTCACAAGAAGCGGTTGCAGGCATGTCGCACCGTGACATATGAATGGATATGGGACATTCGGGTTTGTGTTTGTTGAATTGTGTTTCTTTTTGAATTGGTAACCTTTTCTGGTTGCTTTTACGCGAAGGCCAACGACTTGGTATGATGTGAGCTGTGAGGCGCACCATAAGGATCTTGGCAGATCCTAGCGTCCGACGTGGCATCAAGAACGGAGGAGCGGGAAAAAGGTAGCACTACCTCTGCAGTTGGATTCGGAGAAAATAGCTTTTTGTGTTCACTCACTGAGACGTTGCACGGAGTGCTTGACCGGCTAGACTGTTTGGTAAAACACAGCTTGCCATTGCTTCTACGCTTGTTTGGGCAGAGCGGTGATTTGGTGGACTATCTCTCTTTCGAGCTTTCAACCTTAAACAGGCCTGTGATGAGCTTGCTGAGAAGTGAGTCGCCGCGAATTTTCTCCTCGCCCTACCCATTTGGGAGTGCTGAGGGCAGTGGTCTCGACGCCAGGAAGCACTCTTGCACACCGTTGGCCGGGTGTGGGGCGCAGCACTTGGGCGACCGCTCGACATGCAGGCAATGCTGGACTTGTGGTGTGGCGTATAGCCAGATGTGGGTTGCCTGCCTGGTTAGAGCGGTGTGTCAGGGCGTTTGAGGCCAACCCACTGCGGCATCGCGGTGGATGACAGTGAGACGATGGGCTAATGTGCTCACTGGGCGTTCTTTGATCGCTTTGCGGACGTGCCATTCGAGGGACTCTGCAAGGCATCAGGTGGTGTTGCTAGCAGGGGAGGCCGTGTATGGTGGATTGGGGAGATTCATTAGTTGATCATTGCGTGAAGTGGAGTTTGGAATCTGGAACAGTTCTGCCCTGGATGCTTGACCGGCTACACTCTTTGGTAAAACGCGGCTTGCCATGGCGTTTACGCTTGTTTGGGCAGAGCGGTGATTTGGTGGACTATCTCTCTTTCAAGCTTTCAACCTTAAACAGGCCTGTGATGATCCTGCTGAGAAATGAGTTGCCGCGAAATTTATCCTCGCCCTACCCATTTGGGAGTGCTGAGGGCAGTGGTCTCGACGCCAGGAAGCACTCTTGCACACCGTTGGCCGGGTGTGGGGCGCAACACTTGGGCGACCGCTGGACATGCAGGCAATGCTGGACATGTGGTGTGTTGTATAGCCAGATGTGGGTTGCCTGCCTGGTCAGAGCGGTGTGTCAGGGCGTTTGAGGCCAACCCACTGCGGTATCGCGGTGGATGACAGTGAGACGATGGGCTAATGTGCTCACTGGGCGTTCTTTGATCGCTTTGCGGACGTGCCATTCGAGGGACTCTGCAAGGCATCAGGTGGTGTTGCTAGCGGGGGAGGCCGTGTATGGTGGATTGGGGAGATTCATTAGTTGATCATTGCGTGAAGTGGAGTTTGGAATCTGGAACAGTTCTGCCCTGGATGCTTGACCGAGAAATGGGTTGCCGCGAAATTTCTCCTCGCCCTACCCATTTGGGAGTGCTGCGGGCAGTGGTCTCGACGCCAGGAAGCACTCTTGCACACCGTTGGCCGGGTGTGGGGCGCAACACTTGGGCGACCGCTGGACATGCAGGCAATGCTGGACATGTGGTGTGTTGTATAGCCAGATGTGGGTTGCCTGCCTGGTCAGAGCGGTGTGTCAGGGCGTTTGAGGCCAACCCACTGCGGTATCGCGGTGGATGACAGTGAGACGATGGGCTAATGTGCTCACTGGGCGTTCTTTGATCGCTTTGCGGACGTGCCATTCGAGGGACTCTGCAAGGCATCAGGTGGTGTTGCTAGCGGGGGAGGCCGTGTATGGTGGATTGGGGAGATTCATTAGTTGATCATTGCGTGAAGTGGAGTTTGGAATCTGGAACAGTTCTGCCCTGGATGCTTGACGCTTGTTTGGGCAGAGTGGTGATTTGGTGGACTACGCTCTTTCGAGCTTTCAACCTTAAACAGGCCTGTGATGATCCTGCTGAGAAATGGGTTGCCGCGAAATTTATCCTCGCCCTACCCATTTGGGAGTGCTGCGGGCAGTGGTCTCGACGCCAGGAAGCACTCTTGCACACCGTTGGCCGGGTGTGGGGCGCAACACTTGGGCGACCGCTGGACATGCAGGCAATGCTGGACATGTGGTGTGGCGTATAGCCAGATGTGGGTTGCCTGCCTGGTCAGAGCGGTGCGTCAGGGCGTTTGAGGCCAACCCACTGCGGTATCGCGGTGGATGACAGTGAGACGATGGGCTAATGTGCTCACTGGGCGTTCTTTGATCGCTTTGCGGACGTGCCATTCGAGGGACTCTGCAAGGCATCAGGTGGTGTTGCTAGCAGGGGAGGCCGTGTATGGTGGAGTTGGGGAGATTTATTAGTTCATCATTGCGTGAAGTGGAGTTTGGAATCTGGAACAGTTCTGCCCTGGATGCTTGTCCGGCTACACTCTTTGGTAAAAAGCGGCTTGCCATTGCTTCTACGCTTGTTTGGGCAGGCGGTGATTGGTGGACTCTTTTTCAAGCTTTCAACCCTAAACAGGCCTGTGAGCATCTTGCGAGAAATGAGTTGCTACGCAATTTCTCCTCGCCCTACCCATTTGGGAGTGCTGAGGGCAGTGGTCTCGACGCCAGGAAGCACTCTTGCACACCGTTGGCCGGGTGTGGGGCGCAACACTTGGGCGACCGCTCGACATGCAGGCAATGCTGAACATGTGGTATGGCGTATAGTCAGATGTGGGTTGCCTGCCTGGTTAGAGCGGTGTGTCAGGGCGTTTGAGGCCAACCCACTGCGGCATCGCGGTGGATGACAGTGAGACGATGGGCTAATGTGCTCACTGGGCGTTCTTTGATCGCTTTGCGGACGTGCCATTCGAGGGACTCTGCAAGGCATCAGGTGGTGTTGCTAGCGGGGGAGGCCGTGTATGGTGGATTGGGGAGATTCATTAGTTGATCATTGCGTGAAGTGGAGTTTGGAATCTGGAACAGTTCTGCCCTGGATGCTTGACCGGCTAGACTCTTTGATAAAACGCGGGTTGCCATGGCGTTTACGCTTGTTTGGGCAGAGCGGTGATTTGGTGGACTATCTCTCTTTCAAGCTTTCAACCTTAAACAGGCCTGTGATGATCCTGCTGAGAAATGAGTTGCCGCGAAATTTATCCTCGCCCTACCCATTTGGGAGTGCTGAGGGCAGTGGTCTCGACGCCAGGAAGCACTCTTGCACACCGTTGGCCGGGTGTGGGGCGCAACACTTGGGCGACCGCTCGACATGCAGGCAATGCTGGACATGTGGTATGGCGTATAGCCAGATGTGGGTTGCTTGCCTGGTTAGAGCGGTGTGTCAGGGCGTTTGAGGCCAACCCACTGCGGTATCGCGGTGGATGACAGTGAGACGATGGGCTAATGTGCTCATAATGTGTTACTGGGCGTTCTTTGATCGCTTTGCGGACGTGCCATTCGAGGGACTCTGCAAGGCATCAGGTGGTGTTGCTAGCAGGGGAGGCCGTTTGTTCCATGTAACCAGGAAGGGTACGCATGATGTTTGTGTGCGTATTCTGCAGCGAGACATGTTTGCGACCTTGGAGTTTGTGTTGTCCTTGTGGACTTCCAGATTTCCTGGGGCGTTCTTTGATTTCCTCGTGGACGTGCCACCCGAGGCTGTCGACCAGGCCTCAAGTAGTGTTGCTAATTGGCAGGGGAGGCCGATGGGTTTTTGCCACTGCAAATTGTACGTATGACATTTCTGGGTTGTGATGCAGCGAGACATCTTGTGACCGTGGATCTTGCTTTGCGACTGTGCACGTTGTATTTGGCATCATGTTTGTTCGGTGCAGCCTGGCTCCTTGCTTGAGATGGGTCGACCAGATCTTCCCATGACAGCGTTTTCGTCATTTGCTTTGAAGAGTCAGGGGCGAGCGAGCGCAGACACAGGTAGGCCCGTAGGCAGTCAGGCAAAAAAGGAATTCATACTCACCAGCAACCAAACTAGCAATTGGACGCTTCCGATCAAGAATGAGCTGGCTGAACGAGTTAAGTTGAGCTATTCGGTTCCGCCCTACCCAGTGAGAGGCGCTGACACAAGAGGTCGTGGTCTCAACGCCTCTGGACCTCTTTACACACCGCTGGCCGGGTGTGGGGCGCAACACTGGGGCGTGCAGCCGATCGCCATGGAGGCAACGCTTAGCTTCAGTGCTGAGCATGTGCGTAAAGCCATGCAAGTACTTTTGCGTGCCTTGCCTTCCTGATGAAGCAGCACGCCAGAGCGTTTGAGGCCAACCCACTGTGTCATGGTGGATGACAGTGAGACGATGGGCTAATGTGCTCCCTGGGCGTTCTTTGATTTCCTCGTGGACGTGCCATGCGAGGCTGTCGACCAGGCGTCAAGTAGTGTTGCCAATTGGCAGGGGAGGCCGATGGGTTTTTGCCACCGCAAATTGTACGTATGACATTTCTGGGTTGTGATGCAGCGAGACATCTTGTGACCGTGGATCTTGCTTTGCGACTGTGCACGTTGTATTTGGCATCATGTTTGTTCGGTGCAGCCTGGCTCCTTGCTTGAGATGGGTCGACCAGATCTTCCCATGACAGCGTTTTCGTCATTTGCTTTGAAGAGTCAGGGGCGAGCGAGCGCAGACACAGGTAGGCCCGTAGGCAGTCAGGCAAAAAAGGAATTCATACTCACCAGCAACCAAACTAGCAATTGGACGCTTCCGATCAAGAATGAGCTGGCTGAACGAGTTAAGTTGAGCTATTCGGTTCCGCCCTACCCAGTGAGAGGCGCTGACACAAGAGGTCGTGGTCTCAACGCCTCTGGACCTCTTTACACACCGCTGGCCGGGTGTGGGGCGCAACACTGGGGCGTGCAGCCGATCGCCATGGAGGCAACGCTTAGCCCAGTGCTGAGCATGTGCGTAAAGCCACGCAAGTACTTTTGCGTGCCTTGCCTTCCTGATGAAGCAGCACGCCAGAGCGTTTGAGGCCAACCCACTGTGTCATGGTGGATGACAGTGAGACGATGGGCTAATGTGCTCCCTGGGCGTTCTTTGATTTCCTCGTGGACGTGCCATGCGAGGCTGTCGACCAGGCGTCAAGTAGTGTTGCCAATTGGCAGGGGAGGCCGATGGGTTTTTGCCACTGCAAATTGTACGTATGACATTTCTGGGTTGTGATGCAGCGAGACATGTTGTGACCGTGGATCTTGCTTTGCGACTGTGCACGTTGTATTTGGCATCATGTTTGTTCGGTGCAGCCTGGCTCCTTGCTTGAGATGGGTCGACCAGATCTTCCCATGACAGCGTTTTCGTCATTTGCTTTGAAGAGTCAGGGGCGAGCGAGCGCAGACACAGGTGGGCCCACCCACCAGCAACCAAACTAGCAATTGGACGCTTCCGATCAAGAATGAGCTGGCTGAACGAGTTAAGTTGAGCTATTCGGTTCCGCCCTACCCAGTGAGAGGCGCTGACACAAGAGGTCGTGGTCTCAACGCCTCTGGACCTCTTTACACACCGCTGGCCGGGTGTGGGGCGCAACACTGGGGCGTGCAGCAGATCGCCATGGAGGCAACGCTTAGCTTCAGTGCTGAGCATGTGCGTAAAGCCACGCAAGTACTTTTGCGTGCCTTGCCTTCATGATGAAGCAGCACGCCAGAGCGTTTGAGGCCAACCCACTGTGTCATGGTGGATGACAGTGAGACGATGGGCTAATGTGCTCCCTGGGCGTTCTTTGATTTCCTCGTGGACGTGCCATGCGAGGCTGTCGACCAGGCGTCAAGTAGTGTTGCTAATTGGCAGGGGAGGCCGATGGGTTTTTGCCACCGCAAATTGTACGTATGACATTCCTGGGTTGTGATGCAGCGAGACATGTTGTGACCGTGTTCAGCATTGGTTTACACTGGGGTTCATCCCTCTTAACGAGACTCTCGTGTACTCTCCGCCGTCTCACTGTCTCAGGCGAGAAGACACGCAAGAGCCCTGCGAGCGATGGCTTGGGCCTCCCAGTGGGGCGTGGAACTTGGGAAACCGGAGCCAGCTGGCCCCGAAAAAAAAAGCCACGATCAAAGCCACCCCACAAGTGGTAGGTTCTGAGGCGGGAAGAGGATCTTCGCTCAGGCAGGCTTTCGCTTCAATTGAGATCCTGTGAAAATAGGGTGGGGGGTGGGGGGGGGGGGGGGGGGGGGGGCAAAGTCTGTTGGTTGTTCTTTTGGCCCGGCAGCCAACCCCGTGTTCTGGCGCCTCAAAAGACAAACCCATCCAGTTGACGGATTAGTCCGGAGGACCCTAAGTCAGTAGATCTAGTTTCCTAACAGGGGCCTTGCCACCCTTTTTTTTGTGGTCCTGGGGTCATGATTTTGCCCATGGGTGCTGGTCCGAAGCGCATGGCAGAGAAGCGGAAGGTGCGGACCATGACTGCTATCCAAAACGTCGTCAAAACGTCAACCTTTGTTTGGGACATCCACCAGGGGAGCTCCCCAAAGAAGATCCGGTGCCAAATGACTTTTTGCGTGCAAACTCTGGTTTTAGCACTGTAGAGGTTCTACCAACTAAGGTTCTACAGCTTGACATGTGGAGGGTCATTTTGTGAGTGTCGCTTCAAATGGAAAAGGTCACCCAAACTGGGCAGACAGTTGGTTTTGTTTCCGTTGGGGTCCTTTCTTCCGGTGCCACTTTTGTACAAATCCAGTGTCTATGAAGCTTTGAAAGGTCGCGGATAGTTTTGTGTTGTCGGTTGCACATCGACTTTGTATGTCATGCTTTGAGTCTCTAGAAGATTTCGCTTTGCCAGAGGTCTACCCCGGTGCCAAGATCTTTGAAGACCTTTTTTTAAAGTTTGGGGTGCTTCCCGCAAGCACTTTGCCCTGGGAGCGCCAGCGCGTCACAATAGTATGGCCCAACTTGAGCACTTGCAGTCCAGCAGTTCTACTGCGCGGTGGAGTTTGGCTTGGGGGGGGCTCCTTGAGGTTCGAGACCTGGTGTGTTGTGTTCAGTGGCATTCTGCTTGATGTTCGAGGCCTGTTGCCTTCTGTAAAGGTGCCCTTGGGTTGAGGAAGCCAAAGGGAAACCACGAAGCCACCTTGCGGGTTCTCCGAAAGCCGAAAGCCAGACACATATATGACGAATTTTCAGAGGGACCCCTCCCGGTGCTGGGGACTTCCCTCCCAAGCCCAAAGCCTCAAAGCCTCAAAGCAAAGCACGGGCTCTCGTGGACATGGCTTTTCAACACACATGGGTATGGGTCAAAATCAAAGCACCAGGAATCGGACCGCAGGTTTTAGTCACTAATTTCCATTTCACCGGGTACCTATTTTTGACAACCGCAGCCAGATGATGTCAATGTAACGGACCCGAACTCGACAAAGCGCTTCCAGCGCTTCGCCTTAGGCCCAGCATCACCTCAGCCAAAGCCGCATGCGAGCCTCCGCCAGGCGCAGAATTAAGTTTCAGATGGACTGTGTGGCGTGGGTGGGTCCCTTGAGGGTCCCTTAAGGGTCCCTTTCCCCCTTTTTTTTGGTTTCCATCATCACCTTTTGGCCCAAGGGTGAGCTCTTTTTTTTGGCAGGGGTGATGTGTTAAGGGGAAATGTAGGGAGCTCTGTATTTTTTTTGTTTTGGTGTGTGTGTTTCTAAGAGTATTCCTCTGTGGGCCTGGCTCCAAGGCAAACAAGGGCAAGAAGCCATTCTTGAGACATGAACCCTTTTGAGCCCACCAATGGCCTCATGAATTGGAAAAGCACGCGCAAAACCTGGCTTTGGTCTCTGTGTTAAAGGGATCTGGGTCTTTGTGTTGTAAATTGAGGCCTGTCCCCAGATATATACCCTGCTGCCAGGCTTGCTCCGAACCTCAAAACAACGAGCACGGGCGAACATTGGCTTGTCTTGTTTCCTTTTCCAGAGCCCAGGTTCCTTTTCCCCGGTGCCGGGGATTTTGCAGCAACCCATGTTGAACCCAAAACAAGACCCCAACAAGGCCATACCAAGCCAGGAACGGGGAAGGCGGGCAGGGAAGTGCGGGGGATCTGGAGAACCCGGGTCTCAATCCTACTTTTGGACAGAATCCCACACCTAAGAGCGATAGCATTGGGATAGACCACTGATCAACTGAGCACAAACATCAAAAGGGTTTTGCGCAACCTGTTACCCTCACTCCCCGAGTTCCTGGACTTCAAACTTTTTGGGAAGATCAGTGAAGGCCGCGCGATCGGAAGTGAGGGAGGTTGCCGCAGTCTGTTTTCCATGCGACTGTGGATGGACTAGATCCATTTCGCACCACCGTTCAGAAAGCCTGGGATGATGATTCATGGAAATACCCACAAACAATGGTTTTGAAGTGGTCGTTAGGTGGTGCGAAATGGATTTCGTCCAGCCACAGTTTCGGGCCTCTCTCCTTCCCTCCCCTTCCCTTCCCTTCCCTTCCCTTCCCTTCCCTCCCCTCCCCTCCCCTTTCGCCAGGCGCTTGCCCAAAGCCCTAGCGCCGTGCTTGGGTACCAGCGTGCACTGGGACTTCTTTGCATGTCTTGCCCGTGAACCGCGGCAGATAGGTTTCTCTGAAGACCAGTTCCTCAAGACCTGGCAGTTTGGATGGGCCAAGAGCTGTTCTTTTGGTCGGTGAGTTTGGTTAGAAATAGATGGGTTCCACTGGTGTACATTGGTGTTGTTCTTTTTTTAACCAGGGCCAAGGGGTTGCTCTCTCTCTCTCTCTCTCTCTCTCTCTCTCTCTCTCTCTCTCTCTCTCTCTCTCTCTCTCTCTCTCTCTTGGCCAACTCTCTCTCTCTCTCTCTCTTTCTCTCTCTCTTGGCCAACTCTCTCTCTCTCTCTCTCTCTCTCTCTCTCTCTCTCTCTCTCTCTCTCTCTCTCTCTCTCTCTTGGCCAACTCTCTCTCTCTCTCTCTCTCTCTCTCTCTCTCTCTCTCTCTCTCTCTCTCTCTCTCTCTCTCTCTCTCTCTCTCTCTCTCTCTCTCTCTCTTGGCCAAATGATTTGATTCGACCATCCAAGTTTGGTCGAAGTCGGGGACAGCTTCCTTTGGGTCCTACCGTAAAAGGAAAGGTGTTCGACCCGTCTGATCAATCAGGTCGGAGCAATCTTTGTTCGTCGATGGGGTAAAGCTCCTCTCCCAGCTGGGGCCCGGTTGAACCTACGAATTTAGTGTACCACCGTGGTATGGAAGCTGGGGAAATAGTTTTTTCTCTGAAAGAGGGTTTGAATGGCTTGTAACGTTCATCCCAAAGCGGCAACAAAAAGTGGGCCTATTGTGTAATTGCAGGCTTTTATTTGGGGTGGCGTCCTCCTTCTGTCCAGGAAACAAATGGAAGCAACCGCTTTTGGGGAGCACCTTAGAGGCATGTGATTTTGACTGGTTGCAAAAACTTCAGACTCATCATACTAGGCGTTGCCCCTTCTTTAGACGGTACAAGCATGTTTTGATTGTAAAATCCCACCCACATTTGGGTAATCCTTCCTTGGTTTGGATGGGTGGTGCTGGGATTTGAACTGCTGCTTTCGTAGAGGGTTGCTGGGAAAGCATCCCTTAACCGCCGAACCGGGCTCCAAACCCCAACTGGGAGGAAGCGGCGCGTGAGCAAGAGAGGGGTTGGTCTCGGATTGAGGCTTCATGGGTACTTGGAGCTAGGGTTCTGAACAAGGGGAGACTCAATGGAGCCAGACCGACTTCCCACCACACCAACCACTACGACCCAACGGCTCACTAAAAGGAGGGGCATAGTATTGGGGTTAACGTTTTTTTTTTTTTTGTTCCCCGGGAACCCTCTTTTGGTTGTCTTGGAAGGCTTGGAGCCTGCCACGCCAGCTGTCATAGCATCCAAGCGAAATCAGGGGGGGGGAGGGCTTTGAAGTGCTCCCATTGGCCATAAAGTGACAGAGACACTTCAGGTGGACACAACAAAGCGCACAGGTGCAGTGTGCTGCACCCGCCCGCTCCCAGGAAAGCCCGTCCCAGTTCCGGACATGCCTCCGAAGGCCGAGCTACCCTCTCAGAAGCCAAAAGTACTGTTGACCTGGCTTAAAAGGTCAAGAGGTTTGTCTCAAAAGCAGGACACCCCCTTTTTGCATGCTGCAACGTTATCCCCTTGGCTTCCCTTTAGCTGACCAGTATCCTTCAAGAAAACGAGCCACCCATATGGCTTGGCCTCAGCTAACTGATGCCATCTGGTTGATCAGTAACTAAGCCTGTATCTTGACCAAGGACACAACCCTTTTTAGTCCAATGCATACAGTGTGCCGTGATCTAGCGGCACTTGTTTTACTTTTGAGTTGGGGTCGAAGACCAACTCAACCTAATTCCCAGTATCCCTAGTTTCGCAACCTTGCTCATTGTTTAGCAAGACATGTTAAATTGCCATTGAACGCCCAAGATTCAAAAGGAACAATGGTGTTTTGACTGGGGGTATATAATATGCTGCCACTGGTCAAAAAGGATTTGACTTGATCTGGTTGTGTTTCTTGCGGTTTTTCGTTGAAACGGACTGCGAATCGTTTTGAGTCAAGCCGAGGATCCCTGTTCGTTTAGCCTTCGCGCAGACAGATGACTCTGGGTGGCTTGTCCTAGATTTCTGCAGAGAAACAAACGGCCGAGTGGGTGGATTCCAACCAGAGTGGAACAAAAACATCTGAAATGGCGGACCTTGGTTTCGTTGACTCGCTTGCCCACTTCCGTTCACCATAGGTAACCAAGTCAACCACTCACCTGATTTCTCACGGCAAAACCGTGGTAAAAAGAGGCATATTTCATGATGTCCACCAAAGGGCCCGCAATCAACAAGGCACACCCTTGCCATTTGGGCGCAACGTGCCTAGATTGCCTGGGGCAAAGTCTCTCGCTGAGACTTTCTTCCTCGTTTCCGATTTAGGATTAACATAGGTTGCCCGGACCCGGACAATATCCATTAAACCCGACAGTTCATGGCTTTTTCTGATTCAAGCGATGCGAATCGGGGCTGCGCCAAACCGCCCGCGCGCTTGCGGATCCGATCCGAAGGAGCCGCCCGCGGCGCCGGGAGTCCCGGAGCCCGGGGCTGCGGAAGGTCTGCGAAGGCTCAGCCAAAACGCCAGGCCCACACCTGACGTTTAGGGCAACTCTGTCTGTTGCAAGCCCCCCCCGTTGACGCAACACGTTGCCTAGTAACAAAGCCAAGTTCTTCCAAGTTGGAATCCCTTATAACCGTGTAGCCTACCAAGTGGGTGCGCCGCAAATTCGTGGTGGAAGGTATTAATTAGGCTCGAGTCTCAGTCAAATAGGGCAAAGGTAGGTTTTATCCACTGTCCTTTGGTTGGCAAATCTCTTTGGGTAAAACGATTGCTGCCTTTTTTGGAGAGAAACCTCCTGCAAGGCTGGAGTTGAGGGCGCTCCCCCCGATCTCCGTGCCGCTTTGGCCTTGGGCTCAGGTGCTATCGGGGGGTGGCTTTTTTTGGGGGTGGGGGGGCAGGCACGTCAATGCCCCTTGCGCTGCCATTTTAAAGTGGATACCGGAAAGTAAAAGGGCCCGACGTATCCTGCCCATGGAGCCTCAACGGATCATTAATTTTGGATGAGAAACTCCAGACGTGTTTTCCGAATTCTCAGTCAATGCTGGGTCGCCAAGAGATTACATTTTAACACTCTCGAGTCAGACTCTCCTCGGGCCATCAACCCGACTTGGGTTTGACCAACATGACAAATTTTTCACAAGCAATGCCAGCAGGTTCATGTCAACAGAGTTGGCTTTTGTTAGGGGCTGCTGTTTTCTTAAGGGTGGATCCGTGTTAGATGATCATTGACTTGCTTTTCAAAGCCACACGGCCCCTTGAGTCGTGTTCGCTTGAGTTGGTGGGTCCGGGTGGGCCTTTCAAGGTATCTTGAGTTGATTGTGCCAACGCCTCGTGAGCAGTCTTTCTCTCGGATTCCAATCCGGCGTTGGCCTTTTCAGTTTGCCGCTGTTTTTGCCTTTGCATTTTGTTTGACCTCGTGAACGTGCTGCCAAGATCACCATGCAAAGCTGGCTGGGTCGTGCTTACTGTATGGCGCTAAGTGGCATCGATGTCCAGGGTTGGTGCTGAATCTTGGCGCTCGGACCAACCGTGGGAAAGGCTTCTCCATGGATTCACAGCAGGAAAAGTGTTCCCCAAAATCGGGATGGTTTTGGCTGAGGCAATGTGCATTGCCTGCTTGACGAGATCCTTGGACGGGGCTCCAGCTAATTATGTCAGTCTGCAGAAGTGAATGCTGCAGACAGCTCCGTTGAGGAGTACAACAGCAAGATGGTTGCCGACTCAAGCGGCCTGTTTTTTTCGCGTCATACGGCATGCACACCTCTATTGCAGCTGGTTGTTTGGCACATAGTATGTAATATGTGACATAGCTTCAATCTGGTCTTAGTTTGGAGCTAAGAAATCTATTTGAATTCTTTCCTTAGGATCATCAACATTTCCAGCCCCAACCATTTTTGAACAGGGGTTTGTCCTTCTTTGAGGGTACCCCAAAAGGCACACCATCTTTGGGGGGTCCAAGCTCAAAAACGACGAGCCACCCACTTGGGTTTCGTTTCAGCGAGGCGGAACGAGATCCTGGAGGCCTGTGTATGCTTGGGGTTTGGGGGTTTGGGGGTTTTGGGGGTTTGGGTCGTTCAGAGTTGATTTTGGTCGAAGTGAGATCCAAACATTGGCACGAGGCAATTTTGAAAAAAGAGTTTTTTTACTCACAAGGCTGTGGGTCAAAACCAATGGTACCATTTTGGTTGGTAGGTGAATTCACCACCCATTTTAGAATCAATTTTAGTGGTTGGATTGAATCGGATGTTCACTGGGGGGTACGGAATTTTGGATTTTGACCCATGGCCACATGACCGCGATGTCCAGAAATTGGCACAAGGCACCCGCGATCAGAATCTCGGGGGTACTCTGAATGAACGCCAGGAAGCCAACGAGGGGTGGCCCAAAAGCCGCTTCCAGAATTATGAAAACGGTAGCAGTTTCTGTGGGTTCTGACAAAAGATCAAAGAAGAAAGAACAGAAAGAAAAAACACAAAACAGGAAAAAAAAACACTGCTTGAAGCACAGAAACAGTACACAAAACAAAAAGACAACAGAACAGGGAGCGCATGAAGAGACAACTTGTTGCACAAGGAAGGTGCTGACAAACAGCAGCGCCACACAGGGCCGAATGCAAGGCGCAAGGAGCCCATTTGTTGATCCCTTTCTTGGCCTGATGCCGTCAAGCAAGATGTCAGAAGCACACTGGGTTCAAGTTTAGGCCGGTGGATGGGTTTCTGCGAGGGGATCTGTCGGTGGTAGCAGCTCCTCTTATTCTGGGGAATGAGCCCGGGTCAATAAACCTTGAGTTGAGTTTGACCGTGTTTGCCCCGTTGTGGCGATCCGGATCTCACGTTTGTGGGGCACGACGCCCAAGGTGCAGCTTCCTTTGTTGGGGCTCCGATCCGTTCGGTTGAATTGTAGATTTTGCAACGAGATCAACATGCGTGTCAAATAAAATCCAGCACCCGTTTTGGGAAAAAATGGATAATAACTCACGATACTGTATGTGGGTTGGTGCTTCCCATAGCCAACCCCAAAACTGTTTGAAACACGTCAGGTGCTATTTGGCCCGCCCCCTTGCTTGTTTTCACACGAGCCAATGTTCATTGTGTCCGCATGACAGGAGTTTGGTGGCTCCTTTTTCTGGACATTTAGGGTTCTTTTGCGGTACCCGGTAGACCAGGTTAAATCGACAGAGCAACAAAGGCAAGGAATTGATTCCCCATTCTTTTCGACCATCTTGCTTTTCCAAAAACCAGCTGTTCCCCTGGGTTTTTGATGGTTTCCTGAAAAGATCCGGATCCCTGGGTTCAGAATGGAATTGGAAGCTTCCCCTAGAAGGTGCATGGCTTTGAGTTCAGCTGGAAGTCCCCTTGTTCACATGAGAGAAGCTCAAAGCTTGTTATGAGATAGTCTCAACATAAATCGGTTTTTGGGCCCATTTTCGATACGAGGGTTTTCAGTCTGACTCAGATCTCAAGTCAACCTTCCGAAACTTCGGAGTGGAGGGCACCCCATGTAAGGTTGGCTTGAAGGGAAACCAACAGAAACACCGCCGTTTTGGGGGTCCCCTATTTTGACACATGTGCATTCACCCTTATGCTGAGTACTCAGCGGGCCAAGTATCTGTGGACTGACAAAGGCCCACAGGAGTTGGCCCGGGATGACAAAGGAAGCCGCCGCGAAAAACGAGATATCGAAAACCAAATTGACTGCCGAAAGAACTGGTAAAGACTGTTGGGCTGCTGGGTTGGACGGAAGACTGTTTGACTGTCAAAACGTGGGCTGTTTAATGGAACATGGGTTGACAGTCAAATAATCGATGGCTGGAAGAGATTTACAAGGATGTGCTTGCTTGGACTGTTCGAGAAAAAGCATGTCTGGGCTCCAATGCTGGTGAAGACCATAGCGCTGAGTTCACTTGCTCCAAACACACGGGCTGTCCGATACGAAATGTTTCTGGCAAAGTCTCAAGAATAGGGCGAAACGACAAGGACAACGGGCGATCGAGGTTCCTTTTGATTTCCATTTGAACTAGCCCGAGATATGGCCGATGTGGACCTTGTGCTTCCGGAGGCAATGGTTGCTGAATGGCGGGTGCTCTATTTGCCCAGAAAGCATCCAGAATGTGTTTCCGCTCAATTTGCCCACAATTGCCCATTCCGGTGCGTCTTTGTTTTAGGGGGACCCCCGCAAAATACAGGTTCTCCTTTTGGTTTGCCTTTAAAACCAACCAAAAGATGGCTCCCAATGAAAAGACAGCCCCATGTCAGCGTAGATTTTGCCGTAAATTTGGCATCCGGACTTCGCGGTGAGGGTTGCGCAGGCCGGATCGATCGTGAGGACTGGCAAGGGTCTTGCTGGTGGGCTGTGGGGATGTACAGTTGAGCAGACCGAAAACTCGTTCAATAGATGTTTTGACCTGGTGATTAAATGCAGGCACGTCAGACTCGTCCTGGGGATGTGTCATTTGACCTGATCAAAGTCAGACACAGATGTGTGTGTGTGTGTGTGTCCCTTTGAAACCTACCACTTCAGGGGGTGACTCTTTGTTGTCGTTTGAGTTGAGAAGCTTTAATATTTTTTTGCTGGCGTCTTCATCATTTAGTCAAGGCCCAAGCAGTTCAAACATTTTGGCCGGTGAACCCAGCGATTCTGTCTCAGAATGGGCAAAAAACATGGGGCCTGGTACTTGTCGCGTTGGATGGCCCAGACTTGTGGCCTTCCACGCCGTTGAATTCGCGGCAGCGGCCCAGTCGTTGACTTGCCCCACTGGGCCGCACGCCACACCCGCCAACCTGGGGACGTCTTTCCATCTCTGCTGCATATGTTGCAGAAGTGGTGAGAAGCAAATGTCTTCTTGTGCCTTGCCACGAAACTTGGTGGTGTCCACCACTACCAAAACCATGAACATTATCTCTCAGGGGAAAGGGCCGGGAGGGTTATATACGCTCATATTCTAGCTATACAGTGACTGCATGTCCCATGAACCTCCTGAGTGTAGTGGTTTGGAGGGTAGCTCAGTAGTTCAATACCAACCTTTCAACTTTTGTTGGTTTTCCCTGTTAGTCTACTTTTAGCAAATGCCCCCAAAGGTCAACCTTTCATGTCTTGCCCTTTGCGGCAGTGAGGTACTGTAAGCCATCCAGGGATTTGCCCAGAAGCTTCATAGCGTCCCTTGGTTTTTCAGGAGATGGCAGGAGGAGATGGATCTAACAGGCGGGGCCCGCTCGCCACTTGTGGTACCAAAGAAATCGATGTGAAGGCGACAAAGTACGGGGCCTGTGGTGTTTCCAGATTTACACGGCTTTTGCCTTTTTTCTTTGTAAGGCCAAAAGCCTGAGCCCGTTGTCAGGAGAGCCGACACAAGACCCCCCTACCCACACAGCTAAGAGAACTCTTCAATCAGAACTCGCCCCAAGGTTTGTGGAAATAGGAGCCTGGCTTTGGTTTCGGAAGATAGGCAGTTTGATTTGGATTTAGTTTGCCCCAAAAGGACACACTCACAAACAAAGTTGCTCGTTACCTCCCGGTGGTTTCTGCCCAACTTAGAACACGAAAAGCCGTGCAACAATGCAATCCAGCGCCAGAGACAAGGGTAGCGACAACAATAATCCTGACAATGCAACTGACATGAGTGCCATGCAACAAAAGTTGGCAACAACCAAAGACCCCACAACTCAATTACCAATCCACGAGAGCAGGCCATTTGAGGGTTTCCTTCCGAATTTATTTAGGGTCTAAGCAACTTGCCTTTTCTCAACATCCAAGCATAGGTGTCCTGTTTAGGTTGGTTTGAAATAGATGGCACTGGTTTGATTGGTGTTATGTCATTTACCAGAGAGTTTTATTAGAAATAGATGGGGAATCACTGGTTTAGATGGGTGTTCTGCCTCATTTTTCCCCACCCGACAGGTAGATTTTATGTTGGAATCCGCGTTTGCGATGCTTTTACACCATGCCCCCACCCACCGCCAGAGCAGCTCGCCAGTAGATCCCGCCGAGTATCCCGCCAGAGCAGCTCGCCAGTGGATCCCGCCAAGTATCCTGCCAGAGCGCCTCGCCAGTGGATCCCGCCCAGTATCCCGCCAGAGCTTGCCAGTGGATCCCGCCGAGTATCCCGCCAGAGCGGCTCGCCAGTGGATCCCGCCAAGTATCCCGCCAGAGCTCGCCAGTGGATCCCGCCGAGTATCGCGCCAGAGGCCTCGCCAGTGGATCCCGCCCAGTATCCCGCCATAGCTGCTCGCCAGTGTATCCCGCCGAGTATCCCGCCAGAGCGGCTCGCAGTGGATCCCGCCGAGTATCCCGCCAGAGCTCGCCAGTGGATCCCGCCGAGTATCCCGCCAGAGCGGCTCGCCAGTGGATCCCGCCGAGTATCCCGCCAGAGCAGCTGGCCAGTGGATCCCGCCGAGAATCCGGCCAGTATCAAGCCGGGGCGGCTCGCCAGCATTCGCCAGTGGATCGCGCCAGTATCCCGCCAGAGCAGCTCGCCAGTCTCGTTTTGCTTAATGTCCAAAAGGGCCGATGGGAATTTGGAGTCGAAGTCTCTAGGATGTGGAGGAATTTGTTGTAACGGTCGTAAGCTCGTCAGAGTGTAGGGTGGGGATTGCTCGAAGCGAAGTATTTTTTCGAGGGTATGCAGGCATCAAACCGTGCCCAGTGGTTTTTTCCTTGGCCTACCTTCGGCAAAAATCGAACCCGAGGCTTCAAAGCTCCGCAGATGACGCGCTTGCCGCTGCTGCCGCCCTGTGCTCGGCAAAGAGAGGGGTGAGCGTCTCAGTTTCTTTTTGGCCGCAAACCGTTTCGATCCTTTGGGTTTGTCCAACGGGGACTTAGCTTACCCCGAAAACTCGGCGGTTCCGCAGGTGTTTAGCGGTTTTTAGGGGGCTTAGCGGTTGGGTTTGCATTTAACCCACTGAAAGTCCAAAACCTTTAGCAGCGGATCGGAAAACGGACAGGGGGTCTTCAAAGGAAACCAACGATTGGAAACTACGGCTCAGTGAGCCTTGTTCCACGGTCTCTGGAGCACACCTGGCCTGATAGGATTGGTGGTTTGGAGCCCAAGGGTTCGGTGCTTAAGGACAGTTTTTCATTTACCCTCTACAAGAACCAGGGGCTCAAATCCAAATCCAAACCAATGCACGCCACCAACTCGAAAATATTTGAGGATTGCCGTGCCCAGCAACGCCCTCACAAACAAGTCTGTGCTTTTCCCATTGCCAGTCGTTCACCGGTTTGCTCACTTTCTCCTTTGATTAGCAAGATGGGTGTGTCTTGTTTTAGGGCACTCACTAAAATGGTGGGTGTCCTTCTGGGTTCCCTTTACTCAGTTGTTCAGTGGCTCCCTTTATCCCTTTTCTTTGGGTGGCTGCCCAACTAAAATGGTCTTCCCCAAAAAAGGCTCCTTTTTTCCAGGGTCACTGAACAACTGAGTTTAAGGCCACAGAAGGCAAAGACGGGCAGCCTCAAAAAACCGAGAGACCCCGCTTGCTTTTGGCATGTCGGATTCGAATTGCTCGCCGGAGGTCGCCGAGGGGCAGCGTGGTGCTGCCAGCGAGGCGGCGGGTTTGCAGTGCTTGGGGAGAGGGTCCCCAAGGAAACCGGGAAGTCCCCACCACTGGGGTAGACTTAGGATGCATTTTACATTTTGCCAGTCAAAGGGACGCAAACAATAGAATATACATTCTAATCACGACCAAGGCATTTTAAACAAATAGAGCTGATGTGTGTTTCTTTTGGAGGGCGGTGCGGAAGTCTTCAAGGAAACCAAACATTTGTACAAAGTGTTGGTGCTTATGGGACCCCTTCTTGGTTGCTCTGAGCATCAGATAATTAAAGAGGCCCTCCATTCAAGACAATTTTAAAGGTCATACGGTGGTGTAGCATGCGTTTTTCTTTGTTGCCTTTTCCGGGAAACCAAGATAATATCATTTTGAAGGTGCCCCCTATTCGGGCACAAGTACTTAGAGAGCAAGCTATGGCGACAATAGGGTTTTGCTGGCCCAATAAAAAGCTAAACAACCGCGGCCTTTCAAAGAGCGACCCACCTGTTTACATTGCCTAGCTCAGCTTCTTCCCTTTTTGCCTTTGGGTTTTCACCAATTTCCCTTCCAACCAGCAGAAGGGAGAACTGTTTGCAGATCCATTTGGCGCAGGTTCAATGGCCAAATAAAGAGTTTTGGTCGCTGTTCGAATGGGGCCGTTTTCAACCCCTCATGGAAGCTACTTCCGAAAACACCATCAAAGGCTGAGTGTGTCCAACTGTCCAAGGAATCCATTCTGGGCTTGCCTGGCTTGCCTGGCTTGCCTGGCTTGCCACAAGTAATCCCGTGAACCAGGGATTCATACCAGGGTCACAAGAGGTATCACATCGATCGACATATCACCCTTCGCACGTGGAAATCACCCGTCTCACCGACCAGGGTTTTGGATTCACCAACCAGCAATCGCAGCCTTACAGCCATGCTTGCTTGCCCAAGCCATATTTAGTCAAGGTTCCAACAGGTGATCACCTCATATCTCCAGCCTTTCAGTTCCTTTCTTAGGTATTTCTCAACGTTTTGTGTTGACAAAGAACACGCCACCCAGAAAAAATCACAGTTAAGAACTGGCAAGCGGGATACGACGGGCAATTTCTTCAGTTGCAATCGTGGATGTAATCTCTGTCTTGCTTAGGTTGAACATGGGCAAGTGGCCATGAATTCTACTGGCGAAGACCCTAACAAATGAGTGTGGGCCAAAGTTAAACAACCAGGATCTGGACTGCAGGTTTTTAGTCCTTTCTATTTGCCAGGGCAGCCCATTTGAGGTTACCCTATTCTTGACTGCCAAGTAGTTCCATGTCAATGATGTTCAACAAGGGTCTGATGAGCATTCACACCCGAGTGCTTGGCAAAGGTCCGCTTCACCATTGTTGGCAAGTGCTTAGTGTTTTTTTTTGGCAAAGTTTTTAGTAGGGGTCTACGGGAAAAACACACACACACACACACACAACAGTGTTTTGCAAGCCCAAACCGTTTGGGATTGTAAAGTCCTTGCCTTCGGCGTTTGCACCAAGCCCTCTCAAGCTCGAAACGGCCGATGCTCCGCAATTCACGGTGACCATCAAGCAAGGGGAAGAATCAGTCGCATACCAGGGCCTGACCCAGCTGATTTTACCCCCCCCCCCCCGAACATCATGGGACCCTGTGTTAGGCAGGTCCTGCATGGGAGTTGTTGGGCCTCGAAAAAGGCCATTTGGAGGTCATTTCTCCGCCCAAAAGGTGGCCTTTGCGGGATTTCGGAGCAGACCGCCAAAGTGTGCCGCGGCAACGCGCAAGGCTTGCAGTGCGCAGTGACAGTCCAGGCGCCTGGGTAGAGTTGGACAACCAAGCTGTAGGCAAACGGTCGTCATTGCTTGGCGGTGCTCAGCAGTACCTTTTGGAATTTTAGAGTTGGATTTATGCCACTGAAACTAAATACAACTTGAAACTACGATTGGCCCGTGTTGAATGTTTTGTTTTCTAGGCTCTCTTCATTTTCTCATTGGGGGCTACCTTGGGTTTGGGTAGCGAAGGAAGATACGGGTCCCAGATAGCATGGATACGCGAAAGCCGACAGAGTGTTTCTGGTCAAACATGAGAGCAGTACCAATCATTGTGCCGTCTAGGGGCTCCGGCAGGCTTCTTTTCATGGCCGTCCCACTATGACTTGCAGTCCTTGTATTTGTGTTTGTCTTGTTGGCCCTTTGTTGCAGAGATGGAACACAAAACCCCTTTGCCAGCGTAGCTTGGGTGGGGCAGCTAAATCTCCTTTGCTTTGCTAGACAAGCCTTGCCCAATGCGCACAAACTTCCCTTTGCTGAGGCGCGAATTACGAGCTTGCCTGGGAATAACGCGAGCTCACCCATGATAGCCCCTCATGTGGGGCTCAGTTTTGGATGGGTGTCTTTTTTCCTCTGTGCTGGAACAGAAATGAATTCGTATGGCTAAGTACTATAATGCATGTGTGTGTATATATATATATGCAGCATCTATATACATGATTTAAACATGTATGTGTTTGCCTTTTACATGCTTCGGCAGTGACTTCACCTAACTGCATCACACGCAACCGATTGAAGACTTTTGGGCTTTTTGGGGTCTGGTTCTGTTCATCAGTTGTTGGTTGGGGTGCAACCAACACGGGCCCCCCAATTTTCACATACACAACATATGTATGTATATATATAATATGTATGTATATGCATATATATATATATGTATATATAGATATGTATATATGTATATACATATATAAGTACACACGCAACACATGTATGTGTATATACATATGTATTTGTGTATGTAAATTTACGTTGATGTGTGCAGTATATATATACATATATAATCATCATGGGTTTTCCTAAGCATCCGTTACGTCACATGCACTCCAGTTCCGGCTCGCTGGGCGCAGGTGTGGCTTTGAGCCGGCCGACTCATGAGGATGAGGTCGCAGCTTGGAGCGGTTTGGTGTTTTTTGAGCGGCCGCGATTCAGGTTGACCCAGCATGAATGAACCGGGCCCATGAATGTAGTATGGGAGTGTTCCCCTCCAAAAGTGGTCTGAACCTAACTAGAACCAAAACACACCCATCTTAATAGAACAGGGGTTTCTAATTCCGAAGTCAACCTTTGAACCCTTGAGATTCGTAGGGTGTTTCCTTTAAACGTGGGTCGAACTTGGTGGTTCCTAGCCACCCGGAATTTGGTTTTGGTCGGTTTTAGCTGGCTAGTTTCCACTAAGCCGCAAGTTGCTTTTTGGCTTTTTTTCCGCAGGGGATCAGAGAACAGCCCAGTTTTTTATCCAGCCGGGTTTATGACTCCTGGGTTCCCAGTTCTCAGGTTCTCAGGTTGAGGCAGCATCCCACAGGGCGCTTTCCCGGTTTTCAGAGCCAGACTGGACTGAGCCTCGTTTGGGTTTCGGCACTTGGCGTTGTTCGGTTTCAGCAGGAAACGGTTCACGCCTACTGCTTGTTGCTCACGGAAAGGTATGTCTCAAAGGTACCCAGTGAGATGATCTTGAAGCTGAAGGTTTGAAAGGGGAATGTAGGGTGTTGCCCCAAAAAGCGATCGGGCCTTGCCATGACCTCTGGCGCTTCTGCAGTTTCTTGGGGGGAGACATCTGAATGGCCAGGATGTTTTGCCTCCTATTCTCGTACCACAATGTTGATATCCTCCGCAGTTCAGAATACCTTTCAGGGACCTAGAGATCCGTCCTTTGAACAAATTAGAGGCCATTAAGAATTTCATGCCGCCCCGGGACTGCTTGCAAACAGAGCGGTAACTTTCTTGCAGAGCTTGCAGCCAGGGAGGCAGTAGGTTGCGTGCGTCCTGAAGGGCTCAGCCTCCGCTTCCCTCAGCGTCACGTGGAAATCAGTCTATTACGGGATGGCGAGAATCTGTCGAACTTTCTTGTCAAGTTGGGGGGAAGTTCCCCTTCTGACATTAGCCGCCCCCCCCTTCCCGGGTGGGTTGCCTAATTCTCTCAAAGATCCCCCCCAGTCTTGGCTCCCCTTGCTTGTAGCCCTTCCTCAGATGGTTGGAGATACGCTTCTTCTTGGGGGGTCACATATGTTCACTCCTTGCTTGAGTCGTGCCAGAAACGTATCCCGACCAGATCACATTCCCGCCGACCATCCCCGAGTCTCGTAGGCTGAAGTTTGCCTATCATTGAAGCTATATTTCGGCATGCCCATCCCCAATGTACCATGGCACTTTTGCATCCGATACTGACCGTACTCCGAGCTCAGAGCAGCACCCGTTTGGAGAGGAAGTCTGTGGTTTGTCCTTTTCCGCTCTTTCTGCTCTTCCGAGACGGAGCTCTTTCCTTGGCCGAGGCCGAGGCCGTCACAGGCGCTTGCCTTTTTTTTTTGCTGCCCGTGGTACAGTATCCCAAGCGTCGCGTAGGAAGCCGTGCACGCCGCTCTTTTTCTTCTTTTCTTCACATATCTTGCATGCCTTGATGCTGACGACCTCAATAAGCAGATTCCACGTCCACTGAGCTCACCAGCCAGCCCTCCCCGCCCCTCTGTCGGAATCTTTGCCTTTCGGCAGCCTCTCATTCGTGCAATCGCACTGGTGTGGTCACAGACTATATTCATGCGAAGAGCAAACTGTGAACGATTGCAGGGGGTGTAAGATTGGCCATGTTTTGAGGTCCCTTTTCAAGTGCCCTTTGGTACTTTGTGGCGGAATCCACCAATTCCACAATTTGCAGCCACTGCTTCTTGTTCCACTGTCGAGCTGGTGCCTCATGGTAGTTTTTCGAGAACCCTCAGGATGTTCACAAATATCAGGTGGCCTCATTTGTGCGATCTTACACGTCGCACTTTTGGCCCGCGGCTGAGTTTTGCTCAGGGTGCACGTTTCAAAGCGCCCTCCCGAGGATCTCAAGGAGATCTACCGGCCCGGTTCCACGGAGGTTTTTTGGGGGATACCCAAGGGAGGGCGCTCCGTTGGGTGTGGCGTTCAGTTGGACCTCCTTTTGGTTAGTATGGACGTCCAGCTGAAGTTGACATTGTCATTTGCAAGGGACACATTCACAAGTCATCAAATGTCAATCACAAGCACCAGGGCACCGTGCAATGATTTTCCAATTCTCATGTTGGTGAAGGCAACCCGAAGCAAGACAATTTTCAGGTTTTCCGATGCTGGTCCAATTTTCAGGTTTTCCCATGCTGGTCCACTTTTTCCATGGTCGATGTTCAGTCAATTTCAATTGTCAACCTGTACCTCTTGAGCGAGCTATGCTCAGACATACCCTCTCGGATACATTTCGGGGACATGGAAGGGGATTAACCACCTGGAGTCTCCATTGTGGCTTTTTCATTTTTGGGTATACCGCATGAGCGTCACAGAGGCTTCAGGCGCCTTTCTTTTGCAAAAGAGGAACTACAACCACCACCCACTGCCAGACGGCGGCCTTGTATGGCCGGAGCAACTGCCCCGGCCTCCAGGTGCCCCTTGACTGCCCCGTCACTTTTTGCTTTGGTTTTTTGTGGGAGTTTCCCCCTGGTCAATGTTCTCAGGTGCCCCTTGGCGAAGTTTGGATGGGACTTGAAGCCCAAAGCACGATCCAAGGCATAAAGTCCCGGTGCAGCGTGCGCGGGTGAAGCTGAAGCTAGCAATGTGCCAGCGGCCGATTCGGGCATAGCCGAAGTGTGCTGCGTTGAATCATGCTGAAGAAGCAGTTGGTTTATCTGATCCTCTGGAATTTTTTGATCTGATTTTCGGAATGAGTGGAGTTTCCTGTGCCAAGTTCCTTGTTTCTCGTTTTTTGGCGGCCGTCGGCGCCCCGTTTGGGGGCCAGTGGTCGATAGAGGCGAGGTGGCGGGCTGGTGAATCCAGGGGGTCGTTGATCTACCTTTCACGACTTCCTTTTATGAAGGTAGACTTAAACCCGGGAGGGGTTGATTTCACAGGCGGGAACTGGGTTCAAGTCTGATCCCAAGGTAGATTCAGGAACCCTGGGTACGCCTGTTTTGGTCAAACAACCGTACCACTTGGCGATTCTAGCAAGCGGCGTTCCACTGCCTGGCTTCATAGGGTTTGTAGCAGGGCCTGTATAAAGCCTTGTGTCAGTTGTTGGCTGAAGCAAACGTCAATGCAGTTTTGGAGCGCTGCACAATTGGCTCCATTGTGTCTTGAAATGGGAACTTGAAAACAACCCAAAAAGGATACCCATTTAAAACATCTTGAGCGGCAAAAAGGACCCGCATCTACTGGAGCAGCGCTCAATATCAACATGAAGCAGTTACAGAAGGAATTGTCGTGCTAGTGCATTGGCGGTGTGCAAGAATTCAATCAAGGCGTTTGGATGGTGGGGTAAAAACCCGCTCAGACACCACCCCATTTTAAGACGTCATGATCTTTTCTTGTTTCTCTTTTGGGGGGGGGAACAAACTGAAATCCCAAGGAGTTCGCGTCTGGCCGAATATCTCAAGTCAGTCTCATGATGCCGACCTTGTTTCGCCGCCCGCCCAAAGATCCGGACATCTCGCATTTCTGCCGCATCGTCGATTCAATTGACACAAAAGGCTTCAGCCGGCCGTGACTTGGCGCGTTTGGGCAGGTAGGGTTGAGCCAGGAGGACAAAGACCAAGTGCGACAATTAGTGGGTGAGCGCCATCCCTAAACATCATTGGACCACTGGAAGAGGACAAGGTAGTTCCTTTTTGAGGGCATTCTTGTCAACCATGATTCTTTGACAAAGCCAGACGTTCTTCTGGCTATTTGGCAAGTTTCCGGACAATAATCTCTGGAAAGACTGAGGACCGTCAAGGGTTTTTGTGGCTGATGGAGGTCCCAAGCCTAGGGAAGGCTTTTCACCTGGTCCGAACAAGTCCAGCTCGTTTTGATTCACAACCAGCGTTTGCTCAACATGCCTCCTTAGCTTGTCAACCCACCCTCAATGGTTTGTCTTGCCCTTGAGCAGGCTGGGATGTAGCAGGAGCAACAGCGAGCTTAGGTAAGATGCGGTCACGCGGGAGTTGATGTAAAGGAGGTATGTGCAAACACCCCTAGCTCGAAACAGGTCGGGATTGTTTGGTCCAAGCGGGCAGGGGTGGGCGGGGGAAGAGGGCAACGCTTGTGGGTATCTCATCCAAGCGTGTGTGCTTTTGTCAGGGTATAGGCAGAAGGATCGCTTCCTTCCAAACGCCCATATGTGACATGAGAAAAACTCTGGGGATAGTCAGAATCCTCTCAATCGGGATGGAGGTTCTCCATGGGTTCGATGAGTGAAACCCTTGTCTCAGTTGTTCAGTGGCACCCTTTTTCCTCTTTGTTTTCAAAGACTCAAGAGGTATTCCGGCATTCCGGCATCCTCGCGCGAAATTCAGGGATGCAGGAGATGTTCAACCCAACTTGGAAAAAAATAAACGGTCGCACATGGGAGGGGTTGGTGGAATGGTGAGAACTTGCTTCTGGCATCGCAGCATCGCTGTTTTGAGTTTTGAGTTGCGATCGCGAGGCGAGAGATGCGATCGGAAGGAGAGTTATGGAATGACCCCGATGAAAATCCGAGTCCCAACTGGTGGCTTCCAATAAACGGGGACCCATGGGTTCATTCCCAAAACCCTAGGTCATTCCTTACTGAGCAAGTTTTGCACTTGGAGAAGCCCTCGGGTGCAGAACTCCATGACACAAGATTTGTGCGCCCGCAGAAAAAAAAAAACAAGAAAGAAAAACACATGGCCACTGGACGAGTTCTGCAGTTGGTGGGTGTTTGTCCCCCAGAATTTATCGGCTTCGGATTTGGCCCATCATAGCATGAATGACTCCGAAAGGGTCCTAAAAGGTCCAGAGGCACACCGACGTGGCAGGTCCCATGCGCGCAGGCTTCGCAGGGGGCGGAAAGCTTGCACTGTGAACCACGAGAGGTTCGCAAACAACCAGCCCCTCTTTGCTGGAAAACCAATGCGAGATTGTTTAAACGATAGTTAGGTGTGCACTTTAGAAGAGAGCCCCTTTGGGTGGTACTGAAAACCAAAAGAAGGTTTATCCGAACAAATCGCTTGGGAGAAGCATCCGCAGCGAGATTTAATTTGAGCCACACCCATTTTTTGGCGACTCAAAGGGGCATTGGTTTGTTCCCTTGATCCAAAACAAAGAGGGGGTCAAAAATAGATACCCCCCAAATGGAACCTTGGCAAGTGGAACCATGTTGACCAAAACCTGTGGTCTGGTGGTTTGAAGTTGACCCAACTGGCCCGCCCCTGGCGTTTCTTGGGTTCAAGGCCAAGGCTTGTTGACAGAGGGGCCACACCGAAACGGCGGCGGTTTTGGTTTTGGCGTGTGACGCGGTGGGTTTGGTTTTAGGTCCAGGAGCGCTTCAAAAGGACACCGGAGGTTCGGTGGCTTGGTTTTTAGCCTTAAAGCTGGGAGAGGCTGTTTTTCAGCTGTTTTGGTTGGTTTAACGATTGGATTTCCATTTAACCCACTACTGCCCAGGTAGGTGTCCTTTTGATCGGTGAGTTTGGTTGGAAATAGATGGGTTCCACTGGCTTAGGTGGGTTTCATGCCCCATCTGCCAGAACAATCCATTGAATTTCCCAAAAGGCCTACAGCTGGAATCCCCAGTTTAAGCAACTCCATTGGCTTCTCGGGTTGTACAAAACCGAGACTCATCCAGGGGCCTAGCCCTTCAACGGACGAAGCCCCGCCCTGAGACACGCAGAGGTGTCCTTTTGGTTTCCCGTCAATCTGAAGGGGTACCTCAAAGCCAACTAGCCAAGTTGCTCTTGCTTCCAGCTTTGCCAACAGTCGCAGGCAACAAGCAACTGGCGACCCGTTTCCAACCCCTGACTCAAAAAGTGCGGTTTCTTGCCGGGGAAACCCAGATCGTTCCTGGTTTTTGCCGGAGAAGCTCAGGTTTTTCTACCCTTTCCCTCCCCAAAAGCCGCGGGCGTAGTTGGGTATGTCGGGGCACGCGCCCATTTCCGGTTGAGATCAAGGATCGGCTTCGATTCGGATCAGTTCCAGGTGCCTCCTGCCCTGGCCCAGGCGGGCTCGGTGGGTTTGGAATGGATTCCCGGGCTTGGATTTTGTGGTTTGGGGATGTGGCACTCTTTTTTCCCCAACAGCTGAAAGCTTTGGGGTCTCAGCCCAGATAGGCTCCGGGGTGGTCCGGGGCGGCCCTGAGGTGAGGTTCCACGAGGGTTCCACCAGGGTTCCACCAGGGTTCCACGAGGGTTCCACGAGGTTCTGCGAGGGCTGCGGGGTGGTGCGAGCACTAAAAGAGCACCGCATGCTGTTGGGATATCACCTGAGCTTATTTTTATGTTAGCACCTTGCTTTCGTTTTTCCCCAGCTGAAAGCTTTGGGGTCTCAGCCCAGATAGGCTCCGGGGTGGTCCGGGGCGGAGGTTCCATGAGGGTTCCACGAGGGTTCCACCAAGGTTCCACCAGGGTTCCACCAAGGTTCCACGAGGTTCTGCGAGGGCTGCGGGGTGGTGCGAGCCTAAAAAGAGCACCGCATGCTGTTGGGGATATCACCTGAGCTTATGGCTTTTTGGTTGCGTGGTGGGGGCGTCCCAATTTCTTTGTTGTTTTTTGGGCGGAAGGTCCGTGTGTTTGTGTCTTTCTTTGTTTCTTCCCTAGCTTGATGCTTGTTGGTGGGTTTACTTGTCTTGTCCTATTTTTTGGGTTTCAAGCTTGTATTGTTCGACGAGTGTTTTTCCTTGGGGTCTCAGCCCAGATAGGCTCCGGCGTGGTCCGGGGCGGCGCTGAGGTAAGGTTCCACGAGGGTTCCACCAGGGTTCCACCAGGGTTCCGCCAGTGTTCCACCAGGGTTCCACTAGGGTTCCAGCTTTTGGATGAGTTTTCCATCAAGGCTGAAAAGGAGATGCACTTCGGTGGCCTATGGTATTTGAGGACCCATGTTTGGCCAGATCCTCAACTTAGCTCAGAGGAAGTGGATGTTTCTCAGTGGGGAAATCGGAACTCCTTCCGGCCAGCCGATGGGCATGCAGCGGGGGTCGGGGGCCTCGGCATGCTGCACTGCGGCATGTGTGTGTGCACTGGTGTCCTGAGAGCTCACCCGTTTTTGCTTTGTTTTTGCAAGCCAAAGGAACGAGCAAATGAGCCAGGTGGGCGGAACGGAACCTCATGTTCTAGCCAGCTACAGAGATGTCCCATTTCCCATGTGGCAAAGCCCCTGCGGTTTTCAGGTACCCGGGAGATCTGGGGTTGGTATCGGTTGAGGACGCGATTCGAGATGCCCAACTTCTGGGCCCGAAGCGGGGTTTTTGGCCGAGGCGTGCAGAAGCTAGCCCTTAGTTGAGCAGGGCCCACAACCCCTTTTCTCGTCTGCTAGTGGGTTGGATCTTTGGACTTTAACCTTTTCGGAAATGAAGGGGTGTTCCGCTAAACCCACCAAAAGTTGAACACTTTTTGCAGGGGGGTCAGCAGCAACAAAGTTTTTGGCTAGGTCGCTCTGCGACCTGGCTTTTGCGATGCCTTCTTGGAGCCCAGTTTGGTCATTGGCAATGCCTTCTAGAAAAAACAGAAGTGAAGCCATCCCCATGGGTGTGGCTCAAAATTAAAGAGCCAGGGTTATGCAGGTGTTGGTCTTTGGTTCCATTTACCAAGGTGCCATTTTTGTACATCTTTTTGAGCTTTAGCCATTTTTTGGTGACGAATCCCATTTCCTTAGTTACGGGGAAGACTAGAACCCACCTTGACCTTAAGGTAGGGTAGGGATTGTCATGTCTCTAAAAGCAACCCTTTGTGGAAGGTTTTGTTGGCTTTGGAGACGACACACATTGGGCTTGTCTTAAAATAGGGCGTGGGCTTCCTTTTGGCTTCCCTAGCAAAACTCCCCAACAAAGGGGCCAGCAAACAAAACAGACCCCACGGAGCCATTTGGACCCCTCGCTCTTCGATTCAGATGCCAACTAGGTGCCCCAAGGGCATGGTTCGAAGATACGGGTACTCGGCGTCCCTCCGCATGGTTGTTGTTGGGACACATTTTGCATTTTTTGCTTAATGTGGTTGAGTGGTTGAAATCCCTCCCCACTTAACTGTTTCTTTTTAGGTTTTTTGCTCCCCTTCCAACGTCAACCAAGTCTAACTCATGGGTGATTTGGAGATGGGTGGTTTGGTGTTCCGGGGTAGCTTCCCATTCACCCAGGGCCAAAGGTCGAAACTGGGCGTTGGCCATTGCTGCGCCTGTGGTTCAAGTGGGAGTCACTCCCCTGTGGCAAGATGTGGCGGTAAGGTGGCAGACATGACGTCTTGGACATATCAGCGTGTTCTGAAATAGTTGTGTCCCACTAAAACCCTTGGCTTTTTGGTTTTGGGTGTTGGTTTCTTGCTCCTGGGCTTCGTTGACTCCAAGTGAGCGCTGCACAAGTCGGCGGCGCCCTCCGCGGTCCCGTGGCGCCGCTTTCAAGAGCGCTGCGGGTCGGGCGCCATGACGGGCCATGGGCGAGTGGCAGCCAGGGCTCGCGGCGCTGGCGGCGGCTCGGGTGGAGACATTTGGGTATCTCACTTCCTGAGGTAATGGACTTTAGTCACTTTTTGGGAAGACCATTTTTCTATCTGTAGTGGTAACTACATGGTTTGGACTCGTTTTGGCCAATCCACTCAGGAAGTGAGGTATGGGTCAAGATTAAAGCACCAGGGCTCAGGGGGCCAGAGGTTTTGTCTTCGTGTTGCTTCCATTGCAGGGCTTAAGCATTTTGGGGTACCTATTCTTGCACGCCCATTTTCCTGAGACGACGCCACTGGGACATGGTCGCAGACTTTTTTAAGGCGCGAGAGGCAGGGGAAGAATTCAGCTTTGCACCGAAACTCGGAGCGCAAAGTTCAAAAGGCAACAAAATGTCGCTGGGGTGATGTGCCGAGGTTCGGGGTTTGGCAAAGCCCCAATGTCTAAGCTGGGGGTGGGTGGTTGGAGGCGTGTTCTTTCTCTTCGTTTGGGGCGTTTTTTTTGGCCACTGTGACTTGAGCCTTGTTTGCTGCTTAGTTGTGGCCATTTGAGTGGCCTTTCAATTCCCGTCAAGCCTCTGCAGCCAGTGGTTTGGTCAAGCGGAAACCACCGGCCTCAAGACTCACTAAACTAGAGACTCGCGGGCGGTCCAGTGTTTTTGTTCTGCCGCTGCTTCGGTAAGAACGTGGGGCCGGGGTGGCGAGGCGGCGAGAGAACAGCTCCTCCGCTCGAACGTGATCAGCTTCAACGCTGCGTTGAGCTCCTGTCGATGGCAAAAGGCGCAGCAGGTCTTCGGCACCTCGGAAGCTGATCTGGGGCGATCGTTTTCTTTGAGCGGTGCGCCTCAGGTTTGGTGGAGGCCATGTTGGGGGGCCCAAGCTCCCGGAAAGACCGGCGGGTCCCAAGTTTTCGGGATTGAAAGGGAAGGGTCAAAAGGCCCGCCGCGGCTTATCCCGCCTGGGGATTTTCGTTTTTTTTGTTGCGGGGGGTCCAAGCTGAAAAGCCGACGACCTCCCCGGTGCCTTCCGGGCGGGTCCTTCGCTTGGGCAAGCCTCCCATTGGGAGCCCGCTGGTTTGGAGAGGTTGGGGTGGGTTCCCGTTCCGCAAGGGCTTGAGATCCGAATCAACCGCTTGAGGGTTGCCTGGTTCGGACTCCAAAAGTTGAAGACTTGGAGATAGGTGTCCTGTTTGGTTTGCTCCAAGAAACAGTCTGGTTTACCTGGGCCATCTACGTTCCCAAAAGGACACCTAAGCAAGGGATCAACGAAGCCACGTTTTGGGCTGCGGGCTGTTCAAGGGCAATCCTTGGTCCTTCCGTTGGGGTACGCCAGGAATCCCGTTAGCGAGTTTCCCAGGCATGGATTAGGATACACCAAGCCTCCATTTTGCACAGCCCTGCTGTTTGGGTTCTCTGTTTTTTCGGGGCTGCAGTAGTTTGTCAGATTTCGATTAAACAACTATATAATATTAACACATATATGTATATATATAGACAGAAAGACATATATATATATATATGCGGAAACCCATTCACCAACATGCAACCTGACTGAGGTGCCGGAAGATACAATTTCCTCTAAAGGGGGCCCTGGTTTTATGTTGGTGGACGGAAGGGTAAACATGTTTCAACAGGGGCTCCTAAAGCGGAGAGACATCGGTAGCCAGGGTACCCCGATTCTCCATTTCCAGGGTTTGCCGTTGCGAGACAGAAGCGAATCGAGTAGAACATTTCGGGGTGTTCAGGCGATGGCCAACCTGTTTTGAGGCTCGGAACCCAAAATAACCACAACGTTTCCCTATTTTGATACATGGGAGTGTCTTTTGTGGCAGGTACCTGTCTCCTGTGGTTTGAAAGGAAGCCAACAGGAAAACCATCAGTTTGGGGGCCAGGGTCCCCGAAAAAAAGTAGCACGCCCATATACCCATTTGCAAGTGGGCTCTTTTGATGTCCCTCGGGACCAATTTCACTTTTCCTGCTTCCCGACCATTCTTTCCAGGGATCCCTCTTTCAGGGCAACTGCCCAGACTAGGGAACATGCTGGTGGTTCGAAGAATCTGGGACCTCGACAAGGCCTTGGAAGTGCAAAACCTTCCAGTTGCGACCCCTTCAATGATTTTAGGCGTAGAGTGGTGCACATTTTGCAGATCCGCTGTGAGTACCGCCCATGTGTTCGATCATAGCAATGGGAGAGCAAAATTTGGCGATAACCCGCGCCTTTCTCTTGGGGCCGTCATTTTGGTTGAACCTGCCACGGTGAAGCATGGATCCCATGGAAAGGTATACAACCCTAAGCATTCCTTAACTTGCTGGCGCGATAGGCAGGGAATGCGGGAATGCCCTACAAATCATCCCCTATCGCAGCAGCAAGTTGAGCCAAGGCCATGGGGCTTTTGCCATTCGAATGCCGATTCGAATCGGAGGTCGACTTAGCCAAGCGCTACGGGCCGATGTCATCTCCCAGAACTCCTTGATGAACGCCTGCGGCAAAGCAGCCCAGTGGCTAGAAGCAAGTGAAGCCAACCTCTCAGGAATCCCTCAACAACTGGGGGTTTGCCCAAACATGCAAGGATTTTCGTAGCACACCTTGGGATTACACCCTAAATTACCCAACATAGTCCCCAAAAATTAACCAACATAACCAGGTGTTACCTGGAAATACAGTGCGAGCGCTGCAAAAGCAATCGGTTGGTCGAGGCCCAGGGGGGCTGAATTTCTTAGCGTCCATTTCGCCTTCAAAAGAGCTGGTTTCTACCCCTCCGGAGCCAGGGCTGGATTTCTTAGCCAATTGCTTAGGGGCTGGATTCTTGGCGGCCTTTTCGGGCGATGAAGGGCCCTTCATCGCCTGAACAGGCCGCTAAGAAATCCAGCCCCTGAATTTCTTAGCAAAGAAAGGGGCCCTTCATCGCCCGAAAAGGCCCGCCCCATGCGGAGCCACGAACCTCACAAGCCAAAAAGCATTGGTTCAATTCTTGGCGTGCGGGGGTGGTTTCCTTCTTCGCACAAGCTACAAGTTGGCTAAGAAATTGGACGAAAAAATCCAGGGGGGCTGAATTTAGCAGCAAATGCAGTTGCAACCTGCTTGATTTGGGAATCTCAGCCTCTCAATTTCTTATACAATGATTTCTTCTACAGTGCTTGCACTGTAGGCTAGACTAGGGTGATTTCCCGAAGGGCGTAAAGTGGGAGATTTCTGGGCAAGGGCCCAGAGCTCCACCGATGCGAGGAGTGGCAAGGGCTCAAAGCCTATCAAGCTTCGCTTTGGCAGGAAAGACAGGGCTGCGAAAAGCATTGCTACTTGACACCTTCTGTTTTGGAATGTGTGTGTTTCTCACAAACTGGATGAAGGGATGTAGTTTCCGGTCCAGAGCCCCTGCGCGAAAATGCTTCAGCCAAGACAGACCAGGTCCTCCACTTCTCCAAGCACTCCACGGCAAAGGCTTGTCGGCGCGTAGCGGACCGCTTGGAGGCGCATTGTCCCGGCTTAAAGCAACTCCTTCTGAAGGACGAGCCCGTGGTTGACAACCTGCTGTTGCGGAGCCTGGGTGAACGCAGGGCCGACACTGTGGCACAGGGCTTCCAGTCAGTTGCCATTGCTGACTTGGATTGGAGGATGTCGATCGAAGGCACACTTCTCCGTGTTCTTGCATGCGTGCCATCTGGGAGCTTGTTCACACGGGCCAGCGTGCTGCCCGTTTTGCTGTTCATCTCAAGGGTGCTGCGTGTCAAGCCCAGCACATGCGGTGTGATTTTTGTTGGGCACCGCCCGCCCTCTCCTTCTCCCACAGTCGGCGACTTTTTCGCTTCTGGAATTTTTCCGATCGCAGAGTTTCATACGACCTTTTTCCAATGCTGTACCCTTGTGACTGTAGAAATCAGCAGGAGTTTTGGGTTACAGGCCAGTCCTTGCTGGTGGGAAGAGCATCCCGAGCTACGTGCTCGCATCAGCCGGAATACCTTCTACACACTGTTGAAGTCCAACTTTGCAGAGTACCGACCTGGCCGGCGATTGACAGATGTGTGCTCGCACTGCCAGACCTACTCGGATTCTATCATTCCACAAGTTCACAAAGATCGGAGCGAACTGCAGCGGAAGCTGAAGGAAGTGTATCCGAAATATTTCGATCACTTCCCATCGGGCCAATCGCGCGCAAGTGTCTGCGAGGAGGCGGCTTTTGCCTTGAGGTACGTTTCCACGCACCCTGCGAGGCACGGTGCCGAACGCGCGTCCTCTGGCTGCGACAGGCTCCAGCTGTACAGCTTTGTGGAGGCACCCGGCGAGGTCATGCTTCTTGCAGAACTTTCCGTTGGTGACGTGGTTTTGTGCTATGATTGGAAAGAAAAAGTACGTCTGCCGGTAGGGCCTGCCGAAACATCTGATTTTTGGCACATGCAGCAGCGGTTTGCCCTTGCTGTGTATGGTGCCGTGGTGTATGTTCAAGGAAGCCACGATAAGACCCCGAGGCTTGTGCGCACGTACTATATCCAAATCACTGACATTCGGGAGCAGACAGCGCAGGCTGCGAATCTCATGCTGGATAAAGTGCTTGCGAAGGCAGGAGTATCTTCGCACTTGGTGCTTCACCTTTGGAGCGACTGCGGTCCACATTACCGTAGTGGCACAAACCTGGCACACTATGTGAGTTTGTGCCAGCAGCGTAGGCAGCGCATTCGCATTTCCTGGCTCGGGGAGCAGCATGGCAAAAGTGTGATGGATACCGCTTTCGGGCAAATGACGGAGTCATTGCAGAGGTATTCTTTGGTGAAGCCTGTGCTCTCTAAAGAAGACCTGCTGCAAGCCTATCAATCTGGAGCTTCTCAGACAATTGAAGGCTGACCCCAATGGGCCTCGCTGGCAGTTCTCTTACAGCTTTGTGGAGGCAACCGGCGAGGTCATGCTTCGTGGTCACCGGCAATTGCTGCGGAGCGACGAGTGGCACGCGCTGTCCGCTCGCAGACAGAAAGCTGCCCTTAGCAAGCTTCTTGCAGAACTTGCCGTTGGTGACGTGGTGTTGTGCTATGATTGGAAAGAAAAAGTTTGGCGCACGCAGCAGCAGTTTGCTTTTGCTGCGTATGGTGCCGTGGTGGAAGCCACAATAAGACCCCGAGGCTTGTGCACACGTACTATATCCAAATCACTGACATTCGGGAGCAGACAGCGCAGGCTGCGAATCTCATGCTGGATAAAGTGCTTGCGAAGGCAGGAGTATCTTCGCACTTGGTGCTTCACCTTTGGAGCGACTGCGGTCCACATTACCGTAGTCGCACGAACCTGGCGCACTATGTGAGTTTGTGCCAGCAGCGTAGGCAGTCGCATTTCCTGGTTCGGGGAGCAGCATGGCCACGAGCGTACGTCTTTGTAATCTGGAAGTCTGCGCGATTGCAGGTTCGAGCTTTGTGTTGGCCATAGTCTACCAGAGAGAACTGCCAGCGAGGCCCATTGGGGTCAGCCTTCATTGTCTGAGAAGATCCAAATTGATAGGCTTGCAGCAGGTCTTCTTTGGAGAGCATAGGCTTCACCAAAGAATACCGTCATTTGCCCGAAAGCGGTATCCAGCACACTTTTGCCGCCTGGCAAGAGGGTTGCCTTAAAGGAGAACCTTGTCTTTTCGGATTGTCTGCCGCGTGGACTTTCTGTGTCTTACAAGTTCGAGGACTCTGGAGAAGATGTCTTATGGAAGCGGGCGTATATGGAGGGCCAGCGAAGCTGGGAACAGCCGGCGCCGCAGCCTGGAGAGTCCACTGCATGTGCTCCGCAAGCACGAAGTGCAGGCGGCGAAAGCCGCTCCAGCTGGCCTGCGGCCTGTGCCTTCCTTCGCAGAAAAGATCGCAAAACGACAGCAGCGAACGGCGCGACTGCAGCGGAAGCTTGCTGCTCTCCAGGGCATACCACCCGCCAGCAGCAGCAGCAGTGATGACAGCAGCAGCACCCAGCAACAGCAGCGGCAGCAGTGACGAGCAGCAGCGCCAGGAATAGACGCAGGTTGGCTTGGCTTCCCAAGAGGCCACTGCCATGACTTTCGCCGCTTAAACAGTACATATGTTTCCTAGCTGTGAAGGAGCGAGGCTGTGTGGAGAAAGTCGCGGACCATACAGGGACTTGTGTTAAGGTGTCCTTTCCTGTGTGAAGTTATTCTTTCGGGTGTCCCCGTGCAGATTTGCTTCCAAACGCATCGCCGCGTCCTTTTCTCAAATGGTCAAGCTTCAAAACCGAAACTATACTTCTATTATTACTACTACTACTACTACATCTATTATTACCACCACCGCCGCCACCACTGCTACTACTAGAACTAGTACTAGTACTAGTACTAGTACTAGTACTAGCACCAGTACTACTACTACTACTACTACTACTACTACTACTACTACTACTACTACTACTACTACTACTACTAGAACAACAACAACAACAACAACAACAACAACAACTACTGCTGCTGCTGCTGCTGCTGCTGCTGCTGCTGCTGCTGCTGCTGCTGCTGCTGCTGCTGCTGCTGCTACAGAATTATCATCCAACACCAATGCTTCCAATGACCTGTAACACGATAAGGAAGAAAAAGCGATAACGGTGTCGAGGGTCAATTAAAAGGTAACGGTTCAATTAAAAGGTCTCACTTGCTGTGATACCAAGAGAACTGATCAAGGACCTCAGAAATGGATGGAAGCCCACTTTGGCTTCCCTTTAAAAAACAACCCAAACATGGTACCCTCACAAAAAGACACACCGAAACTTTAGTGGAACTGAAGGGGCGAAAAGTCATTCAACCCCAAAAAGGATTGCTTTTTTGTTCCCCCCCCCCAACCAGCCACTTGGGGGGATGACTTTGATACTGCGTAAGCTAGTTTCACTCCCTGAGCTCCCGGACCTGAAGCGGTTCATTTTAGCAGGGGCTGCAAAACAAAGACACAGGTTTTGCAAGGCCATACCGCTTGGGCGGTACAGAGACAGCCTCTCCCGTCGAGGTGGCCGCTCACGCTGGGCGTTCTGGAGGTGATCAAGGCCACCCAGATGCGGCCCACGGCCATCACTTACAACACGGCGCCGCGGCGGAAGGTGGCGAAGGAAGGGGGCCCTCAACGTGATTTGTGTAAAACAAGCACAAACCGCACAAACCAATTCAAACCAAAAAAGCAAAAGAAGCAAACAAACAAAGCAATCTGAGCAATCTAGCCAAAAAATCAAAACAATCAAACAAACAAACAAACAAACAAGAAAGCAGGCAGGCGGGCGGTCAGGCAGGCAGGGAGGCAAGCATCGCAAACCAACAACCTTCCGAAATGTCTTTTTCGCCTTTCGGTTTCCTTTGATCCGGGGTGAACAGGATACTCACACAAAAATACACGCATTGGGACCCCTGTATGAAGCCTGGTGGACCTAGCATGGAACCTAGTTAGATGGGGTGGGCTGTTTAGGAGGCTCTGTGGGAAGAGGCAGCCTCCAAATCCGACCTTTGACAACTGCGACCCAAGAATTCGCACATCAAAATCTTGGCTGCCGAATTGCCATGGGAACTACAGGTTGAAGCCGGATTCGGTGCAACGTAGATCTACATCATAAAAGTTCTACAATTTCGAGGGCCTTGGTACACCCCAAACCGCACCCCTGAAGAGAAACCTTGGGGAACCCAGAGCGGCGCAAAGCGCGGCCCGAGCTGAGGCCATGGCGGCTCTGAGGTGGCGTGAGGCCTTGGTGCTGCTGCCGGATGGCGATCAGAGACTTGACTGGGGGAAGTGGCTTGGGGGGTGGCTCAGTTGTTGGAGGCGTGGCGTCGCACGGGCTTTTATCAACATGTGACCCAGTGGTTCAATCCCAACCCTGTAACCTTTTGGGTCTTGGTCTTCCCTTTTTTGGCAACTAAGCCCAACCTTTTCACCTTTTCCGGGCTTCCCATTTTTGGCAATTTTTGGTGAAAGGTCCCAAAAGGTGATCACCCGTCATTTCCCGTTGAGGGTCGGGTATGGATGTGAACCCAGTTGAAACGGATGTTCTCTAGCTAAAATGCGCATCGGCTTGATTTGTTGTAGGGAATATGGAAGACAAATAGGTGAACAGGGGTTGGTGGACTGACGCATGTAAATGAGGTCCACAGGCCCAACAAAATATCAAAGCCAGATGGGAATGAGTCTCCCGACCATTCCTGCCCAACAGTCGTCGGAAAAGGTTTGTTCCCAGATTCCCTACGAACAAGCAAGTTTCCCCTGCCATTGATACACCTGTGTGCAACCCCAGAGACCTTCATTATCCTTGAGCAGTAACAAGTTACCTGTTTCAGGGGTTTTGAGTTTTTCTTGGGTTCTATGTCAACTTACAGCATTCCCAGTTGGCCATAAATTTACAAAGCGCTGAATCCCCATCTAATGTTGATCCAAAAGCGTGCATGAAAAATCAGATCCGGAAGTAATTGGTTGGTAAAACCTGTCGACCGGGTTTTCCCGGCGTTTTCCACCGGCTTTTCCTGGATTTCTGGTGGGTGTTGGAATATTTCTTGGAGGTTTTCTCAAGTTTTCCGGGTTTCATGGCAATTAGTTGGCTGTGGCTCAAAAATGGGGCTCCAAAATGGAACCCTGGTAGATGGACAGGGAGACAACCCGCGCAAGCCCAGTTGCTTCATTTTGAGCCACGCCCAATTCACCGCTTAGGGGCGGCTGCAATGCCCTGCTGGGTGGCATCTGTGACGAGGCCTCTGCCTGGAGGGAGGCGCTGGCCTTGCGCCTCGGCCCGGCCGCGTGGTAGCGGTTCCGGCGGTCACTGGGGACGTTCCCTACGGATGGTTGCGAACTCCGTTTTTTTCGCAGCACCGTTCACAAACCGGAATTTCCCGAACAAACAGGATTTTCCCAGTTTCCCTAACATGATGATTGCGAGAATGATGCGATTTCCCTGGAAATACCAAGACCCAATGGTCTCAACCATGGTTTGAAAGCGGTGCAGGATTTCGTTCATCCACCTAAGACACCCAGGAATGATGCGATTTCCCTGGAAATACCGACAAACAGTGGTTTCCCCCATCTTTTCCATCCCAAAAAAAGGACTGTGGATGGACGACATCCGAAGAAACCGAGAGAAGAAAGGGCATTCTTGGCTAGGTCCCGGAGTAGTGCCCTTTTACCAACTTTTTTTTTTGGGGGGTCCCCGCACTAAAATTGACTACGGAAAAAAAGGGTACCCTTACTCTAACCTCTCTACGGGTTTCCGACCCACATACTCTCGGATCGAATGGGAGCTGTGAACCTGCTTCGAGGGGATCTTGCAGGGTGGGACAATTCTATTGTTGGGCAGTGGTTATCTATCCTTCCTTTCACCAACATGGCACCTGCACAGGTTGCCATGTTGGTGGGGGAGAGAGAGAGAGAGAGAGAGAGAGAGTACCCTTCTAGGCTGTTGTAGCCTTTCAGCCCTGTTCTGCACCTTAAGCCCTGTTCCGCGTCAACCTAGGGTGGTGTTCCGCCCCCACCCCCCCCCCTAAAAGTAAAGCAAGCATCAGCTCTTGAATGGAATCCCCCCGAGGAATCAACCTGGGGTTTATCCATCCAGGGTTCCCGTTGATGGGTAAAGGGTGCTACGTGCAAAGGCCACCCTCATCAATTTTTGGAAAGATGTCCTTTCAGTGGGCAAAGTAAGTTCCCACCCGGTCCGTCCAATAAAGTGAGGTTCTCCAAAAACAATCAAGATTCTGGTTTAAACGTTGTTCCCAGCCCCAAATGTGAAAAGTCCGTTTGACACTCTCCAACTGCAACCTCCTTCGAAATGGATTGCCAACAGGCCACGACCAGTAAACCCAACTGGCAACCGCTCACGGCCAAAAGGAAACAAAACGCCAAAGCCTGCTGCTCTGGCGCTGGCCTGAACAAGTTCTCTTCATTTCCCGCAAGGGTGACATTGTTTGTATCCCACCAACAAAAGTTACAGTGGTTTTTTCTCACAATGAGTCCCCGCCTCCGACAAAAGCAAAAAAACAACAAAAGGAAAGAGAAAAAAAGCAACCATAATTAGGTGGTTTCCTTTTGGTTTCCGTTTCCGCCAACCTTTTTGCAGGTATCCCCCCCTTCCCCACAAAAGACACCCAAGGCATCCGCCTAAAACCGAGTCGAGTCTCTCGCGCGAATCATTTGGCGCGTTCGAAGCTTCGAGGGCCCGCACGGGCGCGCCCAGCGCGGCGACCTGGACGTGTACGGTGTCCGCCTGTGCCAAAGCCGCGAGGCGACGAGTCACTCCGAACTCGTACCCGGGAAGTCCGCCCCCGTCAGAGGGTCCACCACTTGGGGTGGAAGACGTTTGTTTGGCAAGTTGGCAAGGTTGACTTGTGTGTGTGTGTGTGTTTTTTTTGAGGGGGTGTGTTCGTGTCTTTTTTCCTTTCAACGGTGTGTCCACTTCACTGCTGGGTGGTTTGGGGCAGGCTTTTTGTTTGGGGGTTCCCCCTCTTTTGGTTGGCGGTTTAATTGGAGACCACCAGAGGACCAATATTCTTTTTTGGGGGGGCCCTGCAAAAAGGAGATATCCATTTGGGGCCACAGTTTGGGGGTCAATGGGCCTAGAATTCGGCTCGTTCGGGATGGTTTGGAGCAGCTTTCAGGGAGGTTCTGGTGCTGTTGGGGATTGCACCGGGGCTAACTTTTAGTAGGGGGCTGCAGAAACAAAGTTTTTTTTGGCCACCATAGCTAGGGTTACAATGTCCACCACAGGGTGTAACTAACACTTCATTGCCTAACGGTAGAGCAGGGGATGCGAATGAGAGCCGCGAGGTTCGTATGGTCGAATGAAATGGGAGTTTGACTGCTCAAAAAGTCTTGGGTGCTTCTTTTGGGTTGCCCTTCAAAATCATCTTAAAAAGGAGTTCCTCCACGGGTGGTGGGACAGTTTTGTTGAACAAGACCCGATTCGATCCCCAAGGAAAGCCACAAGCAGGTAGTTTAAACCAGTGGTGTAAATGGTTTGGACAACAGAGTTTCATCAAAGGGGCCCGTTTTGGGTCATTTCCCCTTTGAATCCAAAATAATGTTCTAAGTTGAGTTGCATCAATTCTAGTTGCCCTGTTTGCCAAAAACAACAAATGCCTGGACCCCCAAACTAGGTGTTTTTTGTCTTAGCCTTCCAATTTCTTGGCTGGCGTAGTTCCTTTTTCGCCCCAAATGAATTCCTTGCTTGATTCTCGTAGGCCACAGTATGACTTCCATTTGGTTAAGAATATTTGCTATTTTCCCTTGTTGGTTTTAAAGGGAATCTATCACTACTGGAAACATATTTGTGTTTTCCAGGGGACTTAAGCAAATGGAGGATGAAGTAGGTGTCTCCTTTAAGGGACTCCACGCTTTCAGCAACATACCGCTGGGATGCTTGAAGTGCTTGGCGCAGGTGGCGGTTTGCCCAAAGTCTGCTGCAGGCTGCGTGCAGGGGCCAGTGGGGTTTGCATTTTTTGGCTGTGCCAACGGGGTTTCTTGGTTCAAGTGTTTTTTTCTTCTTTTTTTTTCTGCTGCTTGGTTGGTGTTTCAGGTAGCCCTGTATTGGTGTTTTGGATTGGGGTGGCTTGATTGGACCCCTGGTAGAGGGCAAATGGAAAACCTCCAAGCCACCGGGCTCCAAACCGGAGGAGAGAGTGGAGTGGTGGGTGGCAAAGAATGAGGTGTTTTGCATTTTCCCAGGCCGAGTTTTCTTCTTAGGTCTTCGGTCTAAACTTGCCGGGGCAGAACGAAGACCTCTCTTGGACCGAGTTGTTCTCCCGGGGCCCCGCCGGAGTTGTTTTTCTTAATGGACCGGGAAGTGGGGGAGCAAGTGAGCTGACGAGAGATGTGACAAAAGGTGCAAAGAGATTCCTGTTTTCTGCGGCTGTTTTATTAGTTGAGAGGATCCTCTCGGCACCCCGCTCTTTTTAAAACAAGAGGCGCTCGCCTTTAGGACACTTGTGGATTGCAGGTTGCAACTTTCTGGGCATGGAACTCCCACTATTCACGATATCACGGAAAGGGGCAAAGAGTTTCCACAACTATGAGCATGTTTAATCCGCTATTATCATATTGATGGGAACTTCACAAGGCAACGCGATTGGCTTTTCACCCATGATAGAGGTCGGTTTCAGCTGAGACTTGCACTTTTGGAGGTCCCAAAAAGGGAAATTGAGGAAACACCAGGGCTCCTTTCTTAGGAACTCGATGGTATTTCAGATCACTGAATCACACGTTTTCAATGCTCCGGACATCCTGGAGATTTGACTGGCCACTGGACACCCTCTCCCCAAGAGGTTTGCTTCATCCTAGGAATTCTTAGGATCTCACAAAGGCCTTGCTTGAGGCGACTAGTACCTTCCTGGGAGGTCCAATTCTTGTGGAGGGTCCAGTGATGCGAAGAGGGCAGACCGAAGTTGCGTCAAAAGTTGTGGCAGTTGTGGCCTGAACAATCGAACCAGCACCCCCCCTTTCAACCAAGCGCCCTTGCTGATTGCCTGTTTAACAACTCAGTTGTCCAAAGCGAATCGACCTTTTGACCTTTTGGTTTTTTCATTTTGGTCCATTTTAGAGGTGCCAAAAGGTGATCACCTTTTAGTTCTGGGTCCTTTGGGCAACTGAGACAATGTTAAAAACCCCAAGTCTATGAAAGTTCTTCTTTGGGGACTCCTTATTCCTCGATAGGCAACATCTAGCCGAACACCCACGTGAAGCAACAGCTCCGAGTTCGGGCTAAACAAATAGGATTTCTATGACACAACTTTGGCTCCCTCAACCAAAATCCCTGGCTCGGAACCGGTTCCCAGCCATCTAGCTTTTTTGTTTTTTAGGTTTTAGGTTTAGTTCAGTTTCCACAAAACCACTAAAAGTCGGACGGGGAATCTATATGTATGATGTATATATGTATTGTGTATTGCATATTATGTATGTGTTTTATGTATTACGTATGAGGTACATGTATGGGACAAAACGAGTTTAAGGCCACAACAAGGGTGTGTTTCTGGCTCCCGCACAACTTCCTCCCGAGACTCGACGGCTAATCGCCGGGAGGCTTCGAGCGGAAGTGTTTTTGCCGGCGCGGCGTTGGTGAAGCGGCCCTGGCGCAGAGCGTTGGATCTGTTGAAGGCGATGTGCGCCTCGCAAAGTCTAGTCGCAAGTCGCGAGTCGCGTCGCGTCGCGTCAAGCTACTGCTACTCCCCCGAGAAATGGGCGTCTTGTTTTGGTGCTACCGCCTTTTGGGGGGGGGGGGGGGCTTAAAATTGAACCAACAGGAAAACCGCAATGTTTGTAGTCTAACAGCTACCCTCAAACCACCACTGCCAGGGAAAAATGAGGCATATACCCTTCAAGTCGCTATGTATTGGTTGTCTATTACATTTAACCAATGGGGGGGTAGTGGCTTTGGGGGGTAGTGGAAACCATCTTAGATACTACTCCGAGAAAGTTCAACATGGAACCCAACACCGGTTGGGGGGGGGGGCCAAGAGGCGTTTCGTGTATGGATATTTTTGGGTTCCATGTCGATCTGCGGGGGAGTGCAAAGGATCAGGTCGCTTTGAAGCATATGGAAGGTACCCCTTGCTTCCAAGCCAATCCTGACCAAACCACCAAATTGGGGTAGGATGAAACAAGCTACACGTCTTTTTTTGCCATCATTTGCTGAGTGGACCAGCTTCTGGAAACAGGCACAAGTTCGAGCTGCCAGACGTCTGTCAATCGATATGGACGATTTGGGATTCGCCTTTGTGGGCTTGGGAAACAGGCCCTACCCGAAAGTTTCCACCCCAACTAAGGACGGGGGTTGGGTCGGTGGTGGAACTAGCCTGATCCGGTAGACGGAGAGGGGGCCATACAATCGGACTTGGACGCCGAAACGGATGGTTTTCGATGGTCTCCCGTTCAAACAGGGTGCTATCAACAAACGACACGCCCCTACCGATACCCATGTTTCAAAGAAACCAGGTTCGACTATTCTGCAGGCAGCTTGGCCCACTGCACAACACGGGTGTTGATTCCCATTTTGTCCTTCCCGGAAGTTACAAAGGGATCACCCTTGTGGGAATCCCCTTAAGCGTGATGACGTAGTGGTTGGATGAACATCCCACCTTGGTATTACAGAAAGGGTCGTGTTGCGCAGCCAGGTTCACGGACATACTTGCCCTATGAACTTGGAAGCTATCAATCACTTGAACGTTGAAACTACTTAGGAAGCGCAGTGGACGAACAAAAACCACAACACTGACCAGTGTAGGTGGTTTATCGCATAGCATTTCATGCATCCTAAACTGGTGAAGGAGTTTGTCCACAGGTCAAGCAATTCCCAAGCCCATAGGATTGTTCCTAGAGGACTTTTCCTAAGAAACTGAGTGTCTTGGTCGTTCCATAGGTTTCTAGGGTTCGGTGGTAGTTTCCACCAACCCACTAAAAGTTAAGGCATTTTTAGCGAGCCCAGTCAAGCAGGTTTCTTTGTTTCAACCACCACATGAGTTCATCCCACCAAGACCCTCACGTTCCTAGGCGCGAGGGCGTTGCAGCGCTCGGTGGTGACCTGCAGCAGCTGCATCACCTGCCTCGCGGAGCCGGAAACTGCGCGGTGGCAGGCGCCCGGCTTAGCGGCCGAAGCGGCTGGCTGGCCGGCTTTTGCCAAGCGGGAGGTTTCCCATCTTGGTTCTGGAAGAAAATCTGAATCCAACGGGGTTTCTGGGAGTCCTAAGACTAGAACGTCCGCTTCTTCGTTTTTTGGGCATCGACCATTCTGATGCCGATCGGATTGATTATGACTCATTCGAGCGTGTCCTTTTTTTGGCACTCCCCCCACAAAAGCACAATGATGGTTTTGCCTTTTGGTTTTCTTTCAAAGCCTACCAAACAAGGGTTAGCCTACCTGGCAGCTGATTTCTCTCCCTTCGACTTCACAGACTTCCAGAACAGCCCGGTGTAGTGTTTAGGATTGTTTTTGTTTTGCATTTTTTTGTCTGGCCTTAAGAGTTCTAGGAGACCTTCCCCATTCTTTCTAGAGATCCTTCTTTCTAGGCCCCCCCCCCCCCCGGAAACACGCTTCTGTTTGTTTAACAAAAAAATGGGGCACCGCCAGCAAGTCGCCTGGGCTCTCAAAACTTTTACAAACATGGGTCCCGGTGGCTTGCAACGCAGCGGGTCAGATTGGGGAGGTGGACCGAGTCTTGCAGAAGGTTTCACTTTAGTAACTTCTATTTGGTTAAGAATATTGTTGATTTTCCCCTCTTGGTTTTAATGGGAATCTATCACTTCGACATGTTTTTATTTTTCCCAGGGGGCTTGAGCAAATGGAGGGTAAAGAGACCAATGGGTAGAAGAATCGGTCCAACTTAAAATGAGAAGAAAGAATCTCTGTTGGCCAATTGAGTCAAGGATTGTACTCCCTGGGATGGTATTGGTGTAAAGTTGGGCCTTTGGTGAGGACTGCTTGGTCGATTTGGGAGGGATTCACGGTTGCCGCAGGGTGGGTTGAAGAACTGGACAAATATGAATCTGACTGATCCATAGTGGGCAAACAATCGAACAGCGCATGTAGCATCCACTTGTTTTCAAAAACTAGGAGCTTGAGGACAATTTCGACTTATGCCTTCCTTTGGGGCAGTGCATTAGGGGGTGGACCCATCTTTGGAAGCAAAGACAGCCAGAAATCGTTCAATTGCTGGGGGGTTTTCTCTGAAATTGCCAAAGGGGTTGCATGTTGGGATCGCAGCAGCATTGCAGATGTGGGTTTCCTTTGCGTAAGGTTCGCAAGTCATGGACCAGCATCAAGCAATTTGGTTTGGGGCCAAAGCTGCGGATGCTATGGTGACAAGTTGAAGCAAACAATGTAATGTGTATATGTCGTTGGTTGTTGGATTGTGGAAGAACAAATAAGAAAAGGGAACACCTTGTTGGTTTGTTTCAAGGGAACCAAAAGGAACGCCGAAGCCGTTTGTGTGTCACCCAAATTTGACACATACTCAGCCTTCCCCACTCAACGTGCTCAGTGATGCTGAACGTGCTCCAGTGATGTTGAACTGACATCAAATTACACTCTAGATGAAAGTCAGGGAAGCCATCCCAAACAACCCCGTCCTCTTAAACATGGAATTGGGGACGGGTGAAACTGAGAAACTCCTGGAAGTAAATGTGTAGTAATGGAAGTGTCATCGCTCAAAAGGTGGGTGTCGTTCCCTAACGAACTGTTGAGACTCCCCTCAAACCACAACCAGTACATAGATCTATGTTGATCTCAAAACGAAGCATATCATGATGGTGTTGTCTTAGTATCTAGGTCCCCCCAGTAGCGTCCTTTTACCGTTTCTTTTTTGGGAAAGAATCCCCCTAGATAAAAGTTGGTATCAACTTATAACCACTCTACAGGACCTGGGTATGGTGCTCCCTTTCTTCATCCGAAGAGTTCACTTTTGCAGAGCTCCGTGCCACGTTTTCATCGCGCGCAGGTGTCCTTGGGACTTTTGGACGACCTGCAGGCGCGGGAGGTGGCGTTTTGATTTTATTTTTCTCGCCTGAACAACCCACCCACTGGTTTTTTGAGGGAAGCCAGGAAATGTTTGCATTTGCTGAAATGAAGGATGTTATTTTGTTTTCCCCTGTTGCTTTTGAAGGGAATCGATTCCACTATCGCCAACATTCTTTTTCCGCAGGGGGCGTGTTCGCACATGGAGGAAACTGAGCATTCAAGCAACAGGGCACTGCCCTGTCCCAAAGGAGTATGCAAAAGCAGCGGGTGGCTTGAAGATGCTGAAACCGGACCCTTTCATCATCCTCACATTTCTGTGCCAAACGTCAGGCTGCAGGGACTCTGCAGGTCTCGTTTCTTTTGGGGCGGAAAGGAGGGAGACAATGTGGATGGCGAAAATCCCCTTCGCACTTGGATCAGCCTCCTGCCAACTGATGCGAAATAGATTTTGTCCGTCCATCGGGGGGAGCGGGGTGGATCCGATTCCAACAGCCTCCCCAAACATTCTCCGCCGGCCAAGGCCGGCTTCTCGAGCAGCCCAACAACTTTACCCATGTGGAGAAATAAATGCGGCGGAGAGGTGTCCTAACCCTGTGCTGTCGGTTGGTTTGTTGGAGGGGAGGCTGTGCGTTCCTTCGTTCAATTCAGGCCCCAGCCCAGGTGAATGAAAGTCCTCTGGCCACGAACCACTGGAATCATCCCAGTTGTTGTAGTTCTCAGTCCTTGGGATCCTGGCCTTTTCGGGCAGCCTGGCCCAAGGAGAGTGGAAGAAATGGGGGAAGCAGACCCTGTGGTTGGGGGTTGGAACAAAACGCATGTTCAGAAAAGGTGGTAAATTCATCTTGGGGATGGGAATCAACCACTTCCATGTCAGAGAAACGAACCTCGCGTTAGGCCTTTTTCCCATAATTGAATCGGTGGTGATTACTTATGAGCGATTTGACACACTGGTAGTATGTGTCATTTCCTACGGACCCCCTAAATATTGCAAGCCGGGAACCTGGGAGACCCGGAGTATGCCATGGCTTCTGGTTGGCTTGCTTGCAGTATTTCGGGGATCAACCCGTGGTGCGCCTTATGGCAACAAATTTGTTCAGGTTTCAAACTTTAAGCTTTTTCAGGTGTCTTTATCGCTTTAGTCTAGGGCCAAACAGTGTAAGCTGCTTTTGTCCGCATCCAAGGGAGGTTTCATACGATTTTGCATAGTAGTTTCCTTTGGGTGGGCCGAGCCTCCTGATTTCCAGTTGCACCTGGCTGACATAGATGGCACATTTCCACGTTAAGTGCCTATCATCCTTTCTACCAAAGCAGGCATAAAGGGAACAGTGCCGTCTTCGGGATGTCTATCTTTGAGGGTGTCCTTGTCGGGGTGGTTTCAATTGAAAGGGTGGTTCCTTTCGAGGGAACCCGAAGCCCAGCTTGGGGCTCCCATCAAAAGTACCAGGTGCATGAAGTGGAGCCCAACGTCATCACCTGCAATGCAGCCATGAGCGTCTGCCCCTTTGCAAAATGGGCGGGTCCTGATTGAAAAAATCAGCCCGAAAACGGGCTGCTTTTTTGGGCGCGTGTTGTTTAGGGGACCCCGACCATTGTGCTTGTTGTCCTTTTGGTTTCCTTTAACGCCACAATAAGGGGGTACCCTCAAAAAGACGGACCTATATTTTTGCCCTGGTGGTTTGAAGCATCACGCTGTCGACCAGTTGAAGGGGAGTTTCGAGCTAGTTGGGGTGATGTTTACAGGGGAAGAATAGGGAACCCTGGTAGTTTGTTTTCTCAAGCAAATTGGGCCTTCCCTGAGTTGGCAAACCGACTACACCTTTTGTTTCTTCAGAAGGCTCAACAAGGTCGGGTCACTTGGCCAGTCAACCAGCTTAACGGGTGGGTCAATGGCTTCTGTTTCGCGTCTCACAAGAGGCTGAGGGGACCTCGACGGGTCAGGTTCCGATCGCTTGCGCCAAAGGAGAATCAGGTGTTTGTCGCATATCGAGCCCGTAGACCCTTTTCAAAATTCACCCAACAAGAGTCACCTTTGTTCGGTGGCCAGTAGCCACGTTTCGGGTCTGGGTGTTTCTCAAGTCAAGGCGCATTCTGATTTAGGAGGTTCCAAAGAAACGCGAAAAGGACCCCAACCGTTTTAATTCGGGCACGGCCAGTATGAGAAACCCCCCTATGGTATTCAAGGCCTCGGCAAGCCGCAAGCAAAACCCCGAGTGAATGTACGGGAGAGTGCCAGTTGGAGATGGGTGTGGGCAATTGTTTTATTTCTTTTTGTTAATTAAGCCTTGAATATGAGGTACATGTTGTATGGGTCCGGACCATCACCAACCAGCCAAGCAACAGGCGTTTGGATGGCATACACACGTGGCGCGTCGGAATCTTCGCCCATGGCAAAGCAGCCCGTACTGCTGAGCTGAACACCCCAAGTGAGACCGCCTCCGTGCAAAAAACGTGGAGGGCCCTGGTTCCCTTTCCACACATGAGGTTTGGGAAAGCAAGCCGCTTGTGAGGCCATGTGCCACAGATGCTTAGAGCCACAATCAACCAGAGTAAGGGTTGGGTTGACAATGGAAGGAGCCACGGCCATGATCTCGTGTGCTTTTTGGTGGGATTCCCTTCAACATCAACTATGGAAGAAGGGTGTCCTTCTTCCATTCACACTATCAGGTAAGCTGCCTGTGGGCCCATTATTTCAGCTTTTGGCTGATCATACAGAGGACGTGGCATGAATTGTTGCTTTAGCTGCATATTCTGTGTATCAGATTCCACACCCCTCCATTGTTTGGCTTCTGTTTCTCCTCTTTCTCCCCTTTTGGGTCGAGTGAGTTTCCCTTTGGGCTGATGTTACCTGTAGGGGCGCATATCGGGAACTCTGTAGTATCCGGACCTGCTTCCACTTGTTTCAATATATTTATACATATGTAAATGTATATATATATATATGTATATATATATTGAGCTCGCGCTACGCAGGCGAGAAAGCCGAGCAGTGGCAGCTGGTGCTTTGGCTGCTGCGTGGCTTTCGCGGCAGCCCTGTGAGCGCCTGGGATTGCTTTTCCGATGCCAACAGGGAACGCAAAAGGTTCCTCGCACAGGGTTTCCTTTAAAGGGCTTCTTTAGCAAGGGTTTCCTATATAGGTTGCTGCAAAAGGGTGGCTGTCATAGGCTTCCCGGTAAAAAGGGTTTCATAGGTTTCCTTTCCCTTCTCCGGGATGAGTTATGTTAAATTATCCAGATGGAGTTCTTTTTTTGGACGGGTTTGCCTTGTCTTTTCGGTTGGCAACCAACAAAGAAAGCAGTACGGGGTCCAGTTTTGTTAACATTAAGAACCTCTTGTTTGTATTAGGACCTTCCTCGTATTAGTGCAGCGAGCTACTGCACATGTCAGAAAATCTTGACATGAAGCATTTCTTTCATGACACGTTCCGTTTCTTGAGCCTTTTTCCTGATACTCACCATGTATTGTGATTTGCCCTGCTCGTAATAGGCACACATTTGGCATGTTCGCCCTAAACCCCCGAACCCCGGCCAGAAACCGACCTTTCTCAACTGGCCTTAACCCAACCCTCGACCAACCCTAAACCCCCAACCTAAACCGGCTTTACACCAGCCCTAAACCAACCCCAAACCTCTAAACCGGACCTAATCTTACCATATAAACCAACCCCAAACCAGCCTGTAAATCAACCCGGTTGCCAACTTTACGCAATGAATCTCAATTGGCCCCCCACGCTAGTGACAAGCGCCACTAAAATCTATCCCCGAAATACCGGAATTGGAACCAAAACGCCCAATAATTTGCGAACCACGGCGGCTTTTGAGCTGCGTGTTTAGCTTCCCCTCTCCCCACCCAAGGCTTGGATGTTTTTGGGGAGCATTCATGGGGATATTGTGGGCATCTTTGGGGTATGTCACGGAAGATGTTGTGGCGAGTGCGGAAAATGTCATTTGGGATGTTGTCGGGAATTCTTTTGGGCTTGCACATGTTTGCGTTTCATTCGGGTTCTTTCCTTGCCGCTGGTAGGGTGAAGCCCTTTTACTAAAGTAGTGCGGTTCAAGGTGTTTAGAGTGGGTTCAGGTTGGGTTTAGGGTTTACGGGGTTCAAGATAGGTTCACCGTACGTGTAGACTTCCGAACACCCTAAACTCATAAACCCACCCTGAACCCACCCTAGCCGTCGCAAAAGGAATGCCAGTTCATTTTCCCAACAGTTTTCCAACAATTGGCACAATGGGCTTGGTTTGGAGTCTTAGCCAATCCTGGGTTTGGTGCAAGTTGCTTGTCTTCTGCCCTTTTGTGGAGGGACAAAACCCCAAAAACCCTGGAATGATACCTCCCTGTAAATACCAGCAAGCCATGGCTTTTCATGGTTTCAATGCGGTGCAACAGTATGGTAGTTTGGATGAGTGTCTCTTTCAAAGACAAGACAACACACATAGACACACAGACACACATGCATTTCTGGCCAAGCTTCTAAAAAGGCATTCGGCACACTTCTGGTGGGCTCTGGGGTGAGCAAAAAGCACCTGGCATCGAGGTTTCAACACCGCCATCAGCGCCTGCGCGCGCTGCGGCCGGTGGCAGCAGGCCTTGGCCTTGCTGCACACCTCGCAGCGGCTGCTCCTCGGTCGAACGCTTGCGCCGGGATGAAGAAGATAGCTATAGTTTCTAATAGGGACCGTTCTCCAAAGTGGTTGGTTGATGTTGGTTGACATGGATCCCCACCTCAATGGTTTGCACCAAAGGGTCTCTAATTAAGATTCAGACCCAGATTGCTTTGGCAGATGAGAACAAATGGCCCATGGTCATTTGGGGTCAGGAATATCAACCACCCCATGCCCCCGGAAACGTGTTTTTGTTGAGAAACACAAACTTCATATTAGGGAACCGTGAACATGGATTCCCACCTAAATGTGCCCGCCAAAGAGTCTCTAATTAAGATTCAGACCCAGATTGCTTTGGCAGATGAGAAAAAATGGCCCATGGTCATTTGGGGTCAGGAATATCAACCACCGCCATGTCTCCTGAACAGGGTGGTGTTTGTTTTTTTGTTCTTCACATAGCTTCTGGGCCCACTGCGCAGTGAGTTTCATGTTTCGAAGGGGAAATGCCAACATCTGACCCGCTGAGTAGGCAATTTTGCATTTTTTGTTTGTAGGTTTCTTTCTTGTTCAAGGCCCAAACAGTTCAAACGTTTTCCGGCCGGATCGCGAACTCAGCAACTCAGACATACGCCTTCATAAATTTGTACTCAAGCACATTGGTTGTTGGAGTTGCCCTGCCCGCACGGACAAACTCAGCTTTCCTCCAATATGTGGATCGGCGAAATCCTCCAAGCCACCAATTCAGGGGAGTCTGACAAACATCCTAGAAAGTAAGGGGCTCTGAACTGTTATTTGGAACATGCTCCCAGGTGGTTAATCCTCATAAACTTCACCTTAAGTGGGTGCGGGGAGGTAGAGGCCTTAAAAGGAGCATATTTGAGCTCCCTCCCACCCCTCCCTCCCCAAACCCCAGGATTAAATGATGTCCTACGGGTCCAAGCAAAATTACCGCAGGTTTCCTGCAGTTCCGGACCTTTCGGGCCTCAATGCAGCCATCACCGCCTGCGAGTGCCTTGGCGATTTTGGCTTAAGAGCCCTCCTCTACACACTTTGGACGTCATCTGTTGGGCCAACTGAAAAGGAGCTTCCTTTTGGTGATTTTTTTTTGTGGGGAAGTATAGGGTGCCCTGTCACATGGAAATGGGGGGTCACAGGAGAAGGGTTGACTGCTTTTCCATTCTCACCCATTTGTCGCCTCAATCCCCTAGTTTCCCATTGAGAGGCAACGGCTAGAGGGTGTGACGTCAGGGTTTCATGTTTGCTGGGAAGTAACCCGATTGCAATTCCCTGTTGAGTTGTATCCAGACAACTTCCGGTGTTGGCTCACTCCCAGACTTCATGAACATGGGACTTATTGGGACGACCACGTGTGGCGACTAGAAAGTTTGGCTTTTTTGGTCAATCCACGGAAGTGAGTGGGTCATTGTCACAGAGAGGGCCAACCCTCCCAAAGCGTGGGTCATGGTGGTTCCCTTAGCCGGGACGGGTACCCGCCCTACTCCGAGAAAAGAAAGAGAGTGTTTTAATGGCACAATTCAACGAACGCTCCGTGGTGCCTTTTTCCTACGTTAAACAAATCAATTGCACAGGGACTGCGCGATTCTTGCCGTGGCCGCAGGGGGGGTGGGAAGCAACAAACACCAAGCAACAAGCAGCTTCGTCCAACGAGTCAGGGCCTCCCGTTTTTTCAACGGCACCTCCCGGCGGCAGGGTCATACAAATGGGGCCATATGGATGTGTCTTTTTGATAGACCGACTTGTTGGTTGGTTTAAAGGGAAACCACAAGGAAAACCCGGCAACATTTTCTGTGTCCCCGAAAAGAACGTATTGACAACCGGAAAAAAAAAGGCACAGCAGCAAGAAACGCGGGTTGCCACGCGTGGGTTTTTTCCACTTAGGAAAGCAGCTCAGTGGCCATTGGCGTTGCAGCTGCTGGAAGAAGCAAGACGGCTGGATGTGACTCAGACCGGTTTGAAGGGCCTCTCCTGGGATCCGAGTTGCTGTTGACAAAATCGGGGCACCCAATGGATTCTGTTTTTTCCTTTGGTTTCCTATTAAACCCAACCAACAGAGGCCTCTAAAAAGAAAGGAGGATCCCCTTAACAAAAGCACTGGTGGGCTGCGGCAGTGCACTTGTTGCATACTTTGAGTTGTCTTTGTGTGCAACTTGGCGGTTCCCAGCCGTCCGGTTCCTGAGGTTTATAGACTTCTTAGGGTTTAGTGGGGGTCTCCATGTAACCCACTAGAAGTTCAACTTTTGGCAGGGGATCTGAGGACAGCTCAGGTAATTCTATGTATTTCTCTCTGCAGTACGTTCGATTATGTTGAAGTGCAACATACGACTTGTCACTGTATGTTGCTTACTCATGCCAAAGTACTCATAGCCCTTGTGGTTACAGCTTTCCTTTTAAACTCTAGAGGCTTGGCACATTACCATAGCTTTTGTGACTTGTGATTCTAGGCAGCCCACATATAATATGTTTAAGTGTTCTCAACGGCAATATAATCCCTACTCTTAAAACATCTATTGAGTGAGAGGGTCAGCTTGCAATTGTGGGATTTTGGCCTTGGTACTTTTGTCTTGGCATTTGCGCATACTATTGCTTGGAGCCAATGTGTAAGCCAGATCTGGGCAAACGCAAATACCTGTGAGGCCTAGGGTGCAGAACCTGAAGGGGTACTGGCTTATGCATTCATAAGTTGCGAATCTTGGAACTTTTGATTGCCAGGTTTTGTCCAAACCGTGTAAGCTATGAATCTCTGCTCGGGAGTATGCACTCTAAATCCTCGGGCTTCGCCATCTGCGCAGGCTGGTCGGACAGGTGAGGTGGGGAGCACTAAGAAGAACTCTGCTTAGGCGGGACCGCGCGCACCCACACGCGCAAGAGGCTGCAAGGTTGCTTGCCCAACCCACCTGACACTGAGCATGCACTCACCCACCCTAGCTTGACTGCATGTGTGCCTGCTTGCGTCCGGCGCTTGCGTCCGGCGCGCGCATGCGCCCCGCACGGGTCTTACACCGAAAGCCAATCAGACCAAAAAATGCATCCCTGGCAGCCCGTCCCAGCCCCACAGAAACCCGTGGAAAAATGGAGGAAAATGGAGAAAAACGCGGTATGTGCGATGTTTTCCGCACAGCGGCGGCGGCCGCGCTTGCGCGAGAAAAATCGCTCTCGATCGCAGACTTGCCCGCCATGTCCACCTACCTCCAAGACCTACTCTCAGGGGGCCATTTTTGAAGGTTTTGAGCGATGCAGGGGATGCAGGGGATGTAAGGGATGCTGGAACGCCCAGATGCTGGTGACGGAGGAATGAATGCCGGGGATGCTAGCGAAGTTTGCGAGGATGCAGCGGGGCGATTTGCACGGTATTTACAGTGCTTTTTTGAAGGTCGGGCAACGTGGCATCAGAAGCCCGTCGCAAGGCCAGGGAGGCTGGGGACGTTTTGGGGTCCAAGTGTTTGGGCCGGCCCGCGCGCAGGTGATGGAGGCAATGCTGAGGAAGGAGCTTGGGGTCCAAGAAAACACGTCAGCGGTATACCCTACGGGTAGGGTTGCCCTCGCTCTTCGAGCTCGAAGACACACAGCGCAGCTGGATATTGGTCAATGTGTGTGTATATATATATATATTTAGACAGAGGTGTGTGTTTGGATCGTTGTGGCCTTATGAATGTTGTAGTGTATGATGATGCTTCAGCCTTTTGTGCATGAGCATCATTTTTCTTCATATTTCTTCAATAGATTAGTATGATAAGGTCATGTTTACTAGTTAGTTTGTCTCTCTCAATATGAAACTATCATTGGACATGTATACCAATAATTCAATCGCATGACGGCCACATAATTACAGCCAGTTTTTAGATATAAGGACAACTCACATACAGTCTTTCCACTGGACCAAGCCAGCGCAAAAACCAAACAACAACACCAACCAAGCAACACACGATCCTCAGACAGTCTTTCCACCGGATCAAACCAGCCCAAAACCAAAAACAACAACACCTTGAGAAACCAAAAACAAAACCAAAAGAAACAACATCAATAAACACCGTTCTTCCAGCTAGCGGGATCCAGTGCACAGACTGTCTTAGGACTGTGTTTGGGGCTTGATTTGTCTTTCTCCAAGGTTTTCGGTTGTTTGGTTTTCTCGAGTTTTTGTTGGTTCGGACTCCTGTTATCTTTGTTTTAGTTCGCCATGCACCTATGAGCACGCACAGGCGCAGCAAGAGTTTATTGAAGGGAGCCCCAAATTTGGCCGACCCGTGTCCGGTTGAAATCTTCAAATTTGGGGCAAATTGTGCTGCGCTCGGTTTGATATGCTAAGGGGTTGTTACTCGCTCGTCCTTCCAGGAGTTCCAGGCCTTGCGATACAGAGTAGGGATTCCCAGAAAGTTACTGGTTCTGAGAGAAAAACATGTGGGGCGCGGGAAACTGTGAGAACCTGTGCAAGGAAACCACTTGCATAAGAAAGCGTAGGGGCTTTGGGGAGACGGGAGCCACCTCTTTTTTTTGGAAACCGCGCTGCTCTCATGGCAGGTGGTGTCTGTGAGCGCCTGCGTCAGCTGCCTGGAGAAGGCCTTGCAATGGCAGCGCGCCTTGAGGCTCTTCTTTCTGATGGCGGACTGGCGGCTCCGCGCCAATGCCGCTCCGCAACGCAGCTAAGCGGAGGGTTCATGCCGGGAACACATGGGGGTGTCCGTTTTTGTTGTTTTTGGAGGAGCACCTTGTTGGTTGGTATTGAATGGAAAGCAGGAAGGCCACCATTTTGGGGAGGGGGGTTCCCCGCAAAAAACACCGGCCCATATGAGTGAAGGACAGTCTATTACGGAGGACGAGAAGGGAGGACAACCCACAATTCCCTACAAACAGCGAAGGGACCAAGAAAGAGGGGGGGCGAATTGATAGTTGTCCGTGTCTTTTCGCGTAAAGAACTACAAAGTTCAGGTCTTCAGGCTGAATAAGGCCAGGGCTTTTCTTCAGGGCTCCTTCTGCCCCTCCCCTCCTCCTTGTCCCGTTCCCCTCCCCTCCCCTCCCCTCCCCTTCCCTTCCCTCCCCTCCCCTCCCCTCCCCTCCCCTCCTCCCCTTCCCTTCCCTCCCCTCCCCTCCCCTTCCCTCCCCTCCCCTCCCCCCGGCCCCCATCAAAGGTGATCACTTGCAATGCTGCCATCAGCGCCTGCGAGAAGTGCGAGCAGTGGCGGTTCGCGCTCCTTTTGCTGCAGGCGGAAAGCTGGAAGTTTCGAACACGCGGATCACGCGCTTCGATCAAGCGGGGCGCTTAAAGGGTCAAGCGGGGTGGTTTTGGCTTGGAAAGGGGCTGACATGGTTTCCTTGGAATATAATTTTGAGTTGAAGTACTCCTGGAATCATGAATAGATACGGTTTTTGACGACCATACAACCCTGTTCTGATTGCTTTGGGCCTCATAGTATTTAGATTCTGGTCCAAACTTAGCCTGAACATGTAATTAAATGAGTTCAAAAGTGGACCCAATGGTGTAGAGCTCTGCACTGAAATCGGTGGTGTACTGTACTGTTTGGGGCGTAGTTGTTCATGGGCACCAAATGGAAAGCCGCGTCCATTTTGCCCCATATGGGTATCGAAATGAGGGACCCGAATTTCCAAGCTGTTCAAGGGAAACAAATGCAATCTGTTACACACCAAATACTCGCGTAAACAGGGCCATACAAACGAAAACACAATATTGTATACTTCATACATACATGTATTATTTACGCATAGGCATATGAGTACGAACAACTTCTGTATGACTGGGCTTCCGCAATCAGGTTCCATATGTGTGCCATGGTCAAACTCACACCACCAAGGGCGGCTCACTTGGGGCCACCCGCGAAATCCGGACCAGCCCAAGCCTTGTGTCCTTTGATTTTCTTTATATAAGGAGCCGTTTTCCCACCCTTGTGGAGCCACCTTGTTGGGTGGCTCTTCTCAAAACTACCTAGCAGCCCAACAAACAAACAACTCAGAAAGTATCCCCGTACTCAACATCAAACAACACTACCCTACTCAACTAAAAAAGAACAAAGGACCCCCCCGCAATTTGTTTAATGGGAATTGGGCAATAAAGGGATTTTTGGGCAGATGTGCACCTGTTGGTTTGCAGCTTGCAGGCGGCTGAGATGGACATGAATCTGGACGCGGCTTGGAGATAAGATTGACAGCTGATGTCAAGAAGTTGAACGCGGTGAGTGGTGAGCTCTTGTTTTTTGGTTGCTTGTGTTTTGTTGTGTGTGTTTGTGTTTGCTTGTTTGTGTGCTTGCTCGCGTGCTTGTGTTGCTTGCTTGCTTGCTTGCTTGCTTGCTTGCTTGCTTGCTTGCTTGCTTGCTTGCTTGCTTGCTTGCTTGCTTGCTTGCTTGCTTGCTTGCTTGCTTGCTTGCTTGCTTGCTTGCTTGCTTGCTTGCTTGCTTGCTTGCTTGCTTGCTTGCTTGCTTGCTTGCTTGCTTGCTTGCGCGTCCGTTGTGCGTTCTTGTTGGCTTTTTTTGTTGGTTTGCTTGCTTGTTTGGTTGGCTGGCTGGCTGGCTGGTTTGTTTGTTTGTTGGTTGGTTGGTTGATATCCCTTTGACACCTAGCCAACAAAAACACGTGACATTATATTGAGTGCTCGATGTTGTTACTGCACACACCAGTTTGGCTCAAGCTTTTCAGTATGTTGCCTTTCTGAGAATCCTTCATGCCCTTCGCTAGCAAGTTCAACCCTTTGTTCCAAGACATCAACAAGTCGTTTGGAGTTGCCTTGGACAACGTCAACCTGCCAACAGGAAGAGTCCTTTTCCATTGAGCACTGGGGAACTACCCAGTGCTGCCCAATGGTTTAAATACGATGTCCGGGTAAAAAAAAAAGAAAAGAAAAAAAACGACAAAAAAGGCTGGGGGGAACTTGAGTGTGACGGAGACTTCACCTGGTTGGGACCGATGATTTCCGCCACAAGTGCAACTTCAGCTGGGATCCCTCCCTCTGGGGTTTCTATTGGCTGCCAATAGAACCAACAGTCCATGGGCCTTTGTCTTTGTAAATATGGGTTTGTCTCAAAGAGTAGCAGTGTTTGATTCGTTTTTCGTTTCACCAAAAGCGGGGTAACGTGTCCATGTTCGTCTATTTCCCCTCCATGTTTCCTCTGTTTTCAACCAGCAAGTTCCTACTCTTGCACGTCGGAAAAAGCAAAAACGAGGCTTGCGCCAGCGATCATCTTCCAGGGCACCCAAAGGAGTCCAAGGGTCCCACCTCCACCTCCACCCACCCACCCCAAAAGCGCCCAAAGCGGATGGGATTGACGTATAGGGCCCCATGGTTGCTGGAGATCCAATGGTCTGAAGTAGGTACCCTCCCCAAGCCTCCCCAAGAGGAATCTGATCTTCCCGGTATCCTCGCAGTGCCAAGTCAGCGGGAGGAAGGGTATGGTGAGCTACTGGTGAGCTCGAGTGAGCCACGTCCTGAACATCGTAGATGCAGTAGAAAGTATTATTTACGGTGCGGATATCCGGTGTTTTGCCCATGGGTTTTGGGGGCCGAACATCTGCGTATTTTCAGTCCACAAATAAAGTTCGTTCCCACAGGGCCATGAAGTTTAAGACCTGAAACTCCACCTACATGATCTCCACCAAAGCGTCCCTCTTAAGATTCATTCCCATTGTTGTAGTCCTTGCTGCAGGTTGTGATGTTTGGCTCAAACCAAAAGGGAAGAAACCAATCACCCAGCAACATTATATAAATAGAAAAGGCCCCCCGGACAAAAGCACAACTGTAGAAACCGGAAAACGAACACATATTTTTGGACCTCAGGTGGTTGGTGGCCCACCTAAATGATATCCACCAAAAACTCCCTCTTAAGATGCATTCCTATATTCTTGTATGTGATTTGGACCTCAGGTGATCTCCTTCAACGCGTCCATCTCTGCTTGCGAGAACGCCTCCCAGTGGCCGCACGCCCTGGCGCTGCTGAGCCGGCTCCTGCGCCCCTCAACGAAAGGGAGTCGGAGACGGGCCTGTGGCCTGGACGGGATTTCTACTTGGTGGTTTTTGTTTCTCGTTTTTTTTCCTTCTTTTTGTCTTCTTTTTTTTCCGGCTTTTAGTTTTGCCTTCTTTTTTTTGCGGGATTCCATTTCTATTTCCAATGTTGGGTGATTGGTGTCTTGGCGTGTGGTTTGTGAGTTTGGGGGGCCCCTTGGCGTGGTATCTATTTGTGAGACTGTGTGTATACCGCTTTTTCACCGTGGCATACATACATACATGCATGCATACATGCATGCATGCATGCATGCATGCATGCATGCATGCATGCATACAGACAGACAGACAGACATACATACACATATACAAATACATATACATATACATATACATACACATATACATACATATACATACATATACATACATATACATACATATACATACATATACATACATATACATACATATACATACATATTCATGCATATTCATGCATATGCATACATATGCATACATATACATACATATACATACATATACATACATATACATACATATACATACATATACATACATATACATACATATACATACATATACACCCATATACATACATATACATACATACACATACATACACATACATACACATACATACACATACACATACACATACACATACATACACACATACACACGTACACACACACACATACACATACACATACACATACATACACATACACACACACACATACACACACACATACACACACACATACATACATATACATTCACATACACACATACCTACATACACACATACATACATACATACATACATACATACATACATACATACATACATACATACATACATACATACATACATACATACATACATACATACATACATACATACATACATACATACATACATACATACATACATACATACATACATACATACATACATACATACATACATACATACATACATACATACATACATACATACATACATACATACATACATACATACATACATACATACATACATACATACATACATACATACATACATACATACATACATACATACATACATACATACATACATACATACATACATACATACATACATACATACATACATACATACATACATACATACATACATTACATACATACATACATACATACATACATACATACATACATACATACATACATACATACATACATACATACATACATACATACATACGCACATACATACATGAACCTCCATACCAAGGCTATTGCCTCAACATATCTTGCGTTCATTAGATTTCCCCTCTTTGTTGATGTGAACAACATAAGTTTTTGCCTTGGGGACACAGAGGAAGCCTTGTTTGGGGAGTGATTGGCAGTGCCCCCAACAAAAGGTGTTCATGCAAGTTCTGCCGAGGCTTTTTCCGTACAGAGTGACATGGCAGTAATTGATGTGGGTTACATTCCGGGAGGGTACTGTGTGTGAACCGTATGTCCTTCCTTATGGTATGATTTTCGAGCATTCACGTGTTCATTCAAGTTGGGCCCACGCGTTTTCGGTTTGTTTCGGTTTCCAGACATGGCAATGAACTTGATTGTTCATGGGTGGAACAACCATCACTGCGCATTAGTAGAGCATGGTTCGAAGGTGACCCACTCAGGAGGCAATAGCAGGGTGTCCTTTTTCCACCCCACTTTGCAATGTCCTCCGCCCCCAGATAGCCGACCCCCCCTCCCCCCCCACCCCCCCACCCCGCCCACCCCCCCCCCACCCCCCACCCTCCCCAGATAACCGAAGCCGGAGGTACCCAGTGGCAAGCCACCCCCCCCCCCCCTCTGTCGGAAGGTCGGCGCGTGGCGGCGACAGTGGTCACCTTCAACGTAACCATCAGCGCCTGTCAGGGCGCCTCCAAGTGGCAAGAGGCGCTAGCGCGGGAGGGGTGCGCGTGCGTGCCTTTTCCCTTGGGTCTGTCTGTTGGTTTGGGGAATCCCAAAAGTGGTGGTTTAAAACGCAAGAGAAAAGAAGGAGAAGCGAAGTCTTGTGTTTGTGGTGTGTGTGTGTGTGTTCCGGAAAAATACATTCCCACTTGGATGTTCAACCGACTTTGTATATCACAACCAAAGTTACATCCGGGGTGACAATGATCGGCTTCCTCCAGGACTCCTTCTTGGGGTTGTTTTAAGTGGCAACCAACAGGAAGCGCCCCCCTTTTCGGGGTCTCCCTTTTTTGGGTTCGGTGGTTATTGGATCTGGTTGAGTTTGTCTCAAACGAAGCCTTGTCTTTGTAAAGAAGCGCGGCTTTGGGCTTGTCTTCAAACGGGCTTGAACTGCCGATGGTGTGGTTTCCCTTTTGAATCCCCAAAAAGTGCCCCCCGAGCCTCCACAAAAACATGTGCGGCTCGGGGAGCTGTGCTAAGATGAGTGGTTTCCATTCGGCTTCAAGACACGCGCAGTTCTTTGCCCATCCCCAGCTCCCAAAAAACACCCTCAGATCGGAGCCTTCCGCCCGGGGGATGCCTCGGCTCCAGGCTTTGGCGCTCTTTGGCCAAGCAAAGGGCCTTCAGCCCAACGTGATCACCTTCAACGCGGCTCTGCGCGCCTTGGAGGCGCGGATTTTCCAGTTCCCGACCTGCGCCCCTTGGGGTTTGGGGGGGGAGGAGGGGAGGATGGGGAGAGGAGACTTGGGGGCAGGGGGCCAGGATGTGGGTTTAAACGCCCAGAGCACAGGGGAACTTGTTGAAGCGCCTAGACCAATTCGTTTTGACTTGCAATCTGAGCTTGCTTTCAAGGGAAGGTGAAGGAGAGTGTTTAAACAAAAGCAATTCATGCATGTTGGCGGTCTCCCCCCTTCTCGTGGGTGCCAAGCCAAGAGCAGATTCAACCAATAGTCTTGTCAGTCTTTTGGAGAATGTTTGTACTTGTTTGTTTGTTTGTTTGTTTGTTTTTTTGTGTGTGGTTGTATGCTCTCTTTGCACATGCGCATGATCTTTTCACGAGGAGAGGTTACCTAAAAGTTTAACAGGGCAATTTTCGCTGCCCCCGAATCATCGTTTGATTTGTCTGGAAATGTGTTGTTTCTTTCTGACTATATAATGTTGACCCCTGATTCATAAATTCATAAAACCCTCCCATCAAAAGGGGGGTGTTCCCCTGTCAATGAACCAGAAGTTTCTCAATCCGGGGTTCCCATCGGCAACAAGTTCAGCTTGACAACCAATGTTTTAACCCTTTGGGTGGCCACGACGGAGTGGTCAACAAATGACCTTTAGCGGCTCAGAGACCCTTTGGCCCAGGTTGGAGCGTGCCCTTTGCCACACCCAGATTTGCTCCGAGCCTCAAGACGATCAAGCAAGGCAAATGTCCTTTTAACAGCTACTCTTGAAACTAGCTGACTCGCTACTCGCTGACATGCAGTTTTCCCCCTTTTGGTGTTTCTTTCTTGGATGGTATATAGGGGCGGCATGCTCAACCTTTAAATGCTTGGACACATGTTATTTCCCACTAACCTGCAAACAGATAGCCATCACGGTTTTGTCAAGGCCTTAGGCCTGAGGGTCTTGTTTTCAGGAGACCATTTGATTAAGAACATAGATATTGAAAGATCTATTCTCCCTTGTTGGTAACGGGAATCCGCCACTACTGCACGGATGTTTATTCTCTTCCAGCAAACAATGGACGCATTTTGGCAGTTTGGGTTCTCCCATGAGACTCAGTTTCCCATTGCCCGTTGCCTCAAGGCGGCTGCGCGGTGGCCCTCGGCACTTTACTTGCTGGAGATCATGGACGCAAGGTGCAGAGTTGAAATCGATGGGACCAAGGGGTTGGGCTTTCCGGTAAAATCAAGCCAAGAGATGCCCCCCTTTTTTGTGTTTTTGCTTGCTAGCTTTGTGTTTTTTTTGCTAGCGATGACCATTGGTTGGAAAGCCACCAAAAAGACAAAACTGCCCCACTCAATGGGACAAACATCGCCTTGGTCATTTAAGGGGGCCGAACGGAATATTGATCAACCTGCACATGTAGGGACTGGGCCGAATCCTATAAGTTGCAACTCGTGTTAAGTGGTTAGTGGTTACCTGCATCCCAACAGAAAAAATGTCCACCGAAGGGTCCCTTTTGAAATTCACACCTTGTTGTCCGAGGGACTAGACTTCGAAGAAAGGCGAACCCACTAATGCGAACTTCGGATGAATCCAGTGGACCATACTGCAAAAATGAAGTCCCCCACATGCATCCAAAGTTGATACGTCCCCCGCAGCTTGGTGCGATAACGGGTGACCTTTTGGCGGATTACGTTCGCAGCCGTTTGAGAGTCCTGAGTACTGTACCCACCTTTTCCCGCGGCTCTGTCATTCACTGTTCAGGAAAAGGCGTGCTTCTCACAGGCCAAGCAAGTTGAACCAGGCAAAAACAAGTTCACCTCAACCTCCCGCTTCCGGTCAACAATGTTTTTGGAAAGGTGGAAGCTGTGTCCTAGCCGAGCAGGCGGTTAGGTGGTCGTTGATCTGTTTGGGGTGTGTCCAAGGACAATTCATGAGAATCTTGGGACCTCCAGGCTTTCTGGAGGTCCATCCTTTAGATCCCTTCCCCCTCCAATGGGCCATGGATATCCAAGATCGATGGCTCGAAAACCCGTTTTCGACGATCTTCGTCCAGCGACTTTTCTTCGTTTTTGGGCCCATGGTGCTTAATCCCGGTTTTGGGCAAGTCCCTCGTGTCCAGGTCCATTCAACTCAGCTAACACCCCCTCCGAAAGGGATTTTCTCCGATTTTCCGGGGCCGCCGAAACGAGATTTGATTTTCATGGTATGCTACATGTGAAAGATGGGGGCTTGACTATCGGCTGTTTTGTTTTGGCTTGAAAGCAGCTATGTGTTAAATTCTAAATATGAGGCATAATTGAAAGCATACCTGAGAAAAGCACATTTTCGGTTTATCAGATGTGGGTCAAGTTTGAGAATCACCCAAAAAGCACCTGTCACTTTTATGAGCAGTGCTCTTTTGGCCGTTGAGAGAGGATGAATGCATGCAGCAGCGTTCCCAAGTCTTTGGATGTTCATTTTCTGGGGACGACCATTTGGGTCTGTCTTTTTTTGGGGACCCCCAAAAATGGCGGTGCCTTTTGGTTTTCCTGAAAGACACCAAAACAGGGGTACCCTCAAAAAAGGCACACATCTTTGTAGACAAACACAAATGACAGCCTTTTCAGGCGGGATATTTGTTTTGCTTAAGATCAGAAGGCTGGGCCAACTCAAAGGGGTGGGCCACTGGTCAAAGGGCACAGGGTAGGCCGCCGGTAGGCCCCTTCTAAGGTTGCTCGCAATGATTCGTTTTGAGTTGGAAGAGGGCTGACCCGAGATTGGGTTGTCGACCTCTCAACTTGGCGGTTCGGCCGTCTCAGTTTTTGCTTGGGTTGTTTAGTGGGGGCAGGATCCGAGGACAGCCCGGTTTTGGTTCCGTGCGGGTGTACACCGCCCTTTTTTCTCACCCCGAGAGGCGCTTGGTTCCGGACGCCTTGAGTTTCCAAGCGGCGGTGGCTGCGACAGGCCCGGGGAGTTCGGCGCAACTCGGGGCTGCGTTACTGGCTTTGGCACTCCTAGGTATGAAACAGGGAACGCACGTACGCAATTTCTGTGTACCTCAGATGTGGGGCAAGATGTTTGTGTTTGTTTGTTTGTTTGTTGGTTGGTTGGTTGGCTGGCTGGCTGGCTGGCTGGCTGGCTGGCTTGTTGGCTTGATTTTGAGGGCAAGTACAAGTTTGGGGACCCGGCCAGTGGTGGTGCTGCCATTGTCCCAAATCACTGGTACCTCGTCGTGCCGGCCGCAGTGGGCCCTTGGTTGAGATTGAGGCTGCAAGTGGCATCTTGGGGCGACGGGGGCGGTCTGCGCCTTGCGAATGGCAAGTATGTAGTATTGGTAGATGTAGACCATGGGTTGAACGCGATTCAAGTTTAGACTCGTTTCTTGTTTAATGAGATGTTCTCAACGCACTGAACGGCGATCGTCCAAGCCAAGCATCAAACCAAGGGTACCACTTCCCATGCAAAATCCACTGGAGGTTTGGGAAACGACAGGCAACGTCCCCCTCTTTTAGCTGCCGCCGTGCAGAAGAAAATTGTCGCAGGCCCAGGGAACCTGCAGACTTTGCGGCTTTTGGACCGGCTGAGGGCGGACATGAGGCAGGGATTGAACCAGGCAACCTGAACTTGGCAGGGGCGGCTAGGCCACACTTTTGGAATTTCGGAGTGAGAAATGATCAGCCCAAGAGCTCCTGACACCTATACACAACCACGCAAACACGTTTTTTGCGACCCCAAGTTTCGCCACATGGTAGGATTTTGCGGGTGTTTAATATTTTAATGGAAGGCCAAAGGAAACCAGCTCTAGGACACTTCCCCCCAATTTTCAGAAACACCCGCACTCAGCCTTGCAGTGAAACTTGTCTTCTTCTCGAAACCACGGGGTCCTTTTCGAAGAATCGGAGAACGCGCAACACGATGCCCCTGGATGGTGTTGCATTCGTCACTCTTTTAAACATTTTCAATGTAGCAAGCCTTTTTATTGGAGGGGATGTGCAGAGGAAACATCCGCGGAAACTTGAACCAGTCCAGCTGACTTGGCGGTGATAGTTTCCACTCAACTATTAAATGTTAGACTTTTGAAGTACCTCCCCCAGTCAATTCCAGCTCCCAGACCCCTTTCGGGTTCAGCGAGGGTGACTTGTGATATGGGGTGTTAGACTTTTGTGGGAATGCGGAAACAGCCCGGTCGAGTTGATTGTTTGTTTGTCCTTTTTGCCAATTTGATTTCGGGAAATGCCCAGTGGCACCTCAAGCAAGGGTTGTGGGCTTCCCTCAAGTATCAGCCAACAAGTGCGGGGCGCTCTCTTTGGCCCTACGTTGCTTTCTGTTCAGTTTGAACTGCTTAATTTCATTGTTTGATATTGTTTGGACTTGAAAGAAGTTTCAGTCCAGTCCCTTCTATCTCGTTAGCTTTCGCCCTTGAACAAAACATGACGGACATATGCAACATGTTCCCTGGACAACTTGTCGAGGCAGTTCGACAGGAAACGATTCAGCAGCCGCTGAAAGGGCCTTGGCCTTACAGAGACCCCACAAAGTGGTGGGTTCAAGTCAGCAACATCCTCAAAACCCAGGTAGATGAAGGCTACCAAGCGACAATCCCCAGCCACATTGTTAATTCCGTGTATGGTTCTCGGTAGACCATTTTAATACCGATCGGTTTTGATGATATCTCAAGTTACCGTACCCCATTGGTTGCCAATAGATCATGCGAATGAGCCCGCCCAAATATCTCTCCGTGTCAAACACAGATTTCGAGATTCTAAGGGGACTGAGAAGAGGTTCCATTTGTTTCCGCCCGGAACCGAACCTTTTGACTTCAACCGTCAGGGTTGCTCGAAGGAAAGCCTAAAAGATGTTCAAATCTCATCGTGGAACTTACCATTTGGGCTTGCATTGGTTTCGATTTGCCTTTGTAGCTGTCCTTTGTTCATTTGCTATCCTTGCGACCCAGTCGAATCGGGTTACGGGTTACAACTTCTTTCTAGCGGAGGGCTGCAACCGTCCGCTCGGTCACTCCTCACAGGCGCTTTGATCTTCAATCCGACCTTTGAGAAGGCGGACATTGCTCGGGTGTTGGCACACCTGCGGCCCATTTAAGAGTTCCTTTTGGTGGAGTGATGTTTAGAGGGTAACAATTACAGAGGAATCGTCTTTTGGGGGACCCCTTTTCAGGTTCCACATCATTTTTTGTAGGTGTACTTCTGTGCTCAGACTTGGCTGTTTGGCTCCATTTTTATGCTTGGAATCAACCGCCGTTTCCGGTTGAAGGTTCGACCCGGATTCAAAGTTCCCTAATTTGAGGTTGTTTATTTTTCAGCACATCTGGAATCTGCAGGTGTGTGTGTGTTTTTTTGGGTACCCTTTTTGGGGTTGGGCAACCCAGGAAAACCACCATTTGAGCGGGTCCCTGTAGTTCAAGACACGTCCACGTGTGTGTGTCTGTGTGTGTGTGTCTTCCGCAGAAATCATCCAGGGTAATCAATTCGCAATCCTTCGATGAGAAGCCCTTCTATAAGAAGGTTCTTCGATCCGGCATTTGAGGGTTGGGCAAGTTTTGCAACAAGACCCTGGACCCCTCTGGCAGCCCAAAGGAGGGTCTTTGAAGTATTTCAACACAAAGACTCATGCAACACATATCTTGGTTCTAGGGGTACCTTCCCCATTCTTTTCAGGAAACCATCAAAACCCCCAGGGGAAGCAGATCCTGTTTTTGAAAATGGTTGACAAGAATGGGCAATCAACCCCTCGATTGGTTTCGACGTTCATGTTTAGATGACCGGCATGGCCCAACCCTCAGCTCCGGCCCCGAAGGGGCTGGAGCGTTTTTTCCGACTCATTTTGGATGCTGAGAGAGTCGAAATGTGACCTGCCGTCGGGCCGAGGTTTCAGACAGCACCCAGTGACTCCATTTCCTGTAGGAAACCAATATCCCTTCAATAAAACCAGCAAGAAATGGGAATAGGGCTAGCTACCTGGAGTGGGAGGAACTTAGGACCCAATGAACCCTCCCCTTCAGAACAGACACCATCAAAATGGATCAGGCTTGGTCAGTGGTCGCTGCGAATCTGATCTTTGGATTTTTGGCCGGGAGCACCAATAAAGCGGAACCCCGTTTAAACATGAGCACCAAAACCGCTTGTCCCGCCTGATTAGGACGGTCTCCGGATGAATCTAAAGTTGAAATTGCCTCATGGGCTTGTCTCCAACTAGGTCTCTCAATTTGCCCTGTGCTCATCTAAAAATGAGCAAATCGTCTGTTCGATTGATCTTTGTTGGAGGGGGTGAGAGGGCGTAAGGTTTAACCTCCTGTCCACTAACATGGAAGCTGACGTTTCGAAGACTAGGGACACTCTAGACAGGAATCAGGAGGGTGATTTGTTGCAAGGGATCAACAAACCACACAGAGTGCTTCCCCCAAGAGCTTCTTTTCCTCCGCAAGGGTTGGGAACCAGGGAGCCAAGGCGCCTGTTGCTTGGTGACTCTGCGACTGACTCGCAGCCGTTTGGTGCCCTGCGCGAGTGGGCGATGACGGCCCTCCCGTGCCTCGGCGGCCAAGCAAAACATGGTTGGGGCCATCTCGGGCGCCGACAGATTTGTTCAGAGTTTTTCAAGACTACCTAGAGTCTCCATGAACCGTAGAAAAAGGGGGTCATACCCCCTTAATTATGGGTAATGACCCCATTTTCAAAGGGTCATGGAGACTCCAGATACTTGTAAGGGTGTTTTTTCTTTTGAAACTTTTAGCCACGTTTCGGAGGTGAATTTGAGGACGTCACTTTGCACTCCTTTGACCTTTTGGATCCCCGATTGAGTATGTTATTGACCCGCAGCAGAAAGGGGGTGGGGATCAACTGTTAGGCTGTGGGGGAAGTTTACCAGGGATCTTCATACGTTTTCAGGTCGAAAACGTCTTTAGATCTCTTCAGCTTTTCTTGAATCCGCAGATTTGTTTCGTGGAGCACATCCAGCGGGGAAGAGCTGTGGCCGGATCGACTGGGTCAACGTTATGATGGCAGGCGCTAAAAAAGGCAAAGTCCAGAGGTTCAGAGTTGAATGAGCAAGAGGAGACGCTGTTTTTCAGATAGGATCACTGTAATTCTTACTTGTGATTCATGTGTAGAAGGCAGGGTGGGGGTTGTAGGGATGGTCAACCACTTAACATTGCCAGAATCAACTGAAGACAGATGGGTGTGTGTGTGTGTGTGTGTGTGTGTGTGTGTGTGTGTGTGTGTGTGTGTGTTTTTGAGGCTCACCCTTTTTGGGTTGGTTTCAAGGGAAGCCGAAAGGAAACCAATCATTTTGGGGTCCATTTCCCTATTTTGACACACACCCTTGCCTTTGCACGCGACGATCCCTTGGTGCAAAGTCGTATCACAAGGGAGCACGAGTGATCTCTTCAGACCGGAATGCATTGACCAGATCCGCTTTGACTTGGACCTCAGGGCCCTAATTTGAAGCGACCCCTCCAGCTTTGGTGAAGATGTACGTTCCATCTTGGGTGCATGGAACACAAGCTGCTAGTGTTCGACACAGATTTGAAGGCAAGTCATTTTCAGCACTCAGATGTTTCATGTTGCTCTTTGTTCCTGGTGGTGTTTTTGTTTGTTTTGTTTTTTTGACAGGACAAGCCACAAGGTAAAATTGGTCATTTCCCTGGTTCAAGTAACATAAGGGGCCAAATCATTGCGCACAGCATTCTCCTGGTATGACTACACATGGTTTTAACATTTTCGCGCAACCCCTTTCTAGTTTTTGCAGCCCCAGGTTGGATACCCCTGTGGTATCAAAGAGAAACCAAAAGGAACCCAAAGGAACCCGTTGCCATGTTTTGGGGGTTCATTTCCCTATTTCACCCGGGACAGGCAGCCGGGGTCTCTGAGACTGGAGCTGGCGCGAAGACGAGCTGCGCCTTGGTTTGTTGGTTTAGCGCTGGGTTGTTTGTTTTGACCCCGAAAATAGGTTTCCTGTGGTTTCCTGTTGGTTTCAGGTTGCCCCAAAGAGGAAACCAGGGAGTTGCTTTTGTTGTGTATTGCTTCCAGTATCTCCCTTTGCTTGCTTTCGGGTTTCGGGCTGGTCCGCAGATGGTAGCTTCCCAAAGATTTGTTTTAGGGGTCCAAGGCAAGTACCTGAAAACATTTGCTATGAATAGAGGAGCCCCGAAAAGTAAGCTCTTCTGTAGGTCTCCCTGAAAAAACCCGGCAAAAAGAGGGACTTTTTATTCTAAGGGCTGACCCATGGTTCTGTTTAGACAGCATCCAGTTAAGTCTGGTTGGCCCATTCTTGAAGAAAAGGATCCTGAAGCGAATATTGGTTGGATTGGTGGCTTTGGGGGGATTGAATCCTTGGTTCTTGAGGCTAAATCGCATGTTTTGTTTGTGTGTTGTTGGCGTGGTATTTGTGTTTGTGTCTTAGAATATGTTTGTTTCTTTTCTTTGTTGGTCTTTGTTTTGCTTCTTTGTTTGTTTGTTGTTGCTTCTTGTTTTCTTTGTGTTCTTTGTCTTCTTTGTTTTGTTTGTTTTCGTTCTTCCTTGCTTTCCGTGTTTCTTTGTTTTATTTGTTTCTTTGTTACTTTGTTCATTGGTTTATTGTCTTAATTTGCTTGGTTTCTGTGTTTCTGTGTTTCTTGGTTTGTGTCTTCCTTCATTTTGTTTCTTTCCTTCTTTCTTTCTTTCTTTCTTTTTCTTTGTTTCTTTCTGTCTTGGTTTCGGTATTTCTTTATTTATTTGTTTCTTTGTATTAGTGCTTCTTTCGTTCTTTGTTGCTCCATGTGTGTGGTTCTCAATGTATGTCGTTATTTCCGTATGTGGTTCTTTCTTTCGTTCGTTCGTCCTTCCTTCCGTCCTTCCTTTCCAACTTCTTACTTTCTTCCTTGCTTCCTTGCTTCCTTTCTTCATTTATCACTTTCTCCCCTTCTTCCACTGGAAACCACCCCTGAACCACCAAACCACCGGGCGCCAAACCACCAAACGAAGACCCAAGCCGTTTCCGGGGGGCCGAGTGCCAGCTGAGGACGCCTCGCCCAGCACTGCGGTCACTCCTCGGGGCACCCTGGTCTCCTCCTTGCACCCGGAGACGCATCGGCCACTCGGCGAGTGCGGGTCGACGGGTCCTTTGGAAGTCTCCCCGTTCCTAGACGAGGCCCCCCAGCTAGGTGCCCTTTTACCTTTACCCGTTTTTGGTGGGGAGGGCTCCCCTACTAAAATAGACAAAACTGAAAAAAATCGGGTACCAACTTATTCTAACCTCTCTCCTGGAGGACCTAGTAGAGCACTGAGTCAGCTTTTGAAAAACAAAAATGCGAGGTAACTATGAGGTAACCTCTTTCTTAATTGTGTGAGTTCAGCAGCTTTCTTTCAATGGGGTTTGGTGTTCCGGGAATGTTCCCCACCACTTGATTTGAGAGGTTCCTCTCAGCCTAAGGATCTCTGAATGAAGGGTACTGGTGCGGGTGGCGTGGCAGTTGCCCAACGCTTTATCATTGTTCTTCAGAAGAGTTTGGCCGTCCCCTTGCTGAAAAATGCTTAAGCGAATGTAGCTCCAGCTCTATTTGGTTTCCCTTTAAAGAAACCAGGATCTGATTGTTTCAAGCAATTTTGCCCAGCCCTGTTATTGGAATCCAAGGAAGGCAACCATAGACCAAACCTGGAGGGTGTGCTTCGTTCTGGTGCCTGCAGGGGGGGGGGAACTAGTTGTGTCGTCAACTCAGCAGACGGAGTCAAACAACGTCCTGCTCCCCTGCCAGTTGTGGAAACTTAGGCGCTGTTTGTGGAAAAAGTTGCACAAGCATGGCGGCCGTTTTGGCGAATTGCTTTCTCACCCGCTGTGGCGGATTCTTCTTGTGATAGCGATGTTCGCAAACATGTGTCCTGAGTCATAGGATCTTTCACCGTTCTCAATCAGGCTTCATGTCATATTGCCCAGACCCAAGCAAACTATCTGTACTCTGGAGCTTTGGTGCTTCTCATATTCCCTTTTGACCAGCAAGGTCATTTGTTTGGAGGGGCTCGGATCTGTCTGGTAGCCTCTGCCCTTGGCTGCTGCTCTTTACGCTTCCTAAGATCTGACTGCGTGCCTAGGACGGTACCCAACAGAAGAACCCGGGTAAGTGAAGGTTAGCAAGGGACAATCCCCTTGCCATAAATGGGTGCCTTTGCCGCCTTGTTAATTCCTTACACGGTTCTGGGTAGGCTTTTTTAAGACCAGGTTCTGATTATGTCTCAGGCTGTTTAATCAGTATGATGAGACTCAACATAGGGTTTCCCCACAAGCGCTGGAATCCCTCAAGGGGCCATGGCGCCGGGGGGGGTTGCGACGTCACCCAAAGTGAAGGTTTCTTTCCTGGGAGGCTCCCATTACCTCAATAAAAAGGGAATCGATCTGATATCAGTGTTATTGTGTTTTCCAGGGGGGTTAAGCACATGGCATTTCTTTGTCGGCCAGGGACTTCCATTACTCCGCGAAGCGGCAGGCTTATGGCGGCTCGGCTAGTGAGTTCTCGTCTCGTTGGCTGTCACTTGGCTGTGGGTCAAAACCAATGCTACCATTTTGGGGTTTTTGACGGCAGACTCGGCTTTTGGCCAATTTGCTGAAGAGAGTGAGCAACCACCACGAGGAACCTCCTAAAGGTTGGTGGTTGAATAGTCAGGACTAAATATGGCTTGGCAGCACTCCCAGTTCGAATTACTTGGGCCCTTATATTGTAAACGCTTCGCGTTGCCCGCCTCGGCCCAGCCTAGTTTGAGGGAAGGGTCAGGAACACCGAAATCCAGTGTTGGGAAGGTCCGAATCCTACTGAAAGCTTGTGACCGCACCAGTTCGCCCGTGCTAGTTCGATGTTCGGAAGCCGTCCTGCTCGGACAGTCTCGGGCAGCTTGGCTGGTCCTTGCTTGCGTGGGTTGTTGGTTGAGCTGGGCCTGAAGCTAGTTTACGGCGGGCTGGGCAGCCGCACTGAGGGGGCTGGGCTATGGCTGGGCTGGGCCTGAGGCCAGCTTCAGACACGTCAGACAGGCCTGGCCAGCAGGCGGCTGAGCGCTAGTCTCAGGCTGGCATACTTTGAGACCAGTCTCAGACTGCGCCAAAGGGGCTGGGCCTGCTGGATCAAGGCTTGGCCAGCCTGGGGGCTGGGGCACGTCAGACAGGCTTAGTAGCTGGCGTAGCTTGAGACCAGTCTCAGACACCTGAGACTGGTCGTTGGCCTGAGGCCAGTCTCAGACACGTTAGACAAACCGGACCTTGGCACAGCGCTGAGCCTGCTGCGGGCTGGCCTAGTGGCTGGCATGCCCTGAGATGCGCCGGGGCCTGGGCTGGGCAGGCTGGGCTGAGCTGGTTGGGCTGGGCTCAGCCACTGGCTGCCGGGCAGCCGGACTACGCTGCTGGTTGCGCCTGGAACTTGGGCTTGGGCTGGGCGGGCTGGGCTGAGCTGTGCTGATGGGCAAGGCCTGTTTCATACACACTTGGGCCTGAGGCTGGCTGGCGAGTTGCTGGCTGGGCTGGGCCTGAGGCCAGTCGCAGACACGTAAGACACGCCAGCAGGCGGGCTGAGGGACTGGGCCTGAGGCTAGTCTCAGGCACATACTTTGAGACCAGTCTCAGACTGCGCGGCCTGAGGTAGACAAACCTGACCTTGGCACGCTGGGCTGAGCCTGCTGGCGGGCTGGGAGCTGGGGGCCGGCCTAGTGGCTGGCATGCTCTGAGATGCGCCGGGGCCTGGGCTGGGCAGGCTGGGCTGGGCTTGCTGGGGGCTGCTGGTTGGGCTAGGCCTGTTCAAGCTTGGGCCTGAGACTGGCTGACAGGCCTGGCAGCAGGCGGGTTGCTGGTTGGGCTGGGCCTGAGCCTAGTCTCAGGCCTGGCCAGCAGGAGGTCATGCTTTTCAGGACAAAAAAGCAATTTTCGCATTTGTCGAATGCGTGATTTCTCATTGAACCTGCAAACAGTTGTTGCCTTTTGCTGGTTCTCAGAAGGGAATCAGGGGTTTTTGGGGACGTGATCAGGCTTTGGAATTTTCAAGAAGTGATTGTGTCAAATGGTTGCGTTGGGGTCTCAAAGCCACAGACATGTTTCTGAACGTAGGCCCGGAGCAGTTGAAAGGGACACGGTTTTCGCAAGGACACGTTTCTTTCCTTTCTTGGAACATTGTGTGTTTGTTGTCCAGCTTGTTTCTTTGGCTCTGTTCTCATTTGTAGAGGGGGGGGCGGCCAAAAACAGCCTGTTTTTTGGTGCAAGCCGATACTGTTTGGATTGTGAAGTGTTCTTTTCAACTGCAAGATTAGTCTGGGATATTTGCCCAGACTCTGGAGTGGTGAAAGGTTAGTGTTTCCGGCTCAAGGTTCCGGAGGTTGCTGGGGATGATAACTGGCCTTAGACAGCTCGACTTGTCCCTTGACTGTTCTTGGTATGCTTTTTTTGTTCCGAAGAGTGATGGGTTTCGGGCGGGTTCTGGGAAGGTTCCGGTGACTTGGCGCTGTTTCAATTTCTCCTTGGGTCGGTCTACTTGCTTATCATTTGTCAGGCAAGTAAGCCTCGATTGGCGGTTTGGATTGGCGATTTGGGGATTTGAAGCCCTGGTTCTTGAGGGTGAATGGGAAGCCACCCCCGGAATACGTCCAAATCACCAATTCTGGGAAGCTGATGGGAGCAATGGCCATAGCCCTGAGTTTTGACCATGCGAAAAGACCCACCCAGTTTCTCCGCAAAATCCTATGGGACACAACGAGCAGGCGGTTCCCAGCCGTCAGGTTCCTCAAGTTGAATGTATTCCGCTGGACTCGCTGGGATTCGTTCGGGCGAGTGCTGAGGCTCGGTGTCGCCCCGCCTGTGCCACGACGTGCTGAAGCAGCAAGTGGCCCGGGGCATCCGGGAGAACCAGGAGGACGCGCGGAGCAGGCGGGAGAATTGGGAGGTTTTTGGTTGGAATGGCGCGCGGAATCGCGCGCGCGAGGAGTCTGGGAGCCTGAATAGGGCAAGGAATCATTTTTTGTTTTGGTCGCATTGAGACGTGCAGAGATTTGTAGGAAAACTTCAAGCACGTTGAGCGATTTCTTCGATTTCGTCTTCAGCTCTTTGTTAGACTAACATGGGCTTACGTAGGTCACGGAAATCTTACGAATCTAGATAATCCGCTGGAAGGGTTTCTAGTCAACCATGACCGAACAATGGTGTGTTTGCAAAAACCAGCGACACAGCTGACTCTGGCATCTTTTGAAGCTAGAAGGAGGTTGTTAGAATATCTAGATGTTCTCGTTTGTGTGATTCACTCCTTATATTCGGTTGCCTTTCTGAACTTTTGGTGTGAACTTGCCACCTTACATTGCCCCTGATAGAAATTTGTTCGGTCAAGGGGATCAGGGACCACAAATAGTCCTCTCGTTCCGTGTTCTTTCAAACCCTCATTTCCAAAGGCCTCGGTTTCAGGCTTTGCACTGTTTGCTATTGCTGCCCAGCCCCTCTCCTGGCTCAAAACACAGACGCCCGCTCCCGAGTAATGTTGACCCCGGATGAATAACCCCATGTATGTTTATATGGAGGTGTCCCTGGTGTTGGTGGGGATTCAGGCCACTTTTGGAGGGGCCCCACCCGATTCATTTGGGATCAACATTACTGTGCCTTTTCTTTTCCCGAGCGTCAGGCGAGCTGTTCTCAGACATGCCCAAGCGTTCTTGATTCCTTGTCAGAAAAAGCCATCAACACGATGAAGCGCACGGTCATAAGTTGAGTGCCGTCAATATCCCCTCCCTGCCATTGAATCCCTGCTAACAAAACATCCTTTGAACTCTCGCACCAGAAACTCACTCGAAACGAGGTGAGGTTATAATTCTTGCGCCCCCAACATCCCGGCCAAATCAATAGAATGGATTGTAGGGTTCTTTAAAACCATATTAAGTCAAAAATCAATCAAAACATGGCAGTCATGTGAATCGTGTGGCTGTGGTTCCAACAACTGTAGCAACATGGCACCTCGGCAAATGGAAGAAACAACTAGAACCTGCGATCCCTCGGCAAATGGAACCAAAGACTAAAACCTGCGATCATTTTGGAGCCACGCCCATGCATTTCGCATTTCTGCAGCCCCTTAGACGAGTGGCCCCTCAACGGACTTTAGGTGAGCGGGGGCCTGGCGACTCGGGAGCCAGGTGGTTCAAGGCATTCGCTGAGACCCGGAACCAAGAAGCCAGGAGCCGTGCTTGTTTTAGGCTCTCAATGGCACTCTTGGCGGTTCCCAGCCGTCCGGTTCCCAGCCGGTTTCTAGTTGGTTCAGTGGTTTGGCTTGTCCATTTAAGCCCACTAGTTGGATTTTGGTGAGTAGCCTCCATTTCGCAACGGTCGTTGGATGAGCGCACACAATGCCATCCCGTAGATGACTGTACATGTGTCCGTTATTGTTGATTGGAACGCTGCTGTCCATATGGACCGGTTGCGTGTCTCCTCCCAGGCGATTTCGGTCGACTTTGCAAGCTTTTCGAGAAGATCAATTCTAGTGGTGAACACCAACAAGTCAGCACTTTTCCTAGCCAGCCACGTAAATCATTGCGAACATCGGTGCTTTCCTAGTTCATGGTAGCACTGTTTGCGGTTTTGGCTCCAAGGGTTGCTCATGTTGGGGTCTCATGGTACCCAAAGAGGATCTAAATTGGGTTGAGCCGTTTCCTGGGGCTTTGCTTTGGCCTTAATGGCAGAGCGAACCTCAAACAAAATCCGTGCGAGGAAAAATGCTCTGAAGCCGGAGAGGTTTATTTATCAGATGATGCCCCTGTCGAACCAAGAGAGGCCTACCTTTCCCGGGGATATCTTCCCGACCTTTTCCAGGAATACTGCCAAGGACCAGGCGGAAACAGCAAGTTCCTGCGAAGAATGGTTGAATCGGGATCAACCTAGAGTTCTAAGTAAACCAAAGTGTTTCTTCCCCTCGCCCAAGGTTCCACCATCAGCTTAATAAGACAATTCTAGTCGCAGACAAACAACAATGAACTTGTTTTTGCCCACTGATTATTTTTTAGGGAACCACCTCAAAGTGGTTGGTGGTTACCTGAATCCCAATCCTACATTTGATTGCCTGAGGTCCCTATTGACATGGTGTTTCGGCCTTGGTGGGATAAACATCGTGCTTTGGAAGGTGCTTGTGGAATCAACTGGGTGCCTCCTTCTTTGGAACCCCGCCCGAAACAAAAACACACACAAGAAACCAATGGTGGTTTCCCATTTGGTGCCCCTACCTGATGTTTCGGGGTCCTGGAAGCTCCGGTTTTGCCTTAAGGGACCCTCCAAGTTCCATGGCATTGGGTTCAATTCCCTTGCCAGAAGCTTCGCTTGGGAAACGAATTCGGAAGGCCGCAAGCCCCACTAAACCCGCCAAAACCCACTTCCAACCCCTTCTGGAAACACTTCAAAGAATCTGAAAATAAAGTAAAGAGCCCTTTCTGGGCCCGGATTTTCCTGGGGAAAAAGCCGCACGAGCAGCAGAGGCGGCTGACCCAAGGCTCCGCGGGCTCCGGGACCTCGGGGGCTCGGGGCCAGGAGCGCGCGGGCCACGCTGCAGCAGCCGCGGGTGCTCGGCACCTCGGAGCTGCTGGGGCACACCGAGGTGCGCGGTCTGGCGACGCTCCCGGTCTGCTGGTCTGGCGGGGGGTTTTCGCAGGGAAAAACTGTGGGTCCGGAAGGGAGATCCGGGTCCCAGAAGGGTCCTTTTAGGGTGGTTTCGAGGTGTTTTGAGCGGGTTTTTGGGAGGTTTTGGGTGGTCCGAATTTAAGCCCATGAAAGGTTGAACTGGGGATAGGGTCCCTTGAAAAAGGCACATAGGCCAATCCAAGACCCCGAAACATCAGGTTCCATGATCTGCTAATGTTCTTGCAGGGTCTTTCTTTGGAACCCTTCGTGGCAGTCGTAAATACAGTGGCTTTGGAGTTCGTCCAGAGGATGTTCGGCTCAAGGGGACGACCTTCGGGCTACTGGAGCTTTGAGGATCCCAGCTTCAACCTCCCTGAGCCGCTCGGGCTGAACTTGAGATACCTGCCCTACTTGTGATTCACCACCCCAAAAAGGGTACCGAGCCTCAAAAAGGACACACCCATCTGAAGTAAACCATCATACAGGCCATACTTCATTGCTAATAGTCAGAGGCAGGACGAAGAAGGAACATGATACAGGCCATGGTCTATTCTAAGCAGTTTCTTCATCTGCCATGACCCAGGCACTTTGTCCAAGCCAGCCTGAAGTGGACTGACCTTGACTTTCGCGTGAATCTGACATGAATTGGGTGTCTTTCCATGCCTATGTTCATGACTACCATCTGCCTGACCATGTTGTTTCCCTTTTGCTTTCCCTGAACCACCCATTCCATTTCAAAGGCTTCCAACTAAAAACAAATACCTAAACAAGAAGAACACGAGAGGCGATTTTTCCGCATGACTCACATCTTCATGCCACTACTGACCACCAGACATGTCCACCAGCGGCTAATTCCAGGACATTTCCAGGTGACCGTCACCGTAGTGGCTCTGAAGCCACCGCCTCGCCCATGGGCTCCTCCAGCTCCATGTCCAGCCCCGCCGAAGCGCCGGCAGCGGCGGCAGCGCCGGCAGCGCCGGAAGCGGCGGAAGCGGCGGGTCCGGGGGCCTCTGTGGCGGTGCTGGGGCGGCTTGGCCTCGACGAAGCTGGGGAGTTCGAAGGACTGCGAAAAAAAGAAAACCGCTACATGGAGGATCCAAGAGGCGTGTTAACCAACAGGAAAAAAAGAAGGAGACAACAAGAACGCTTACCAAGATAATCTGCACCACTTTGAAACCATGGTTGCAACATTGTTTGTTGGTATTTACAGGGGAATCATCACAAACCAGGGTTTCTTGGGTGCGCGATTTCGTCCGTCCACAGTGTGGCTGTGGCGAAGTCAAAAAACCGGGAAATTCCCAAATGGGTGGCCCGAGTAAGTGGAAACATGGACCAAAACCCGCAGTTTGCCCCTCCTGTTTAATTTTGAGCGACACCCATTTGCATCTATGGCCATGAATTTCAGTAAGGAACACTTCTGGGTTTAGTGGTTGGTGGAGAAGGGGTGGACATAAAAAAACCTGACCTAAATGATGTCCACCCAAATTTTCCCTTTACGAATAATAATTGCTCCATATATTCACAGTCTCAGAGTGATAAAAAATAAAATGACGATCGTAGTCCTCGACTTCCAGAGTTCCTGGCCTTTACAGACCTTTGGGAAGGCCATTTTATCACTTTGGCGGACCAGCGGCATGTTCGGGAGTTCGGGACTCTGTCTGGCCAATCCACTCAGAGTTTTTGAGCTGCTTTTGCCAGACTTGTTGTGGTCTCCACGGCACGGCGCGAGCAGTACCGGTGGTACCCGAGAAAGTTTTGCCATTAGTTTCTTTTTGGGGGGAGCGGGGTGCCCCTATGTCGAGGTGATGCAATGAAAATAATAATGATGATAATAATAGTAATAGGAACAGTAATAGTAATTGTAATAATAATCATCATAGTAACAAGAACAACAACAATCGGGACCCATGCTCTCTTTTTTCAGTTTCCGAAGTATTATTGCCTGTTGTACTGTTTCAGGGTATATCAATCAGACTCAGAAAATACTAAGTTCTGCGTATGCCAGTGGGCAAAGGTTTGGCAACTCCCAGCCAGCACTTCCTAGTGCTAAAATAGGCATCATGTAAAACCTAGTGCGTAACCCTGTTACCTAGTAGAGTGGCAACTGGAAGCACTGGATCTTAACATGTTGAGGTTTGTTAAATTGGACCACAACTAATTCAACCATGATACGTTAGTTTCTCAACAAGCAAGGGGGATGGCGCATTGCTTAATTTTCTCCAACCCCTCCCCCCCCAACCCCCCCTCCCCGCCATTTGACTCTCCCCGATTCTCCTCACACCCCCTTGAAGCCTACCCCACCAACCCCGCCCCCAACACATTTTCTTGGGAAGGACCAAACTAGACCAGTTTGGGAGGTGAGTTGGGCGGCTGTTTGGGTCCAAACAGAAAGGTTCTTATCATTTTTGCCTATTGTGGTTTAGTGGGACATTTCCGCTGTGCTAAAATTTAAGAAGGTTTGCTCCCCAAACCCAACGTCAACCAAGTTCTGATCTCATGGCTCCCGAAAAAGCGACGCCTTCTTTGGGCTCCCTCCTGGCCTTCGTGTCCCAGGAAGCCTTGGTGGTTTCCGGTCCGTCTTTAGAGGTGTTTCTAGCTGGCTTAGTTCCATTTCACCCAAAAAGTATTCACTTTTGCGAAAAAAAACAGAAAACGGACAGCCTAGTTTCGGACACATTGAGCCAGATTGAAGATGGAGCTTTGCCGGATTGAGAGGATCCAAATCCTTGGTAAGGCAGGTGGACTTCTTGGATTTACAGAAGCCAGTTGAACGTTTGAATTGGTTTATGCCAACTTTTCTGCCCATCGATTCCGGCCCTTTCAAAAGCCAGGGTTTCACCACAAACAACAAGTGGTGCCCTGTTCTCCTTGCTTTTTTTGGAGAACGAGCTTCCTAAATCAACCAACAAGAAGAGGGTGCCCTTTTTCCCATGGCCAGTGGGTGTTTGGGCGACCTACTTACCAAGCAGGTTGGACCTCCAAGAGTGTGTCAAAATAGGGCCCCCCCAGAATGGGTGGTGTCCTTTTTGTTTGACAAGCACTTTTTGGACGTCCGTAGATCATTAGTCGTCGCTTGAAGTGGTATTTTCATCGTCGGTTCGGACCTTCTCGTTCTTTTGGTTTGCCTCTCAACCCTTACAAACGAGGCTTTTGGTTTGCCTCTACACCCCTCCACGCCCCCCAAAAACAGAGAGGGAACCCGGAACAAAACCACCCGGAATTGGGAGTGCGAGTGCAGCTTCTGTCGTCCAAGGCTGAGCGGAGAGACGATCACGACAAAGAGTGTAGGGCCCAAGGTGAGCATTCGCGAACTGAAGGCGAGTCGAAGGGCCGAACGGGCCGAAGGGGGAGGAGACTGAAAATCTGGTTGGGTGGGTTTTAATGACTTTGGCGAGGATGGTGGGGATTGAGATAACCACTTTCGAGGTTGTGGTTCATTATTGAAAAGTCATGGCCATAGAACTATTAAAGTTGGATAAATATGAAACGGAATCAGGCAATCCATGTTTGCAGTATGCCCAGGAGTTTGGCCAGGGAGAAAACAAGAAGCCGAAAAAACAGGAGGAGGAAGGGTCTCACCCACTTCCAGTTCTGGGCTTTGGACCCAGACAGGGCAAGTCGGGGATGGGAAGCCTGGAGAAGTCGGCGTAAGCTTTAGACTTGACGGGTACCGCACGAACTATGCTCGGGCTTCGGCTCGGGCTTGGGAGGAAATGGCTTGGGTTAAGCTATGCCTCGTGGTCAACTTGGAAGCGGCGAGTCGCGCGGCGACTCGGTTGTTTCCTTTGTTTCTGAGGCTTGGCCATATATGATTTTCCCGGTGAACAGTCTTTTTTGGGCACTTGCCAAATTCTCAAGCAGCTTCGGAAAGCTATGGGACTCACGGACTCACTATTGTTCGCATGTTCAGCAGGGTATCTTTTGCATATATCGATATCTTTACCGCGGTTCGAAGGTGCAACATGTTGCGTAGGACCCGCATCTCAATCGAAGGGACTGCAAAAGGACGCCGTGCAATGCATTGGTGTTTACAGCACATTTTAGGTTTCCCTGAGTTGGCAAGCAGCAAGTGATGCTTCAGTCGCGCGTACTCCGACGTCCAAGTCGAACTACGTGCGGCAGACAGACGCAAGGGATCGCGAAGTCGTCCCATGGCTGCTGGAGGTCGACAATCAACCACGACGTGTCTTGAAATCATCTTGGGGATTGACCCGGTCAGTACGTAGCAGCAGCAAGCACAGCTATGCATGCTTTGTGCAAGGTGAGGCCTTGTAGGTAGTGATCAGAAGGCCGAGACAAAGAGCGCTAACTTGAAGAAAGCTCGGCTGCTTGGGTTAACTTTGCGGCCTCCCCATGCACAAAGCACACCTAATATCTGTGATTGCTGCTATGTTTTTACGCAAGACAGCAGGTCTGCAGACATTGGTGCAGGTATTCAAAGAACACACGGACCACATTTACTGACCGTATCAATCCCCAAGACGCTGTCCATGTTCAATGATGGGTCTTGGTTGACTTTTCGACTTCCAGCAGGAAGCATCTCGGCCACCGACATAGTCATGCCCCCCTTCTATCCAACATGTTGGTTCAAAGTTAGTGTGTGCACATTGTTTTTGAGTAAACATGAAATCACGACCTGGCATGAGTAGCAGCTTCACTGAAAGAGCACATGCCAATTAATTCAATTTGTTTTTGGGGGCATGTACTTTTATCATAGCATGTTTGCTCATTGCCATGGCCAATGCGCCATTTGGCTCAAGCTTTTGGTCCCGGCGACCCTATCTTGCTGTTCCGTCAACTCGCCATTCAACGGCGCTGCTCCGCTTCCCGTGCAAACATTGCGCGGGCCGCGGCTGCGGCGGTTGGGGCGGGCTTGGGGGCAGGTCAGGACTTAGGGTTGGGGGCTTGCTCGGTTCGCATTGGTTTGCTTTGCTCGCTCGCTGCGCTGCTTTGTTTGCCTGCTTGGTTTGCTGCTTTGTGCTTGCTTTCGGTTGTCTCTGCCCTGCTGGGCTTCTTTTCTTGTTACAACTGGCACCCCTTTTGGTTCGTGTTTGTGCCGGCCGAGGGCAACCGCTTTGCCCTTGGGACCGGGGGGATAAGGTGGTCTCTTCTTGTTGGTGGGTTAGGGCCTGTTTTATCCATCCCGAAACTCTGTTTCAAACCCTTTCGCAGGTTATCAGCCGTAGGATTCGTCCTCGGTTGGCACCGCGAACCCCTTTTTAACAACCCTGCAGGCGCTGTAGGTTATTGTATATACGATGGCAGGAATCACTGAGGATGGACCTCACGTGGTGACTGATGAATGGGTTCTCGGCCAGGCCGGAATCTTGGACGTTGTGAATGACGACCAGGTGCCCGGACAGCCGATGTTTTCCGGTCCTGATTTTTTGTCGGACCACACTTTTTCCGAAGCAATGCCTTCAGGAAGGTCCAGTGCTACTCGCACTGATGACCTATCGTCTAATGCCTCAAGAGCTAATCGCTCTCAGGGTCATGGGGCTAATCGTCCTGACCATGATGATTCCGTCTCAGGACGTGATGATGACGAGCCCGGTATTGCACCTGGAGCTCAATCCTCATCTTTCCCGGAGCTGATGAATATTGGTCAGTCCGAGTTTCGTGACTCTCGAAGTAGCAGTAGACCTGTGCCAACCAGTAGTATAGTTTTTCAAGCGCTCGGTAATCCCGAACCCGGTACATCCAGTGGAGTTGCATTTGATGTTCATCTGCCAGCCGATATCGGTAGGTCAGATTGGATGGCCTCATGGCCCAACGACGGTAATATTTTTGGCATGGATTTCAATACATGGATGCCAGGGCCACCCGCCCCATCATCTTTCCCGCAGTTTCAGAGCCCAAAGCGGACTGCTGGAAGCGAGGAATTCATGCTACCCTTGTCCATTGAAAATCTCAATCCTGATGTGGCCAGCCGCAATGTCAGGCCAAGGCCATCGGTAAACCCGACAATGAGGAATATGTCCCCTCCCCCAGGACTTTCAGGATTTGAGAGTCCAAGGGAGCGAAACATTGTAGATAGGTTGGATTTGCATCCCAGTCCTACGCCAAGCAAACGGTCTAGGTCAGACTCGGCCAGCTCGCATAGGGCTAGAAGGATGGATCGAGAGACCGCACACAGGGGAAACCCCAGTGTGCGGGGCTCAAGACGTGGTCACTCAGGCGATCCCGCGTCGATTGTCGGTAGGGATCCGCTAAACGCGGACACGTTGATTAACGTGCTTGATGGGATCGAAGCATTCCAGGAGGAATTCAATAGGTCGAGTGGCCCGAATGTACAGCCTGTTCGCCCTACGCCCAATGCGGCTTCCTTTCTCACCATTGACAACACAGACGGAGCTGATGTTCCGATTGAGTCTGAGTCCATGATGGCATCAAGTTCCAATCACAACAACACCGTCAGCAGCGCCACCGATGTTGAATCAATGTCTGAGTCTAGAGCGTCCAATGCGACTGATTTGCATGACGTTGTCATTGCCGATATGAAGCCTGAAGTTCCTATGCGGACTGATAGGCCAGTAGTTCCCAAATTGTTTGTGACAAAGGGTCTAGGCATGCCACAGCCATCAGCGGTTCGTGATGCCAGAAGATCTGCACCGTATCAGAGTCAGTCTCCTAATCGGAGCGAATTCCCACGGCCATCAACGGCTGTACAAGATGATTTCAGGACACCTCCGAGATCTAATCCGATCATGGTTGATTTGTCCACTCCTCGAGATCGCAGGTCAGGATTTGGTCCTGCGAGTGAGGAGCAACCCAACGAGGTTGCTGATCTTGTAACAGCCCTTGAAAGAGGGAGAGTGGACTCTTCGGTAAGTGCGATCATTCATCGCCTGGTTGCTAAGGTCGAAGACCTTGGGCGTAGGAATGATAGAAGTGATCAATGCATCAAGCAGCTCTCCACTGAGGTTAACTCGTGGAGGGCCAAATACGACCAATGCGTCCATGTGAGTAGCACGTGTACGCAGGCTGCGAACGCGGCCATGCAGCTGTCACAAGGGACTAAGGACATCGTGACCGAGCTTGGCCAACGCGTCAAGATCGTTTCCAATCGCATGACAAGCATAGGCGATGCCCTAAATGAGCGAGCCAGCTATGATGATGTTGCTCGCTCCATCACCCAAGTTCAAACTGTTTTTGAATCTCTTTCTGATCGAGTAACCGGGCTTATAGCTCGTGTTGATGCGATCGAGAGATCTCTAGTGGAGAGCCAATCCAACCATCCTGCGATTGGTGGAGTAAACCTCAAAATCGAGGACCTGTCCACTAGGGTATGTCAGATTGATAGGATGATGCAAGATGTCGAACAATGCTGGACCAATAATAGGGACGGCATAAAGTGGGTTAAAGACCAACTTTATGAGACACAAGCCAACCTTGAGATAAAGTCAAGGGACTGCAAATCCTACACGGACAAGCAAAATACTCATAACATGGCCGTTTCGACTACGCTCAACAGTAAGCTCGAGCAAATGCTCGAGGTGCTGGGCAATACGGCCCAGAGAATTAACTCCCTCGAGTCAAGGCACTCGAACCAGGCATCAAGTAGTGGATTGAACGATCGCACAGGAGGAAGGCGTGCCGCGTCCCGTACTCCGGATAAGCGGCCACCTCCACCTGGCCCTCCTGATGATGATCCTCCACCACCTCCTCCTCCAGATCGGCAAAGCCCAGGAGGAGGGGGGAAGAAGAGTGCTGCCGGTGGGAACCCTGGCGACCCTGGTAAACCCAGGTGTAAATACGTAGGTGATGGAAATAATCACCTCATGGCTGAGTTTCACTGCAAAGGATGCAGAGGTGATATTTGTGAGTATTGTTTCTCGTTCAAAGAGAACTTGTGTGAAGAATGTTCCCGTAACGGACCCCGATGCGGTGTCTGTAGGGAGAGCTCGTTCCTGACCAAGGGAATTGAGTGTCAGTTTTGTAGGACCTACTACTGCACCAGACATTCTGCTGGGCAGGATGACTACAGGAGATTTGGATTTGTCCAGGGTCCCTGTTGTCTTGCGTGCCTTAGGGACGAAACTAGGAGAAGAAGGGATCCCGATGGTAACCGTGTCAGGAATAGATCTCCTGGAGGCGCACCTGAGACGAACCCGACGCGGTCGTACTCGCCGCCTCTGCGGCCACCCGTTGACAGATTCCGTGACATTCCCACTGGGGGTCAACCCAACGCGGCTGACCTTCAGAGCCCTCCGAAGGCTACGCAACCCGTGCCCCTGGATAAACGTGAAACCGGATATTATCCAGGATTTGATCCCAACGGTACAAGGCCGAAGGATCCTTCAGGCCTTGAGCCGCCGACCATGCGTGGCCCCGATCCTCCTGACAAGAACTGTCGGAT